GAGACGTGCTCTGAAGGCAATCTTGCGATTGGACGATATTCTCAAGCGGTTGACCGAGATAACGGCGCAGTACAAGACCTCTCACCTTCTTCTCGGGGTCATTGCCGGCTGCCTTGACGATCTTCCGAAGCAAAAGGACACAGCACGCCTCGATCTCTTGTCCCGGATCTTCCAGAACCAGCTCTTGGGTGAGCCGGAAATGAGCAAGGCTATGGCCTTGGTCCTGGAAGCCACGAGCAGTGTCCACAAGGATGGTGCCATGTCTTTGGATGCTCAGGCACGTCTTGCAGATCTAGTTCAAGTATTCAGCCAGTCCGAGTCTCTGCGGCCTACTTTCCAGAAGACAATCGCGGAATCATCTTTCGACATTGCTGCGCTGGAACACAACCTCCAGACAGTGATTGATACCGCGCCTGCGCCTCTTGTTGTGGAAGATGTCGAGATGGAAGATGTGGAGAAGGAAGAAGAGCAAGACAACTTCTCATCGGCTGTGGAGTCCTTGAGCGGGGAGAAGTCATTCAAGGGCTCTTTCCTCAGCACACAATCCATCCCCCTGTTTGAGAGGCTTGCCCAGGCCTTTACACTGGCGGTTGGCTCGAACGAGAAATGTCAGACCTTCTCCGACCTGGCGGCTCTTGGGAAGAGCGAGGCTACAAAGTCTCCTCAATATCTTTCCTTCTTCATCAGAGTCTTCTCCGGTCCATATCCAATGGGCACACGGGCCACGGCTTTGAATATTATCACCTCTTTTCTCACATCCACCGAGAACACGAATCTAGACTTCCAGGCGCTTTTGCCATTCCTGCTAGTTGCACTGACAGATCCGTCGGAACGTGTTCGCCGTGAGGCAGCTGCAGCTCTTGCTGCTGTCGGTAGTCTCTACAAGAAGAATAAGAAGGGAGAGGATATTTGGGCTCGCGACAACCTCTATGGTCAACCGAAGGACATTAAATGGCTCCCCACTCGCGACGCGCAGAAGGTTTTCGAACGTGCAGTGCTTCCCAGTTTGGAGGAATGCATCTTCGATGCGGCTCACATTGGCAAGGTTTTGGAGAACACTCTTCGGGGAGTGTCGGTCGATGCGAATGCGTCCGAGCTCAAGAAGCCTCTGCGACTGGCATTTTTCACCTTCCTGTGCTCCCATGCCATCGAGCTTCCGTTGTTCACACCCAAACTTGGCTTGCTCAACATTCTCAACCACATCGACAAGGCTGGTGGAACCACTCGTACAAAGGAGCTTGAGCCTCTACTCAAGACTTGGCGTGGATTCAGTGAGCGTGAAGTCCAGGATATCTGCGAGAAAGAGCGGGTTCCTGTTTCTGATGTGGAGCGTCAGATGGTGACGATTGTCACAGCCAAGGAGAAGGACGCCATCATGATTCTTTTGTCGAATGTGAGCCCTCACTCGGAGACTCTGCGGCCTTCTTTCATTGCAGCCGTCTTTGGCCGCATAAAGGACATCTGGGCTCGAGTGGCGGAGGATCGTCAGGTTGTGGCTGCGGAGCAGCTGTTTGATATCTCGCTTGGCCTCTCCAACTTGCCTCTTGTGAATAATTGCAGAGATCTTCTCCGCAGCGTTCAGCTCCCAGGCTCTGTACTCGCCCAATTTTTGGAAAGAATACCTGTCTCTCTTACTGACATGGAAGCTCTTGGGCCTGCGCCAAAGAGAAGACGCACTAGTCAGAACAACATGATTGCGATGACTGTGAAGGATGAGGCGGAGTTTGGCAAGGTCATGGAGAAGATGACTTTCATCCTGGAACTTGTTGACAGCTCATCACCGGAGACTCACCCTGAGCTCGCCGACGGTCTCTTCCAGGCGCTGGCTGCTCTCCACCACTTCAAGTCTCAGATTCAGTCTGGAATGAGCTATTTGCTCAGCTTGACTCTGGGTAGTCTGCTGGCCATTGTCAATCGGTCAAAGGAGAGCGCAAAGGCACAGTTCGATACCTCGGTCATTCGCGCCGACCTGGTCGTAGATTGTGTGCGGACCACAGAGAGTCCTCAAGTGCAGAATGCAGCTTTGCTTCTCGTGGCCGGGCTTTCCGTCATCGCCCCTGAGTTGGTTCTTCACAGCGTGATGCCCATTTTCACGTTCATGGGCTCCAGTGTTCTCAGGAAAGATGATGAGTATTCGGTTTCTGTTATTGACCAGACCATCGACCAAGTTGTGCCCGCTCTTATCCAGTCCTTGCGTGATCAGAAGCGTGACGTGGTGTCGGGAACATCGGAGCTGCTGCTAAGCTTTACAGCTGCGTTTGAGCACATCCCTTCGCACCGTCGTCTGCGCCTCTTCCATGCTCTGATCACGAAGCTAGGAACGCAGGACTTCTTGTTTGCTGTTTTGGCAATGCTCGCCAATCGATATGCCATGGACAAGGATGTTCTCGTCTTGATGACAGGTCTCGTTTCTGATGCCAGTGTTCCTGTCGAGCTTACCGTACGTGTTATCATCCCGCGTTCCTGGACTATTTACTGACTCCTAGACAGACATATAGCAAATTCCTCGGGTTGGTCAGCGACTCGCTCAAGCCAAAGCCTGGCATCTCGCAAGTTCTCCTTGGAATCGGCAGTGATGATGGGCGCGAGCCTCAGAAGGTTGCGGTTGACCTGCTTCGTGACTTGGCATATCTCTTCAAGCATTCGTCTCTCAAGGTCAAGATGGCCAAGACATTCGCCTCAGAGGACGACGAGGCTGCCAGACAGCTCCGTACCATTTTCTCCCAGATCCTGGAACAGGTCCTGACGATTGGTGATTCCGTGCAGAGCATGAAGCTCGTCAGCCAGGCAAACGGTGACGTTCTGGCCGCGTTGTTCGGCACGCTGACATTGGTCGATTTCCTCGACACCATCGAAGTGCTGCTTCAGCGGCCCAACGATGAGCTCCGTCGGAAAGTCCTCCGGCTCCTTGAGGGACGCCTTCGCCAGAACCCTGAACGCGACAGCGCCTCTCAGATCCGGGTCCTGGACTTCTTGCCTACTCTTGTTGACATTATCCGCAACTCGACCGACATCCTGCTCAAGCACGCCGCAGTTGCCTGTATCGATCGCATTGCCGAGAAGTACGGCAAGAAGGACCCATCAAGAGTTATCGGCGCTGCCCAGGTCGTGGCTAGCGAGGCCTGCATTGGCCAGACGGACGACCGTATTCGTATCATGGGTGTCTTGTGTCTTGCATCCATGGCTGAGACCCTTGGCCAAGCCATGATTCCAGCACTTCCAGAGGCCCTCAGCCGATCCCTGGCTCTGCTTGAACTCAGCTTGGAAGAGGGCAAGGAGAACTCCCGGTTACACGATGCCGTCTTCTCGTTGTTCTCGGCACTCTTTGTTCATATTCCGTATATGATCTCTGGCCCTCATCTGGACAAGATTCTTGTTCTATCGTTCAAGTCAGCCAACGCTGAAGACTGCGAAGATGAGAGCCGACAAGAAGCGTTGAAGATGATGGCTCGGAAGGTTGACATGGCTGCAACGCTGGGAGCGGTTGATCGCAACTGGCAATACGCCGTGCAGGCCGGGCCGGTTGCCACAAAGGAGGCGTTGGAGGTGGTCAGCCTTGCCGTAGAGAAGCACCCCAAATCCGCGACTGGCAAGAATATCGGGGCCCTGTCGAGCATCCTGTTCAAGGCATTCGATCTACGCCGGGAGCAGCTTGCACTGGAAGCGAATGCCACATTTGACGCGGCTGAGGTGGATGAAATCGAAGATGCCCTCAACGACGTCACCATCAAGATGATCTACAAGCTGAATGACAGCACCTTCCGTCCTATCTTCACGAAGATGCTGGACTGGGCCACGTCTGGTCTACCAAAGAAAGATACCCAGGGCAGCTGGGCGCGACTTACAACGTTCTACAAGTTCTTGCAGGTCTTCTTTGGAACTCTTCAGGTATGTATTCGCTTTTTTGATCAAAAGTTTCACCGTCGCTGACAAAGATAGTCTATCGTCACTGGTTACGCCAGCTATATTCTCGAAAGTGTGGTTTCCGTCCTCAGAAAGGCCAGTCCAGCCGACAAGAGCACCAAGTCTCTATGGGTAGCCACAATGCGTTTGCTGCGCAATGCCTTTGAGCACGATCAAGACGGTATGCCTGTCCCTGTCCTTCCCCCATCAGATCATGACCAAAGCTAACCATCGCAGAATTCTGGCAATCCCCATCACACCTGAACCAAATCTCCACCCCCCTCATCAACCAACTCGCCCACGCCACGAATTCCTCCACGGCAGCCACCGTAATCGCCGAGGCCGTCCCGCCATCACCGAGCTGGCCGTCGCCGCCGACTCAACAGACAACCACAAGGAACTCAACGCCGCCCTGATGAAGTTCCTCCGTCCGTCCGCAGGCCCGAACGGCAAACCCGCCGGAGGCGAGAACCCGCACACGCGCCTCGCAGCCCTCAAGGCCGAGCAATCGCTCACCGAGCAGCTGGGCGAGGAGTGGCTTGCTCTCCTGCCTGAGATGCTGCCGTATATCAGTGAGCTGATGGAGGATGAGGACGAGAACGTCGAGCGCGAGGTCCGCAAATGGGTTAAGCAGATTGAGAAGGTTCTGGGCGAGAAGTTGGATGATATGTTGACGTAATCGGGTTATTTGAGGAAAGCATATCTGGCGTTCAAAATGGTCTTTTGGTGTATATATGCGAAAAGTTGTCTATACTATTTCGTCTTGATTCTTAGTCTTGCAGACTTGTATAGATTCCTCTAATAGATTTACAGTACTGGCAAGCTGTTGTAGTCTTTCTTTTCACTTTCAGTGACCGGCAAAAAAAATAAAAATGAACTGACAAGGGTGGGATTCGAACCCACGCCTCTTGCGAGACACGGAAACTGATTAACAGTTTATAGGTCCAGTTCCTGAACCGTGCTCCTTAGACCGCTCGGACACCTTGCCATGGTTATACTATTTTCCATGGTTTTGTATTAAGTCGGCTGCTTGTACAACTGTCACCCTAGGCTTGCTTGCCCTAAGAAGATTCCTGTAGGATAGAGCTTCAGTATGTTTATCCGTTCTGTACTATAATCACTATGTCATGATCAATGGATAGCTTAGTAGAAATGTCAGTTGACCACGCCTAGCAATATGTATATATATATATATATATATATATATTTATTTATTTATATACATATATAAATATCTTGCGTCTACAACAACGGCACCATCAACCCAAACACATTCGCCGGATCAAACCCCTCTTCAGACCCCTCACTACCCCAGCCTTATGCCCATACACCCTCCGCAGCAGCTCATCGGATGATATTGCTGCAGTATTATACAACGATACATACACCGTCGGGAGTATAGTCATCGGATCCGCACGCTCAACCCCCTCGCCATCTGCACAGCCCATTCCATCGCGTCCGCGCTGAGCGTCTCCTCCACCGCGTACCCCAGGAACTCGAGCATGTAATGCGGCTCTCTTGCCGCGAAGACGGTGGAGTGCTTCTGCGTCATGGCCGACGGACCCCGCAGCTGGTGTATGGAGAACATCGTGCCTGGGTCGGGGGGCATCGAGTCGAGATACTCTCCGACAGTCTCCGCTACGGCGGGGTAATGCTGCGGATGCTGTGGGTACTCGGGGCACCGTAGGCGGTGATTGGGATCAGGGCGCCGGTGGAGGCTAGTAAGGACGGGATGGTGGTTTCGGAGACGGTGTTGGCGAGGCAGGGGGCGAGGGCGGCGATTTTGGTTGCCCAGGTGTTGCCGGTAGTGGTATCAGAACCGCTCCAGACGAAGATGGCGGCGAGGAGGCGGCCTGCGGAGGGGCTGTTGAAGGCTATTTGTTGGACGGAGAGTTGTGGGGGAGGGGGTCTTCGTCGAGGAGGGCGCGGTAGGCGGCGTTGAAGGTGATGAAGGTTTTGGTGATGTTGGTTGAGTCGTAGAGGATGGCGCCGGATAGGAGCTGATGAGGGGTGTTAGCTTTGGCATCGGGTTTGGGGTTTCAGGAAGAGTGCTTACCGTGGTGAGTGGGTAGACCTTGATGGTGAGATCGACGATCACACCGAATAGACCCCCCGCGCCGCGGATGCCCTGGAGAAGGGCCTCGTCGGCAGCGATGATCTCGCCGTCCGGGTTGATGACGGTCGCGCCGAGGATCTGGTCTACGCCTAGACCCCAGTGCGAGGAGAAGGGCCCGTACCCGCCGTATGCGGCCCAGCCGACATAGCCTACGGATGGGACTGTTCCTGTCGGTGTGGCTAGCCCCTCTGCCCAGAGTCTGTTGGCGAGTTCCCCCTGTAAGATGCCGCCTTGGACGGTGGCGGACTTGCGATCCGGTGCGATGGTGACGGCATTCAGAGCGCGCAGGTCAATGAGCAGGGCGCCGTCGACAATGGATCGGCCTTCCAGGTTATGGCCGCCCGAGCGGAGTGTGAAGGGGAGAGACTGGGATTTGGTGAATCTGATCAGAGAGGCCACATCCGAAGGGGACTGCGGCTGGACTATGGCCAGCGGGTTGTCACGGCGGGAGCTGTTCCAGACCCTGCGAGCGGATTGGTACTCGGGAGAGGAGGGTGGGATGTACTTGATAGTGGAATGCACCTGGAGAAAGGTCTCCAGGGCTGTTAACTGGATGGTGTCCGTCATAATGTTGAGTCGGATGAGTTGGCATCAAAGTCAGGGAAATGAGCCGCTTTTATATGGGCTGTGAGAATCAGGTCATGTTGCTGCAATCCTCTTTCTGACATGCATATACACAGCCGTGGGTTGCTGGATGGCCCAAGATCCGGGCATGCGTCACGCAGAGGAGCATCCATCCCACCATGTGAGATTTCTCTCTCATCTCTGTAGATATATGATAGGATAAGAGAGAGTCAAGCATGCCGAAGATTCAGCCTCCCTGTCACCAACATGCTATTCCTGGCCTAATTGGTTTCGACATGGCTCACAGAGTCTCTCACTTCTCCCACCGTAAGCACTAACCACGAAGTGTGACAGCAGCATATAGATAGATGAGATGACCAGCTCAGCACTCATAACTAGATTCTTGATGCGAGAATGTCAAAGCTATATTTCCAAGCGGGAGGAGAAGAGCTGAGCACCAGGGATTTCGATGAACAATAGCACTTAAGCTCACTCCGGAAGTGTATATTCAACCAGGAGCACGCGCACAGTGTAAGGTTACACACCGTAGAAAGAACATGCCGGAGTTTGACAGGTAAGAAGTTGTGTGTGTCCAGATTGATCTTTCAGAATGGAGACTAGATGCGTCCTAACTCCTGAGTGTTATTGTTCCCAAGTGGGAATACTCTACAGAGTATGAGCCATAAGGGTTGAAGAATGAGGAAGTGGTGCAGGCTAATATACCATAAAATGGAGCGTATAATTACATAATGGCAAGGTGTCCGAGTGGTCTAAGGAGCACGGTTCAGGAACTGAACCTATAAACTGATTCATCAGTTTCCGTGTCTCGAAAGGGGCGTGGGTTCGAATCCCACCCTTGTCATTTTCTTCTTTTTTCCTTTCGAAGTAAAAAAATATACATATTCTTTTTGCTTCTTGGGCATTGTCGATGACGATAATATGAGAATATTATAGGGGATGCATGGTGGTTTCTGTTGACGCCGTGATGCTGAACCTGGTAGCGTTTGTGGAAGCGAACTGACTTCCTACTCTATATGAGAACAGCGTTATAAGATTATAAGATGAGATCGATTATATTATTATAGGAATACAAAGCAAAATATCCAACATAAGCCAATCTAATAACAATGCCATGGAGCGCCCAAACTTTTATAGCAAACATCAATCTATGGTATCAAGATGTCAATGGGTATATCATAGAAGCAATCAGAAACGCCATGCGATTAGTAATGTCATCATATCAGTCTTTTTCAATCATCAACCAGCAGCGACTCGCCGGGGTTGTTCGCTCGCCAGCAACGGCACTCGGATGGCGGTATACTCCGGCGGGGCGCGATGTGGTTCGACTGCGCCAGAGGAAATGACTCGTAGGAGGTGATAGACGGGGGCGCAACGTTGCGAGGGCTGAAGAACTCGGCGTCTACCTCTTCCAGAGTGATTTCGTGGACCCCGTACTTGGGGCGCGTATCTGCCTTGGGTTGGCAGGTGAGCTGAAGTGGAACGCGAAGGGAGGCAGTGGGAGTCAGGATGTTGGCGTTCGGAGTGTGGTACGAGATGCTGAGGTCGAGGGTGTACATGCGGGAGATGAGGCAGGAGTGGAAGGTCGGAACAAAGGCCTTGGACGCGGGAAGGGAGACCGGCACCACCACCGAGGCGGTATAGTAGGTGCTTCCCGAGAAAGAGGCAGAGGGTCCCGTAAGCGACTCGGACGACGAGGTAGACTCCAATGAGCACCGACGGACCGGGCTCGAGACCGAGTGCTTAGTCCACTGCGCGGAGGCGACGCAGAGGGTAGACAGGGGCACGGTCTCAGTGTAGAGACTCTTCCCGGCCTGCGCCCACATGGTCGCCGACTGGGCGGAAGGGTAGTCTTCCCAGGGGACAGCGGCGTAGTATGTCGATACGCGCAGTCTACTCCAGACGGTGCCGAGCCGGGGCGGCGCTTCGTTGGCGACAGGATCGAAGCGCAGGTGGATGGTTGCCACTGTCCCGACAGACTCCTTTGTCTCGTACTGGGGCGCAGTCAGTTGGACTGGCTTCGGTTGCGAGGCGGCCACAACCAAGCGGCCCAGCTTGCCGCGCATGAGTCCGCGCTTGACGTCCTTCTCCTTGCGGGTGCAGTAGACGTCATCGCCCTCGAAGACGTTGAGTGGCGGTTCCTCGTCGACGGTAGGGATAATGCGCACTTTCTTTCCCGCCGAGGCGAGGGGCTTGCGCACGCCGTTCTCACCGGCGGGCTTGCGGTTCACGACAACCCGGATCATATAGGAGATCTGGCACATCTCGGGCACCATGTCGTCCAGCAGGGTCTTTCCGTTACTGGCGAGCATGGGGTCCCCCAGGGTCGGGGGCAGCAATGTGTGGGACCGCTCCACATGGGCGTTGGTCTTGGAGTGGGAGCAGATATGGGGGAGCAGACGATCGGGGACAACAAAGGTGAAGGGGAACTGGTAGGAGCGTCCACTCTCAAGAATGCGGGGAGTTGGGTACGCGGCGTCATCAATGGGCTGGCGCAGCTTGAGGAATGTCTGATAAGCCCCTGTGCGGCCGGGGTAGGCTGCCCGCTCAACCGACGTCCTTGCTGTTCCTATTCTCGTCTGTTAGCAAGCACGCAACCGTGGCAGCTGACGAGGGAAGTCGCACCTTCGAAAGTGATTTCGACGTCCTCAAAGCGCGTGTCATGGTCTACTCGGATGGTCACGGTTCCTTCGATGTGGTCCTTGGTGGTGTACGAGCTGACAAGCCCCTCTGTCTGATTGGCAAGGTCGATCTGGATCTTGGGACGAGAGCGGCCAGTCAACGACTCCAGGGAACTAGATCCCCGAGTGATAATCGAAGCCGCCATTGAGAGAGCTGGTCGATTGATCGAGCGGACGAAGTATAGAGACGCAGCGCCTCAGCGCAGTTCGATCCGGTCGTATATGAAAGAAAAAGTGTAGACGCAGTAGTCAAGGGATCACACAAGTTATATTTACTCCGATCAAAAATAATAATAAAAAAGGAAAGCGACGGAAATTTCCGCGGAAGCTATGACTGGAGAATCCAGGGATGGGGTGACGGAAGTATTGCTGTTGGGTAATGGAAAAGAGCAGCAGTGGAGCCCTGAGGGTCTGCGATAGTTCTATACAACAGTAGTATAAAAACAGAGATGAGATGGAATTACAACGGAGAGCAAGGGAAACAACGCATGTTTATAAAAGGAGGAGAAACCCCCTTCTGTATTGTTCAGTTTGAGAACAACATGGATTGCTAAGCATAGACGAACGTTTGTGAGTCATTTGCATCAAGAAAGTTTTGAATTCCATACGCCTTTGGGAGGTGAAGAAGTATGGAAATGCAGCAATACGGGGAAACGATCAGCCATGGATTGCGACATCTGGACTGACCGACTCCGTCATAGAATTGATGGATCATGAGGACATCAGCCAGGAGAAAGCCACCAAGCACGTGTGATCTCAAGGCAACTTCCCGATTGATGGATGGCCGATGAGATAGTACCAAACTATACTTGGTCATGTTGATGAAGGAACAAGAAGAAGTTGGGAGAAAAAAAGAAGCATTATCCACCTGCAAAGGGAAGCAGCTCTGATTGGCCAGTTTGGAGGAAATGACTAATGCTCAGTCTGCGCCCTTGCGATGACAATGACACGCCTCTGCTCGTATTCCTTTCCCTAGAAATACACTGAGAACACTGCAGGAACATAATGAAAGACGTCGAAGATTACAAATTCATCAGAGGATGACGACACAATGAAGGAGAAGAAGAGAATCAATTAAACAGTGATCAACCTGGTCTGTTCAGCATATAGTATGATGATCACGCAACAATGATTGTCTTCCATTAACTATATTTATATATTATTGCTTCACTATTTGTTTCACATGCGGATGATGATTTTCCTCAGTTTTCAATAGGATTGTATTGAGGACCTTGATACTAGTGTCAAATACAATACCAAGATTTTTCCTGCTTGGTCTGCGCCTTTCATTGACATCTTGCAAGAGCAGTAAGACTCATGGGCTGGTTTGTGGCTGTAGTGCACGCCCTTTGATGCGCCTACCCGACTAGCTTGGTTCGTACACGGGGCCGGCTAAATAAAAACGTCAAATACGCATTGACATCAATTCTGGTCTCCCACCTGGTAATAACATGAAAATATTAGACAACTTGGATCAATTCTTGACTGCTTTTGAGCAATTGAACTGTTTTACCTCTTATCTTTCTACTATGATCGAAGACGAGGATAACCGAGCGAAATTCTAGAATTGGCTCTATGGGGCTACTCCAGTTCTATCCGCTCTTAGCCGAACTATAGACCACCGACTGCGTCTCCGATTAAGCACCTGCATATAAAAGTCTGAGACTTGACAGTTTTCCGATCACGCCAGGTGCCGACTTCCAGCTCGGCGGAGTTGGGTCCCGTCTCCCCATGCTTTCCGTGCGGTGGATCACCCGAGTCTGGGTTTGGAAGGACGACAGACTGTAAATAAAATTCATTATTGCCCCTGTTGAGCGGCCATTAATCGATACCGACCCGCTATCCTCACCCGAATCTTCTTCCCATACATCACCATCGGGACGATGGTCATGGTGATTGCCAGAGTGATAAACCCGCAGGCGCTGCACATGCCGGGCAGTCCGCTTCGCTGCATCCAAGGAGAGATTGCAAAGGGAACTCCGATGCTGACAGCGTTGCGTAGAAACGTAACGCCTGTGAAGGCATCTCCGGTGATCTAGCACCGACCCCTAGTCAGAGTAGCCCATGCAGAAGCAAGGAAAAGGGATGGGCTTACATCAGCATAGCTGTCAATCACCAGCCTCAAAGCTGCATCGCTAATACTTCCCAGTCCGAAACCAAATAAAGCGCCGCCGATACTCGGCCAGATCCAGTGCTTGTTGATCGAGTTCATGGTGGCCTGCCGTATTCGTCTGCACCCTACTCGCAGGATATTCGAGATCGGGCTTGCAATCCGCCTTGAGGGTGTCCACGGAGCCCTGCTGAGCATCCCCTGCAAGTCCCGCAGAAGCACACTCCCGCCTTCAATGACCTCAGAGTACTTGGTCTCCTCGTAGAGAAACAGGAACAGAACGAAAAGAATGACATTGCGGATCCCCAGTGTCCGATAGGATCTCCGCTATCCTTGTTGTATTGCTTGAGTCCCAGCCGCCATGGGAGAGAGGAAGCTCTGTTATGGCACAAATGAGCATGGCTGTGATCAGCAACGCCGGTGGGTTTTACTTACTCCAATCAGCACAATAGTCATGTGCAAGCATTCATGCCCCGGGGAGACCCTGAAGCAAGTTGGCAATATACAAGTCCGTGAGACTCTCCAATTTTGACATCGAGAAAGACGTCACCAGCATCGACGCGGTCGAAACCAGATACGCAGGTCTCCTTCCGAATTTCTTCGCCAGCAGTGTCCCCTGAGCCAGTTGTGCAAAAATAACCATACGAATCATCCCAGAGATTGGAGAGAAATGATAACTACACATGACGACGCCATTGACCGAGTCAAAAAAAGCAGTATCGATTAAAGAACCGGTGGTACCGGAGGTGATCGCTGTGCATCCCTCCTTTCAAGCACGAGGCCTCGGGAAGAAGGTCATCGGCTGGGTCTTAGACTATCTCCGGCAGGAGCCCATTATACTCGAAGTACGAGCGAGAGCAACATCTCATTTTATGAGAGTCTGGGGTTTGAGGTCGTCGAAGAGGTCGAGCTAGTCGAAGATGATGAAGCAGTAAGATTCTGGTTTATGTTGAGGCAAATAATGAAGAAAGAACTCGCACACTAAGCATTTGTATAAGAGACATACCACTTCTCAGATAAGTCCTTCCTCCAAGCGGGCTCATTCGAGCTTCAAAGTAAAGTACTCCGTACAAACTGCTTCAATGCTGGATTGTCATCCATAACGTCGGTCTGTAGACCGACAATAAAAGTCGGGGTAGGGAACCGCATTCATGGTCAAGGTGTCCCTTCCATCCGGTCCTCCTGATCCACGGTGAGAATGAAGAAGGGCATAGAGCATATGACTGCCAGTCCACTACCTTTTCACCTCTCTCTATTCTTAGACAGCTATATCTTTGCACTACCTGGTTAACTACAAATAAGACGATATCCCATTGACATTACGAGGTAGAACAGAGTCCTTGATCCTTTTCTCGGTCACCAGCATCTGCTCTGGAAACCAGGAGAGGTCTGCGGATTCTGTCTCTAGCAGTCCATCGTCATAAGCCAGCAACATCGTTCCCAGAGCTTTTCCACACAGCCATGCATTCACCATTCCCTCCCCTGAAAACCCGGCAGAGACCCATTCAGCTCCTTGGCCTTTCTGTTTCTGTTCCCTTTCGGTCAGAGAGACGGGAAGTTGCCCTACCCACGGGAAGCCGTCTGCGCTGAAACCCATATTCCCGGTCCACATCTTCTCCACGCTGGGACCCGGGACGCTGCCCCAGTTCTCGCGACCAAAAATAGCACTCAGCGCACCGGAGAGATGGATATCAGCGTAGAGACTCAGCTCTGAGTCGGTGGAAATACCAAAATCGCCAGCACCGCCGAGCTCGCCGTGAGCCAGTCCGCCTCCGAACATCATCATCTCGCCTACCTCGGACGGTGGTAGCTGAGTTAGGTAGTCGAATCCCCGTTCGTAGTTAAAAATCCAAGAATGCTCGGTTCCCTGATTGCGAAACTGGCTTCCCGGTGTCTGCGCAGACATTTGCCCTCGGACTGGGTAAATACGGCCTCTCAATCCGGGAGCAAGGTGGCCAACGTGAGCGTCGGTACAGTGGACGACGTGACGAGCGCGGATAGTGCCTCTGGTCGTTTCGATCAAATATCGCAACGAAGTCGCCTCTTCAGGGGTAGCATCACGGATAGCTGTCACCGGTGTATTGGCTTCAATTCGCAGATCCTGAGGGAATTCGCTGCGCAAATGAGCCAAAATGCCAGTGATCAATCGGTATGGCCAGATAGCACCAGCCGGACCAGCGACGATACCTCGAGCATTAGGGAGGCAAAATTCCTGCACATTTCAGAAAAATGGAAATCCAGATGAGCCTACTGAGTGAAAGAAAATCTGCGACTCACCTTTGGAATCTCATTTCTCTCATATGCTCTCCACTCGACGGTTTCATCAGGTAAACTCTCTTTCAGACGTTGCAGGCGAGACAAAGCCCCTTTCCAGCCTCTCTCATCAAAATATACACACAGAAACTGAACTTCTCTCACTTGAGTCTCCTCCGTCAGTCCATACTCATCAGCGACCTTCAGGATCTCCTGCAAATGAGCCATTCGAAACTTGACGATTTTCTTGGCCGCTTCAAGGCCATGTGATGCTTCGAGCTCTGCAAATTCTTCCGCTGTTTCAATGATATGACCGCCATTGCGGCCGGTGGCACCACTACAGACATCACGCGCTTCCAAGATAACAACAGCCGGTCGGGGCTTGGTCTCCTTCCCAGGCTTGCGGGCCTTCAGCAGAGTCCTTGCAATTGAAGTTCCAGTCACTCCAGAACCGATGATGACTACTTCTGCCTCAGATGGCAGCTCAGCGGACTGCGCCTGGGAAATTTCGGGATGCGGTGTTCTGAGCCAGAAAGAAGAAGTCGGGTGAGCTGAAGGTAGACCGGGGTCGGAAAAAGCACGGTCGAGCGCCTGTTGCCGATCTTCTATCGGAATAGCAGGGTTGGAGAGTATAGCTTGAGCGAACGCCATGATGAGAGCTGATATCGGGTCGGTGCTACAGCGGAACTAGATTGCAGCGGGAACACGCAGTTTATCAGGCTGTCAAGTCGAAGTAGCTGCGGGTCAAGACATGCAAACTAGCGAGAGCAATCCTATCAGGCCATTTGATGCTGCTGCATGTTCAATCTCGGCGACTCGGACGTCCCAGCTAATCAGAACGGATGGACTGAGTCTTTGGATGTCTCTATACTAGAGACGAGCAACTGGCTGATATCATATGCTTGATTATCGAGGGTCGACCTGCCTTATATGGCAGTAAGCTTGACCCCACATCGGTAGAGGTATACAGGCATTGTTGGCAATCGTCGCAGCCATCTCGGATAAGATATCGTGCGCCAGAAACAGACACCCACGGTCGAGTTGCTCTTCTTATATAACGTCTCTTCATTTGGTGACCTTACGAAGATTTAAGGTGTGAGATTGCAGCTCGCTCTGAGTTGCTACTTGAAAGCTTGCGCGATACGAGTCAAAACTACAATTCGGACATCATCCCACTGCCATTGCCTCGTCTCACTTGACTACGCTTTATCTCAACCTCTTGGTCATCCAGATGCTGATTCTCCGGATAATGCCTACTACCCTAATAGTCCGCCAATGCGACGATCTAGCCTGCCATTCCTCGATTCCCAAGTCGCCACGCCCCGTTTCCAGGATGAAAAAGCGTCTCTGGCTTTTTAGACGAAGATATCGGATCATAGTATCGGTATCGTTCTATGTATATATATATATACCCACATCTCAGTCATATCCTCAAGCTTACTCCCGACTGCCTCACTTCAACTCAATCCCATTCTTCTGCCAAACCTGAGCATCAAAGCCCTCCATCAACTCCCTGTACTCCTCTCCAGCACCAACCCACCCCTTAATCCCACCCTGCAGCACCAAGCTCTCAATCGAACCATCCTTCTGATCCTCAAGGTAATCCGCAAACCAATTTGCAGCTCGAGTGCCCCTCCCCGCCGAAGAGCCTGTATCAGCATGAGCAATCAATCAATCCACAAAAAGTCAAGCACAGCCCTGCACATCCTGCAGAGGTCAAATCACATACCACAATACCAAATAATGTACTTCACCCCTCCCGCCCGGAGAAGATTATACACCGTCGGCAGAGAATAATACAAGCTCTGAGCGGGCAGGTTCAGCGAGCCCCTGATTGTTCCTCCCTAACCCACCAAATCAGTACAATTTACAGTTGCCAGTGACAAAGACGGGCAAGCACTCACTTCGTGGTCATTCCGGCGCAGATCAACAAGCACGTAGTCCTTTCCCGCCTGCTTGCCCTCGCGCATCCACTGGAGCATTTCTTCTCGGGAGATGCTGCGGGCGGTGTTGCGGGGTGCTGGGAAGGCGGCGTGCCAGGGTTGTTCGGCGGGTGGTTGAGTAGACATTATGTATGCGTTATCCTGTCGGATGGTGTTTGGATCAGTGGTGATTTACTTTTACTGAAAAGAAGAGAAGATGACAAAGTATGGAACAGTTCAGGGCAGCCCGAGTGATAGAAAAGGCATTGGATAGAGTATGAGGGGCACCAGCCAATCAGCGTGCGCGAGCTACATTCCATCTAGTTTGCTAAGGGACTTAAGACTGCAGATTCTACGGATAGGAATCGAGATATGGAAGATGTTATGTCATTATGAATAAAAGAGCTACGAGAGTGTCCCGACTGATAAATTACGATTCAATATCCGTGGTGCATAACGGATAAAACCGTACTCAAAGATCGTCGAGGGCAAGACCTCATTCTCGTCTCATACAGACCTGCACATGAGAGTGCAGGCTGCATCCAGCTCAAGATCAACCGAGTGAAGCAGAAGACCGAGCGAGGCAAGAGACATCCGCCTACAGATTGCATGTATGCTTGGGAACCGGAAGACTGATATAAAATCTGTACATATGCTTATCTAGCATGATCGTCATTGGGTATCTATAGACCCTCGCACACAGACGCCGGAATTGCCATCAGAATTGTTAGTACGCCACCCTCGTCCGCATATCCTATTGTATATCGTTAGTGGCACCATCCCAGAAATAACATGGGGAATGGCTGACTTACCGAGATCTTCCGCTCAATCTCCCTAACGGAACGATCCAGTTCCGCTGCAATCATCATCTTCGTGTCATTAGGCAATAAGAAATACATTTCGCACAGATCTCCATCAATCACACCCTTGACTGGTGCATAATAGCTGCGATAGATGAGATGATCCCGTCCAGCGAGGGGTGGGCACTGTGATGCTAGTTGCATCTCTAGATTCTGGAAAAAGTCCACATCCTCGCGGCTCACAAAAGGCACAAGCATGCCAATTGTACCCTGAAACCCGGTCCACACAAGGATGTCTCGTCCACCTGCCACTAGTTGTGTCTTGTGTAAGCTGGTCGGGATATCCTGTGTGTAGGTGTGGATCATCAGATCCAGGCGATTCGGTGTGCCATGCAGATAACCGCGCTCATGAATCAGATGCGCTCCCGATCCGTCCTCGTCCGCCTCCTCCGAGACCTTCTTAGGGCAGCGGACGAGCCACAGATTGCCAAATTTGTCACCACCGGCAACAGTCTCGTAGTCTACCATGGTGGTGCTCGTCGTCCAGCGAGAGACGGAATCATCAACGAAAGGAATCAAGACGTTCTCCTGGTACTTGTATACGACATACGTCACACTTTCGCGAACGTCGCTGACGATAATCCGGCTACCTTGTGTCTGAAGGCCAACAATTGTCTTTGACACAACGGGAGCCTGACATTTTCGGAGCAGTTGTTTCATTCCCAGGTCGTAGATCCGAAGGGTAGAGCCGATGCCGGCAAGAAGACGTCCCTGGAATCCGAGAAGAGCAAGAGGTGGCTCTTCAACCTTTGTCTTGTGAATGAACTCCAGCTCCTTCCCATCTTCTTGGAACCTGTAAATGTGAATGAAACCCCGGCTGATGAGGGAGGGTTGACAATCATATCCTTGGCCGTTCCCACCACCAGGAAAGTTTCATCGTCCTGGCTAGAGAAGGGTACGGCTGCCATGCTGACGGCGGCTTCATTCTCCTCAAGTTCAATGGTCGAAATCACCGCTTTGGCATCTAGGGGATCGACGATCTGAATGCAAGACGCCCAGTGACCTGTAGCCCGTGGATAGCCAAAATCTTCGGGCGGAAGAACATTTGTCTCGCCATTACGCGCCTTGGAATCTTCAATCAATCTGGCTCTCGTAGCCGGCGATAGGACATTGTTGTCGGACTCAATAACATAGAACAATGGCTGTTCTGGATGCTTCAGCATACGACGGGGCGTGTTTGAAAGAGGAATGGACTCCTGCAGTATGTTGTTGTCCAACTTCTCGATAGAGAAAATCCTGTCATCGCGGGAACGAGTTAGTCAAATGTATCAAGTAAGACATTGTTTGACATTTGAAACGTATATAATGCAGTGATCTCAGTAGGAACAATTGGAGATATAAACTTTAAAGAGATGATCCACATGAACTTTCGGATTAAAGTTCTCATCATACGATCACAAAGGAGAAGTGAACATGCGAGTAAAGAGGGATGAACATACCGAAGATTCTGTGCCTGGATGCCAACCATGCCTTCAACACACTGCTCACTGGAGAAATTCCAGCCCCATTCCAAGCCCACGTAATCCAGCGGGGTGAGCATGAAACCCTTTGTCTGGATGTCGGAGTAGCCCAGCCATGGTCGGGAGCTGAGCGCGAGAACGGCCGTTTGTCCCTTGACGGAAACACGGAATAGCTTCACTGGCTTGGCTCCCAGGAAACGGGTACGAGTATCGGAAAGTTCGCCAGTCACCTCGTCGAGAACAGTTCGGAGGTAGACACCAGAGTAGAGGCCAATGTGCAAGTACAGTGTCGTGCCTCCCGAGCTTGAATCGGCCATTGACATGATGTTCAACGCAGATGGAGCCGAGGTAAGAGCCTGGACTGACTTATTCTCCAAGGTGGAGTCGGGATCCAAGCTCAGAATGCGGACAGTAGAGTCGTCACATCCGACAGCCAAGAAAGAACTTCTCACACGTCCTTCAGGCACCTCGCCTAAGCTGAGGCATGTTACTGTACCAGACATCTGGCGTCTCTCATCGTATTCAGCGAGCGTTCCATCGGCATCCATCTCGAAGTACACGATTTCACCTGAGCTGAGGGCAACCGCTACCTGACGCTCATTTGTCGCAGCGGCGACAATCGAACGATGTTGAGGAGCGGGCCACTCATTGACACGCCGGTCTGCAAGGATATGGCGAATGCCCCTCGGGTGAACCTGAATCAGCGAATCCTCACCGAGCTGCTGAACAGCCAAAGTAGGTGCAGTGGAAAGAAAGCCGGTGTCGGTAACTTCTTCAACTGTCTCACCGATGCTGAGAACCAAAGTACCGTTTGCGAAAGAAAGAATAATGTAAGCATCAAACTCATCGGCACGAGTCAACTTGGTAGTCCAAACAGCAGAAGGCACACTGGGGAGCTCCGATTCCACGATCTCAGAGACTTCCAGACCGTGCTTGAGGGTCCTGAAGCTGCTCCGGGCGCCAGTGCCGGACACCGTGTAAATTTGAGGAGCGTCGTCCTCGTTAAGATTCACAATCTTACTATCGATCAAAGGGTTGAGAGAGTTGAGTGTCTCAACGAGGTTGAGGTTCTCCGCTCCTCTCGGTCGGAAGAAGACCGGCTCGTAGGGAACAGAGGGATCCGCAGGAAAGTTTTCACTGCTGAATTCAGTCTCTTCGTCGTCATCTCCCAGCTTCTCGAATTGGTAGAAGTGATGGTTTCCTGCTTCACTGGCAACGTAAAGGAAACCACTCTTCAGAATCAACAGATTGGACGCGATAGGGACTGTATCAAAGTATTTGATCTTCAACCTTCTAACCTCGCCAGTCAGTTGTCCGTTGTCATCCTCCACCATATCGATGGAAATCTTGAACAGGTCGCCATCTTCACTCTGAAGAAGGAAGAAGAAAGCACCCCTCATCTTGTGCATGACGCCGGCGACGATAGAGCGCTTGCGCTCGGGGTTTTCTGTTGTACCAATGCGTCGAGGAATCGGGACTCTGAATGCATCTTGGTTTGAGTGCCGGTAGGTAATGTTATCCTCTGCACATACCAGCACACCACTGGGACCATCGGCACCTCCCGGCACCTGGAACAGCATAGATGCTGTGCGGTCAACAGGATCGGCCCACTTGCGAACAACATGATTCAGCCCGAGATCAAGTTCATAATACACAAGCAGTTTTTCGGACTCTTCGTACGCTCGACCAGTTGGATCCTGATCCGCCTCCGAATAGTCAACCTCGAGGGCCGCGAAGATTGGATTCTCGTAGCCAACGTCCAGAGCCGTCATTGCAAAGACCACTGTCTGCGGCTTGTGGGCCTCCAGAGGGGACGAAATCGTGAGCTCGGCCTGCGAGTTCCGATTCAGAACGTAAACGAGCTTATTCTTCTCCACAGAGGCAATCAAACAAGCTCTACCTTTTGGATCGACCGCAAGGTATTGACCAGGAACGACACGACGGACGCCGGACTTTCCGAAGGTCTCAAGATGGATACGGTTGAACCGATTCTGGGAGGGAACGTATTCAATGATTGTGATACGTCCCGAGTCCGAACCAATGATTATAAAATCTATAAGCAATATTCTTTTCAGCACAATTCAGAAACAGCATCCAGTGTCAGCAACGCCGACCGGAGCACGTCCCGCTTCCAATAAGGTCGGCTCGGCAGGTAAGGATCATGCTGCCCCGGAAGCTTGACGAATCACTAAGTTGGTCTTGCGATTGGGGCGAGGAGGGAGAATGTCAAACATACCTTTACTGCTTCCAGCCAGCCGAAAGGCTGCCAGAGAACGGATGATACCGAAGACATCCTGGGAATAGATTGGTGTAATCTTGCCCTGAGTCGGATCGGGACGATGAATCGTGAGCTTCGACCCTGACGCCGTCACGATCTGTTGCTCCTTAGTCCCTGCAAACTGGCCCAGAATAGCTTGTGTGATCGCAGTTGGAGGCTGGATCGTCAGGGAATACATGAACATGTTCGAAGTGGTAGCCATGGTGAACGATTAGGCTTTTCAAAGCCCGAACCGAGGGTTGCGGTTTGCTAGTGTTTTACGACGCAAATGCAGTCAATTTGACTTCAAAATAGAATCAATCCCATTGCTGCAGCTCGAGAGATTGGAAAAGAGGACTCTCAGTTTCCGAGTGTCCTCAGAGAAGGGATTGGCAGCGGGGTTGGAAATACTTGCACGAGAAGAGCGAGTATTGCCCAACTGCGTCCTGAGGAGCCAGAAGTGAAAATTCAGCTCTGAAGGGAGAAAGAAGCTCCAGTCACGTGGGTTTATACTGTTTGTCCCCACCTGCACGTGACATTACTGCATTATTGTCAATCCACGCTGTTGTGAGCTCAGTGCATCAATTCGCCGGCCAAAAGAAAGGCGGTCGATGGGATTCTGCCTGCTTCCACCTTACCAACCACTTACAGCCTAGAGCTGTCTCCCCTCATATCCAGCTTACAGATAGGCAGTCGGCTCATCTGGCTTTTCTCAATTTCATCATTTTTCCTGTGTTGTGCCATATTCTCAGTCATACTTTGAATTCTACCAACTATCCCTCTGTCGTTGAGTGTGATCCCTCTTCGCAGCGCATCAGCTCTACCCTCCTCAATACTCCTTCCCGCACCTGCATTACGTATCATGGCCGACGATACCGCCACGACTGAAGATTCGCCCATCACCTTCACAATCAAATCCTCCAATGACGCCAAATATACCCTGACTCTTCCTCTTTCTACTCAAGTCTCGGAATTAAAAGAGAAGCTCTCATCTTCCGAATATGCCGATACTCCAGCTGAACGTCAGCGCTTGATCTACTCTGGGAGAGTGCTCAAGGATAATGAGACTCTAGCCACTTACAAGATCAAAGATGGCCACACTGTCCATTTGGTAAAAAGCGCTGCTAGTAATCAGAGACAGGGTGGGGCTACGCAGAGTGCGGCTACATCTGCACCTACTGGTACCTCGGCTGCTCCTTCAGCTGGTGCTGTGCCCACCAATCTCGCTGCCGGTACTGGTAATAACCCGCTCGCGGGCCTGACAGGTGCAAGATACGCTGGATTTGCACAGCTTCCGGGTGCTGGCATGTTCGGTCCAGATGGCGGGGTAAGTGTTTGTCATTGTTGATTGAGAAGTTTTGCTTGCTTTTTGAATTCAACGGCTGACTGATGCGTCTAGATGGGACCTCCTCCCGACGCCGAAAGCATGCTCAACATGCTTGAGAACCCCCAGTTTCAATCTACCATCAATGAAGCCCTGCAGAACCCAGCCATGATCGACATGATGATCCAACAAAATCCCATGTTGCGTGATATGGGTCCTGGAGTGCGGCAAATGATGCAGAGCCCTGAATTTCGCCGCATGCTCACCGATCCCAATTCTATCCGTCATATGTTGCAGATGCAGAGGGCATTTGGTGGCGGCGGATTGGGCGGAGGTAGTGCGTTCCCAGCGCCTGGAGTGACCAACACGACGCCCGAGGAGAACAGAAACAACCAGAACAACAACAATGCGAATGCGGCTGCAGCGGGCGCGCCTCCTTTCAACCCTTTCGCTCCTCCTGCGCTAGGAGCCGGCAATCCTTTCGCTGCTCTTTTCGGCGGAGCCCCACCAGCTTTCGGCGCCAATCCGTCAAGTACCTCGACAGCTGCAGGTGGCGATGAATCCCAAGGCACGCAAGGAGCAACTGGCAGCGCCGCTCCTGGTAGCACAACTACCAGTGAGGGCCAGAACCAGCAGAATCTTCAGAATCCATTCAGTTTCTTGATGAACCCCGCCATGTTCGGAGCTACAGGCTCTCAGGCTGGACAGGCCGGCTTAAATCCTTTCAATCCGCAGCAGAACCCCTTCCTTCGAGATCCCGCACTGCTGTCGCAGATGATGCAGGCCATGGGAGCCCAAGGAGGTGCGACCGGTGCTAATCCTTTGGCGGCTCTGCTTGGAGGCGCCGGCCTTGGAAGCCCTCCGCCGCAGGACAATCGGCCGCCTGAAGAAAGATACGCGGACCAACTGCGACAACTCAACGATATGGGCTTCTTTGAGTTCGAGAGAAATGTGGAAGCTCTGCGACGCTCAGGCGGCAGCGTTCAGGGCGCTGTAGAGTATCTCTTGAGTCATCCTTCGTAATCTCTGGGACTCCTTGCGCTGTGCGATTTCTCTCCTCTTTCCCTTCCGTCTGGTCGGTTCGCGGTGCATCGGCTGGATGTCCTTCATTTGCCAGCACAACCCAATCCTGTTGGCGGCTTCATCTTCTGTCTTCTTATTCTCGACACATTACCTTACGATTACCCCTCGGCGAATTAGTTTCCTCAAATGTGAAATAGCCTGATAGGCGACCGTTTGGACAGCTTAGTGTAACTTTTCAACTTCAGGTCCCAGGTGAGACGGTAGGCACGATAGACTTTCTGATTTGTTTGTGTATGTTCATAATCTCTCATGAAGCTGATTATTCAGCATTCTCCATCGTTATTTCTATGATAAGAGTAGATATCCACTTGAAGAATGGAAGCTAAGCCTATTCTGGATGCCCCGATTCTCCCTTACAATGGGCTCTTCTAACTCCCATGTTCTGGCCTTATTTGTAGTTAGCTTGTTGTTATTGTTACTTTCTCTCCAACAATCGAGTCATCCCTTCCCCGTCCTCATGCTTGATCTTTCTTGCGCAAGGCGTTATCGGCCATTCCATTCGTTATAATAAGCTGGACTGTGAAATCGCGCAATTCCCATCGCTACTCAGTGGCATTCCGACCACTCGGTGCCACGTCTCTCACATTGACAATCACCTTCTTCTTCCCATCGTCCATATTTGTTTTCCGTTGCGATACGTCCATTAGAGACTGCACATATTGATACAGGACATATACTGTTTGATCTACTCTTGGACAAAGCTTGTTGCTGGATTCGGAGTGCGTCAAGGGCGGCCGGCTTGCCCATCTGCGCTTTTCAACCTTCGGACTTGTCCCGCACGACCAATATCATTCAATCGATTACTTGTGCGTGTTTTTGTGAGATATCTAGCTGTCGACTTCGCCTTGGAGAGAGTTGTTTTGCCGCTGCGTAGATGATGAAGCTTCAATCGGTGTTGTGTCCGCGCCAATGGACGATATGGCTGTTATTCGTCTCCCACGCTTGCGCGTTCTACATACCAGGTAGGCTTGCCGTTGACGGAACTTTCTTTGTATATGTACTTATGTTCCTTACTCCGTAGGTTACTCTGTCACGCGCTATAACGACGACGAACCCATCCCCCTCCTCGTCAACAAGATCTTTTCGGACCACACGCAGCTACAGTATGCCTACTTTGATCTTCCATTCGTGTGTCCGCCAAGCGGAAAGAGCCATGGTGGCTCGCCGTTCGGCTCGGGAAAGAGTGTCTCGCTCAACCTGGGAGAGATCCTCCGCGGCGATCGTATCATGACCTCGGATTTCGAGCTTCATATGGGCAGGAATGTGGAATGCCAGAAACTCTGTACAGTGGAAGTGGGACGGAAGGACGTAAAATGGGGCCGGCAACTCATAAGGGAAGGATATGTGGCGGAATGGATTGCGGACAATTTGCCTGGAGCAACGAGTTTCGTCACCGTCGACCGTAGCCGCAAATACTATGCCACCGGATTCAAGATTGGGGACCTGGACTTCTCACCTGGCACCGGCAAGCCCGTTATTTCATCAACAATCATTTCAATATAGTCATTCGTTGGCGGAGTGCTCCAGAAGGAGGCAAGCTGGTGGTCGGTTTTGAGATCTATCCGAAGAGCATCAAGGCTAGCGATTATGAGGAAGACGGATGTCCTAAACAAGTGCATGGCAAACACGAGGGTCTGGAACTATACATTCCTCCTAATCTGTCGAGGCTGAAGGAGATGTATCCTGAATCGTCGTATCTTCCCAAGGAGGATGATGAGATAGACGATGGTGCCAAGCTGAAGATCCCATACAGTTACTCGGTCTACTTCAAAGAAGAGCCTGGTATTGAGTGGTCGAACCGCTGGGACCTTTACTTCAATAGTCAAGGCGAAAGTTCGATGACACATTGGCTGGCTGTTCTGAACTCTTTGATCATATCGGGTGTCCTTGGTGTGGCGGTCTATGTGATCTGGGGTCGGACGGTGCAAGGAGATATCAAGGGTCGCGGAGACGGCGCTATGGAGGACGGCAAGATCAAATTACGTTCCAATTCAACGGAGAAGAAAGGAGAAGGCCTCCTAGATCAAGGCATGGATGTTGAGCGGGATGCCGACGGATCGTCTGATGACGAAGGTCTGGAAGATGTGAGCGGATGGAAGCTCCTCCATGGAGACGTTTTCCGGGTGCCCGAGTATAGCGGTCTGCTAGCGCCATTGGTGGGCTCAGGCATGCAGCTCTTCTTCATGGTGTCTGGGCTGTTGATCCTCAGTTGCTTGGGTGTCTTGAATCCCAGTTTCCGAGGTGGATTTGTTAGTGTGGGCATGGGTTTGTTCGTCTTTGCTGGCCTTTTCTCCGGATATTTCTCTGGGAGGTTGTACAAGACTTTCGGAGGTGTCCATTGGCGAAAGAATACTCTCATCGTAAGCTGATCTGCTGTTTCCTTTTGACTCTGACTGACAGTCGCATAGACCGCTCTTTTCTTCCCGGGGCTGATCTTTTGCCTCATCTTCATACTGAATCTATTTGTCTGGGCACAAGCATCGAGTACGGCCATTCCTTTCGGCACATTGGTCGGCATGCTTGCATTATGGCTTCTCATTCAAGTTCCTCTGGTATACCTTGGCAGCTGGTACGGCTTCGTGCGAGCCAAACCATGGGAACATCCGACCAAGACGAACTCGATCGCGCGCCAGATTCCGCCTCAACCGTGGTATTTGCATAGCATCCAGGGAGCTGCCCTCACCGGGTTACCTCCATTTGCTGTCCTGTTCATTGAACTACTCTTTGTGTTCAAGAATTTGTGGCAGGACAAGAGTGGCTATTACTATGTTTTCGGCTTCCTCAGCGCTGTATCGACGATTGTGATTATCACGGTAAGCGAAGTGACCATCATCGCAACGCACAGCCAGCTGTGTGCCGAGGTAAGTGACTCCGCGATTGATTTGTTTATCACGAAGACTAAGCGCAATAGAACTATCACTGGTGGTGGCAGAGCTTCCTGACAGGTGGAAGCAGCGCCTTCTGGGTGTTTGCTTACTGCATTTGGTACTACTTCTTCCATCTCCACATCACAGGCTTTGTATCAAGTCTGCTCTTCTTCAGCTACAGCTTCCTGGCTTGTGCGGTGTACGGCTTGCTGACAGGGACCGTTGGATTTCTGACGGCATACACCTTCATCCGGCGTATCTACAGGTATGATGGCCCTTCGAGTATATTAGAATAGACTCTGACCGCGATACAGTTCGATCAAGATCGATTGATTTGACATACAGTCTATAGTCAGTCTGCAGGCGCTTCCCTGCAGAATTAAGCTTGTAACATGTTCACTGCGCCCTTGATTTCTCTGAACAGCATTGGATAAGTATATTTTGATTAGCGTTCAACTGCATGCAGTTCCATTATCAGCTCTTAGTACATGAACAACTATAGCCCATTCTTCACTGTTGTAATGTTGTCTCAAGTCAGCGACTGGTTCGCTGTTTTCCGTTTGTACTCGTCCAATATAACCACGAGGCGAGAGATATATAGTTCAAGAATGAAATTGACAGTCATGTCAGAATGCCTTCATAAGAGCTAAATCATAGTCGCTATCGGCGTTGCCGGTGTAACGATCCCTTGATTGACCGTCTGTCCATTTCGTAAGCCGTTGCGCCCCGGACCTAGTCCAGTCATCGGACCGTCGTCACCTGAGGTACAATCACCAATCTAATCCAATCCATATTTCTTGCGTTGCAGCCCACTGACAAATCCTACTCAGTTGCAGCCCAGGTTCCTCACTGAGTAGCCCTATGCCAAGACCTCAAGGTTGTACAGCAAGCATTCCGCTCATCTTGGCAGAATGAAACTACTGCTCTCGACGCCAAGCTAATAGCTGCCTAGAAGTAGGAGTAGTAGCGTAATACACTGGCGAACAGGCTACAAGGAATATGAAACACACTCCGATGTCTTACGTACATCGCAGTCGCTATCGGACCCAGCTGGGAACCGGTGCCGCTTGTAGATAACCCCGGAGTCAGATCGTCGATGCAAACGCAACGCAACGGACTACGTCAGCCAGCCCGCTCGTTGACTGTCGATTGCGTGCTCAGGTGAGAAGATTGCTCATATGGACTACTCGCCATTGTCCAAGGCCAAGAGATGACGGGCATGTTCACTCCTGCTGAGAGTGTATTCGCTAAGGTTGGGAGTGAGTATTTGGTATTTGCTACCTCAAGAGTTGGCTGCGGGTCTTGGACGATGTCATACCCCATACTCCGTACTATGGTAGTACTAGTAACGACTGGAGGCGAATTTGTACTATTGTCCCCGCAAAAGCGAATCGGACTCCGAAAAAAAAAAAAAGCCCATTCCGTAGATCTTCCAGAAACCTTGCATATCCGTGAAACAGCGATCTTCAGGAGAAGCTATGGAGAGGCGCGTGTGATAGGAGGAAGGCGACGATGATGCCATTGTTGCTCCGGATGGGGAATTCTGTCGGGACCCCGGACTGGGGATGGGTACGTAAGGTTGCTGGATGTACCGTGAGATTGGCTTTCGCCATGGAAGCTAGATAGAATGCGGTATGGGATGTGAGCTTGCGTGTTTTTGGTTTTGATTTCAAATGTCTACCGTCTAGTTCTACTATCTATCTCTCTTGATCTCTTGTCAGTCGATCATTGATGTTCTTGGAGACCTTGGACCCCTTGGTAGAAGTGTATCAATTGTGTATCAGTGTAATATACTTGTGTAATATATTTGTAACAAGTTATCAGCTGACCTCCGAATTGAGAAGTGCTGCTCGTGTGATAAGCAAGTGGGGCCATCGGGATCCGGCAATCACTACATCACACAGCCAATCATATTTTGTTTCTGGTTTAGCCTAGAAAGACAAACAGCCACTATACTAGTCTAGGTTAATTCCCTTGAAAGGGGGGTTCTAGCTTCGAAGATGGTTCGCTTTAGACAGACCCTCGATGGGAGCTTTTCGAAGCGACTATGAGATTAAGAAATGAGTTATAAACCAGCATATCAGGTATGTAAGACGCAAGATTATTCCAACCCTGATAAAAAGCTTGGGAACAAATGTGATAGTGCTTGCGTGGCAAATCATACAAGTCCCAGTTAGTCATCTTTATCACTGTAGTGGCGATCATTGGGTTTTCCGGAATCCTTTTCTATGCTGGGTAATCAAGTCCATTCACTCTAGACTCACGCGACCTATATGACTCCCATGAACAACGCATCAATTCCTTTGAGAAGAGATTGATTCATCACAAGAGACCTTTTTTTGCGAGTAATGGCCATGGAGAAAGGACATAGAGCATCATAGAGCCCAAATGATGTTCAGGAGACTCCTTGAGACACCAAAGGACTGGAAGCCCGGAACCGACGCTTGGAACCAACCCCGACGCTCGAGTCAGAAGCAGCGGATATCACACCATCGTCCCCGCCGATGGTTTCATTGCTGCGGACTGGCGGTGAAATACTCCAGCGCTCAGCCTCGATCAATCCTGGTTTCATCTTGCGAAATGCGTTGTGAATGATGTATCTCTATCTACGCTGTATTGCAGGTCGACTACTATTCTCCATCTTGTATCCTGGAACTATTGTCTCTGTAGATGTTCTAGTGGCAGTTAGTGTGCTGTATTGCTGTGTATTAATTACTAGCGCGGATTCTTCTCCAGCTAGTCCCGCAACTTTATCAGAATTACTATAACCCTGCACTGTGAATGGACACCAAGAGACAGAATTCACGGGGATATGCAATCTAACAGTTAACGGGGAAGTCTCCTACTGCTTAATCCCTTCATTTTGCTTTTTTCCCTGCCTTTTCTGGGCACTCTATTTTTTTTTATTTTTATTTTTTTCCTCTTCCATTTGTTTCTCTCATCCTCCTCTTCCTCTTCACTCCGTATTTCTTGTCAATAATAAATTGTTTGATTGTTGATTGTCATCTTTGCTCCACTTGCTTTCGGGACTATTGGACTCGTTTGCCTATATCTATCCATCTTTCCCGTTCCTCTTCCTCTTCGTCTTTGTCCTCTTCCTCTTCCCTCCATCCCGGGTTTTCTCCCATCTTCCCACTCCCTTTCTGTCCGGGTAATTCCTGTGTATATCTTGACTCTAGAATAATTCATCCTTCAAGTCTCGTCTAGTCTGTCTAGACTACTATCCTTCTTAGTGATTGTGACGACAACGACACCACCATGGCGGCCAAGAAGCCCAACATCCTCTACATTATGGCGGACCAGATGGCCGCTCCCCTTCTGGCCTTCCATGACAAAAACTCTCCTATCAAGACTCCCAATTTGGATCGTCTGGCTCGGGAAGGTGTGGTGTTTGATTCCGCATACTGCAACTCCCCGCTGTGTGCTCCCTCGCGCTTCGTCATGGTGACCGGTCAGCTCCCGTCCAAGATTGGCGCCTACGACAACGCCTCAGACTTGCCCGCCGACATCCCCACATATGCCCATTATTTGCGCCGCGAAGGCTATCACACGGCTCTGGCTGGTAAAATGCACTTTTGTGGACCAGATCAGCTGCATGGCTATGAGCAGCGACTGACCAGCGACATTTACCCCGGGGACTATGGTTGGTCCGTCAATTGGGACGAGCCGGTGAGTTGCCTTCTCGCCGTACTCGTAGTACACAGCGCTAATGTGAACAGGATATTCGTCCGGACTGGTATCACAATATGTCGTCTGTGATGGAGGCAGGTCCTGTCGTGCGCACCAACCAGCTCGACTATGACGAAGAAGTCATCTACAAGTCTACGCAGTATCTTTATGATCATGTCCGCCACCGTACCGACCAGCCCTTCTGCTTGACGGTCTCCATGACCCATCCGCATGACCCCTACGCGATGACCAAGGAATTCTGGGACCTGTATGAAGACGTCGACATTCCGTTGCCCAAGACTCCTGCGATTCCCCAGGCCCAGCAAGATCCCCACTCACAGCGGGTCCTCAAGTGCATTGACTTGTGGGGCAAGGAGATACCCGAGGAGCGCATCAAGGCTGCACGCCGCGCCTACTACGCCGCCTGCACCTACGTCGACACCAATGTCGGGAAGCTGCTGAAGGTGTTGGAGAACACTGGGCTGCGCGACAACACCATTGTCGTCTTCACCGGAGATCACGGCGACATGCTGGGTGAGCGAGGCTTGTGGTACAAGATGGTCTGGTACGAGAACTCGGCACGTGTGCCCATGATCGTGCATGCCCCTAACCGCTTTGCTCCTAAGCGCGTTTCGGAGAACGTCTCGACCATGGATCTGCTGCCTACCTTTGCCGCAATGGCTGGAGCCCCCTTGGTCGAGGAGCTTCCGCTGGACGGTGTGTCGCTGATGCCTTACCTCACTGGCGAGGAGGGTGTCAAGACCGACACGGTGCTGGGCGAGTATATGGCCGAAGGCACTCAATCCCCTACCGTTATGATCCGTCGCGGCAGGTGGAAGTTTGTCTATTCGTTGATCGATCCCCCCATGCTTTACGACCTCGAGAACGACCCGGAGGAACGGGTGAACTTGGTTGCGGGTCTTGCTGAGCCGTCGCAATCCTTTGCCGTCAAGGGTGCCTTGCCTGATCAGGTCAGGTCTACCGCACTACCTACACCGGCTGACACGCCGTCGGGAACTCCTCGTGTGTCGCCAGTACCCCAGCGCGCCAATTCATCCTTCCCGTTCCCGACTCCCCACGCACCCCCAGTCCCGCCAAGTTTCCCGCTGCGCCGCCTGCGACCACCAATCCGGCCACGCTGTTGGCGCACTTCACCGAGGAAGTGCACGCTCGCTGGGATCTGAAGGCGATCCGAGAGGACGTGCTGCGGTCGCAGCGCCGGCGTCGCCTGGTGTACTCGGCATTGATCCAGGGCACTCCGACCATCTGGGACTATGAGCCTCGCATTGACCCTAGCACGCAGTATGTGCGTAACCAGGGCAAGGGGGCTTTGGACGATGTCGAGTTTATCTCGCGCTGGCCTCGTGTGTTACAGCAGGCGGCCAACGCCATGGGTGCGAAGGTTTAGCCGGCGGGTTGCCAACACCATGGGCGCGAGGGTTCTGGCCAGCATGCAACCTAGCATATGACGGCGACTCGTGCCGACTCGTGCTTGATTGAAAGGAATGATTTCTTGCAAGGTTTATCTCGGCATCTGATTTCGGTTTTAATTGTTGCAGCTTGTTCTAGCGCGCGTATACCCGGGCTTTTGTTGCATTCATGGTTTGCTAGCGATTTGAATGCGTCGGGTTGATCGTTTGTTTCATTTGATCCAGAAATTTGGTACATAGGATCATCAAGTGTATTTAGAGTACCCAGACTGTAGTATAGATCAATGAATCTACATACATACATACAATGCTACCCCAGAAACATGCGATGATGGTGATGATGATGATGTCATCATACGTTGCATTCACCAACTTCACCAACTAAGGTACCTCTCTACTATCTCTTCGTTACCTCTGTACACGAGTATCTACAGGTTCAACTGAACTAGAGAGAAAAACTGCAAACTAACTAACTACGGAGTACTCAATTTTTCAAGACTGAGATTGATCTGGCACCTGGACTCGGCTTTTGCTCCCGCTCCGCTACGGAGTACCCCGCTCACTTCCTGTATAAAACCTTCCCCTCACCACACACCTTCCATCAAACAGCCCCAGCTCAGCCAAGAACACCGCAATCCACGAAGAAAAAAAAAAAAGAAAAGCAAAAATGCCCTCCAAAATCACCGTGGCAGTCGCCCAAGCCCGCACCCAGAAAACAACTCAAGCCACCCTCTCCGCGCTGTCCCGCATCGCCCACCACGCCCGCACCCGCGGCGTGCACCTGCTCCTCTTCCCCGAAGCCTACCTAGGCGGATACCCACGTACCTGCTCCTTCGGGTGCGCGGTGGGCTCGCGCGCCCCGCACGGCCGCGACCAGTTCCTGGCTTATTTCCGCTCGGCGGTTGATCTGGGCGATACGCCTGCGGGGCCGGGGAGGACTGGGTTCATCGCCGCTTGCCTGTTGCCAAGGGGCGGAGCGAGCGCGGCGATGGGACGAGGGAGGAGATGGAGCGGGTGGCGAGGGAGACGGGCGTGTTTCTTGTTGTGGGGGTTATTGAGCGCGCCGGGGCAGTTTGTATTGTGCGGTTGTTTATGTGGATCCCCTTCGAGGGTGTCTGGGGAAGAGGAGGAAGGTTATGCCTGTATCCAATCCCCCCCCCTTCCCCCTCTCTCCCTCTGGGTTGTTGACAATTGAAATGTGGACGTTGGCTAATGGGGCGATGGTAGACAGGAACAGAACGCCTCATCTGGGCACAAGGCTCACCCTCGACCCTCAAAGCCGTGACCACCCACCTCAACGGCGTCCCTGTCACCCTCGCGGCAGCAATCTGCTGGGAAAACTACATGCCTCTCCTGAGACAGAGCCTCTACGCCCAGAACGTCAATATCTATCTCGCCCCCACGGCTGACGCCCGAGACACCTGGCTGTCGCTTATGCGAACGGTTGCCTGCGAGGGCCGCGCGTTTGTGCTCTCGGCGAACCAGTGCGTGAGGTATAATGAGTTGCCCGAGTGGGTGACCTGTCCCCCTGGCGCGCAACAGACGCAGACGCAACAGATGCAGGTACAGACGCAGACGCAGACGCAGACCAGGCCGCCGCATCGCAAGAAGCATTCCATTACGGCCGAGGGGCCGCATGAGATCGTTTGGCCCGAGGCCGATGGGGAGAAGAAGGTGGAGACTGTGACGGAGGCGCCCGTGACGGCTCCTCCGGCTGCTGCTTCTGCTCCTGCGGCTGATGGTGTTCCTCGTAAGTCACTTGCCTTACTAGATTTGAAAACATGACTGACAGACTGACGCGACGATGCAGATGGTGATGATTTTGTCTGCCGCGGGGGATCGTGCATTGTCGGCTGCCAGGGTGAGGTGCTGGCCGGCCCGATCTGGGAGGTCTCTGCGGATGATGCGCCCGACTCGGCTGAAACGGCTCACGCGGCTGGGACCGATGCCGATGGAAACGCGGTCGGGGATGGGCTGCTGGTGGCCGAGATCGATGTGGAGGACTGTGAGCGCGGACGCTTGGATATGGACGTCGCGGGGAGCTATTCGCGCAACGATGCGTTCAAGTTGACGGTCGAGGGGTTGGACCTGAGCCCTCCTCCGTTCTAATTCGCGGCAACAGACTAGGATAACAACTAAAGTTGTGTGCGGGAGCTCAGATTTAGTTGAAGTGAACTCCATAGGATTATCATATAGGTCGTAAATTCATACGTCATATCAAATATACAGGCGCCTTGACCAATACATTCGTAGGTCCTCTCCCGCGTACTTCTGCGCTCAGGAACGAGGCAAATCGGATCCGGCCGCCGCTTCGTTCCTCCACCGGCTCTTTCATCTCCTTGCCGCCGTGGCTCGCCTCGACGGCCGGGACCTGCCGCTTGCCCATCAACGTGTTGAACACCGATCTCATGCGCTGTTCGCGTCCGGGGGTGGATCCTGCTGCCCCGGATGCCCCATCCATCGAGTTGCTACCGCCCGACGGGGGCACGGACTCGCCGTCGCCATCCTCGACAAATCCTTCGTGAGCGCCCTCGTGCTCGATCGAGCCTCGCGTAGGGGGCACCTCGGGGGCTGTTTCACGTTCGTCAGCGGCGGCAGGCCCCCTCGATCTTCATAACGGCCTCATTGACCAGCGTCCCCGGCATGAAGTACTCGACACAGATGTCGCGCGACTCCAGCGGGATCTTCTCCGAAATGCTCACGGCGTTCTCCACGATCATCCGTGCGCCGTTCTCGAGCCCCGCCGGCGGAGGCTCACACAGGTTCATCTCCAGACACGCGACAAATTTCTCCACGAGATGATCAATGAGCTGCGCCCGGTTTTCCTCCGCGGCTTTGCCCTGCAGCGAGTCCGTGAGGCCGTCAAATGTCGTTCGGCGCCAGTTGGAGATCCGCGCGATCGCATTCTCGCGATCCTCGTCCGTGTAGGCCTTGGTCTGTTGCCGGCGCAGGTTCATCTCGATGCTCTTGAGCTGCATGCTCAAGTTCGGTTCCAGAGCTGGATGGAAATGCCGCTCAAAGATCTCTTCCACCAGCCATCGGCTCATCGTCGCGCGGCCAATGGCCGTCATTTCCTTCATGCCGGTTGCGTGTGCGTCCTCATTGACATGGCCAGACAACCAGGTGGGCAGGCTCTTCCAGTCTCTTCGAATGGAAAAGGCCAGGTCCTTGATGGCGCCATCAAGCCGCGCGAACCGGTTTACATATTCGTTATCGTCGAGGACCGTTCGGGACACGGCCATGCGCTGATGAGCCACAGTATTCTGCAGTTGCTGCACCTGAGCATCTTTCTCGAAATAGTACCGCTTCACTTTGGAGTACTTGGCCTCTACACTCTGTCAGTATGTCTGTCCGACTGGGGCGCTTGTGCGTAAGTCTTACGGAGTTCATCATGCTTTTGAAGCAAAGCTCGCACATCGATCTCGCCCAGATCATCTCGTCTGCTCGAATTGACAGGAGGCGTGCTGCGCCCCGACTCTGTGGCGTTCGGCTGACTGCCACCTTGGAAGGACGGGTGACCTTGAGGCTGCGTCTGTGGGGGACCGGCCGGTCGGTCCGACGATGAAGCCATGCAGCTCTGGTTGGCGCAGGATGCGTGCAGATCCGGTTGATGGGAGAATGGGGGCAACGGAGAGGGCGGCCCCACGGACTGTCGCGATGGAGGTCGTGCACTCAACGGTGGCTCCACTTGAAGTTGGGAAACAGGCGACTGTTGCTGCTGCTGCTGCTGTAAATGCGTCTGTGACTGATTAGAGATGACGTGGGAAGGGTCGACAGGTTGCCTAGAAACCGAGTCCACAGGTGACGAATTGTATAATTTCTCGAGAAGGCTAGGATCGGTGTTGGATCGCTGAATGGAAGGCGGGTGCTGCGGGGAACGGGGAGGTCGCTGATGAGCTGATGTCGTGTCCTGCTGCATGAGGAGAGACTGTGAGCTACCCAGGTTCGGGTCTACCACATGGTCCTCGGGCACTGTCTCGGACGAGGAATGGTAATGGATATTTCGGGGACTCTTGTGATGATCTCGATCGCGATGCGTTCGATGGGTGTCTAGTGACAGTTGTTGCTGATGCCGTCGCTGGCGGGACGACTGCGACGAGGAAGTACCTTTGACGGATAGGCTGCGTTCCAAGAAGCCTGTCGACGAGGACGAGGACGAGGAGGAGTGTAGGCCGAATAGTTTCCTGCGGGGCTTTTGTGGCGGATCCTGTTTATTGCTATTGTGAGCGACGGGGGCCAAAGCCGGTTGCTCAGACGCCCTGTCCACGCTGGACTGGTCGGCAGGGTCAGCATCGATGAAGTGAGTAGCAGCTGGTAAAGCGGGGTCGCAAGTACCGAGTTGAGCAGAGTGGGAGAGTGATGGCTTTGCGACCGAGTGATTGTCGATTGATACGAAGGTGGATGTTCGGAATGGTTCTGATGATCAGGATGATTCTGATGATTCTGATGATTCTGATGATATAGCTGATGGGGATGGGGATGGTCGTGTTGTTGTTGTGGTTGTTGGTGGTGTTGTTGACAATACGAGTTGTCTGGCGGGTCCGCAGGAGAAGTGGGGAGGCGATGGTCGGAGAAGCGCTGATAAAACGCAAGATCTTCAGGAGGAACACGAGGTGACGAACCGGTGGACGGAGGGGGTACGGTCAGTTGCTCGACCGAACGAAAGGCGGGAGATGCAGCAGGCGACGGGGATTTGTGCTTTTTGCGAAACAAAGGCATGGAGATTGGGAGGGACACGAAGAATCGTCCAAAGAGGACGAAAAGGAGGCGGGGAGGAGAGGAGAGGGGCGATGAAGCATCAACAACAACAACACAACTGCAGCCACGTACAGTAAACAGTAGTTCCGATGATGAGACGACGATGAATGAATAATGGAATCGATGGAAGAATAATCATGACTAGATTTGTTTGTTGGTTGTCGATGCTATAAATAATCCAACCGAACACGAGGCGATGCTCACAAAGACCAAGGCTAAAATCCATCCGACGATATCCAATAAGATCCAGGATCAACGAAACGAAATCATCTTAAGGTAAAGCTCAGGTCGCTCTCACTTGGAAGCGATAAGCCTCTTTGCGATCCAAATACACCACTTGTCCTGCCAATCCCGCCTTCTGCATCTCTATCTTGAAGTCCTCCAGCGAGCTCGCAAACACATCGTAATCATCAAAGTGGATCGGAATGGTCAGATCAGGCTTGATCAGGCGCACCAGCTCCACGCCCTGTTTCGCATCCATCGTCACCATCATCGTCAGCGGCCACATCTTCGGATGAGGTACCGTCGTGCCTCCAAGATGGACAAGCATCAGGTCGATCTTCTGGCCCTCGAACCGCCGCGGGATCTCCTTGAGCTCATCCACCATCAGGGTATCGCCGGAGATGTAGATGCGATAGCCGACCTCGAAATCGGTTTGCATGGTCTGGGTGCTGCCATAGCCTAATTCAACCATCCATCCGTTGGTCGGAGGAATCTTGATTGTCAATACATTGTCCTCTGTCATCGCGATGTCAGGGAAATGCTTACTGCCGCCACGAACTCATTCAATTTCTCCACAACCTTGTTGGTCGGGATGTGTTTGCCTGGCATTCCAGTGACTCGGATGTGCGGTTGTTTGGTTCGCGAGCTGTCGCCTTTGATATTGACCATCATCTGCTCAAATGGCTCGAGATCGAACACTTGCTGGAAGGAGTCTGCCCCCTTGGACGTCAATATGGACTTGGCATGGCTGGTGGTGATGATGGGCAGGTCTCGCCGAAGAGATGCTTCGACTTTTTCATCAAAATGGTCTCTGCAATGGTCAGTCTGATGCCACTTTATCAGTATCACTGGAGGCAGTATAGTATACCCGTGATAATGAGATAAAAGAACCAAGTCGATTCGAGGCAGTTCGTGCAAGTCAACCGCGGGGTTTCTTAGACGCGTAGAAGTCACCCCAGGACCAAGATGAACATGATCTCCCGCATGAAGGAAGTTTGGCTATTTTTGTCAGTTTGTGCCAGTGTACTAACTAACAGAGGATGAACCAACATCGGTCATCAACCTCATTCCCTCCCATTCACTATCCAGATCAGCATCTGATTGATATGAGGCAAGAAGCTACTGACAAGATCGTCGTAGCATTTCCAACAAAGTAAACCGATGCATTTTCTTCTCCGGCTCGGGCAGGGTTGGTCTTGATGTGTCTCGCCTCGGGCAGACTTGCTGGGAGAGAAGTAGCAGGCGAATCCCGAATTGGGGGGATGTTCTGATGGGGATCGATGGATAGACGCTTCATACTGGTTATTGAGCTGAGTACTATTTAGGAGAGGTAACTGATGGAGAATCTGAAACTACAGCTGAGGAATATTATCGACTGTCATCTCGAAGGAGTCTCGTATACATGACGTCACCCAACAGCAGCATCACCATTTTCTTTGAGGATGTACAACTGCTCTCTTCCAAGGACATCCAAGGATACAAAAGAGAGGCCCTTGGCAGAGACATCCATGGTAGTATTGGCAGATTACCTCGGTAGATAAGCTTATCCCTGAACAGTACTGGCCAATAGCCTCTCCTAGTAGCACCTCATCCTCTTCTCAACTTCCTTCCTTCCCACCCTTCATCTTCTCTCCTTTAAACACCCTTAACCAGTCATCAACAGCTACGAGCTCATTACAATAGCCTCAACAGATCCATCCCATTCTAGCTCCGTCCAGCGACTACTAGTATAACATCACTCACCCCGACCCCGTCGAGCGTCTGCCCAAGCGCACAGCGGGAAAATAGAAAGCAATTTGCACTGTAGTCCGGCGCACCTATTTCTATTTGTCGATTGTTATAAGCATCTATCCTCACCAACCTAGCAAGGCATCAACACAACAAACCTTACAAAACCCCTTCCTTACACAAATCGCCGGAACAATCGTATCAAGCACCCAGATAGCAACCCTCGGGGCCGGAAACACCGCATACAGGAGCATCAGGACGAGAGTCTTCCTGCATCGGAGCTGGAACGGGCGGCGCGTAGCGATATAGAATAGGCGGATGACGGCTAGTGAGATTTCAGGCCCTGTATAGCGAGGACGTATAGTATCGACACGCGAAGATCGCGGAATGGGCGGACGAAGATGAAGAGTGGGAGGAGGGTGTAGATGTTTAGGGTTAGGAGGCCGCAGAGGAGGGCGATGAGGGAGTTGGATGTGAATTGGGAGGTCATGTTGTAGAGGTGGTGAGGTCTGGTAAAAGGTTTACTGGGCTTAGGGCTGTGTAGATGGGGGAATGGGGGGTATAAGACATGCCCCGTCTCCATTTTGTCTACAGGCTAATAACTCGTTGTTAGTACATGTTAGTCCGCTGCGCACTAGTTATGCATCCTGGGCATGGTTGCATCTGGGTGGGTCATTATCCATTAGCCCATGAGTTGGTATGAAACTAGAGCTTAGTTCAAGGAGTAGAGGCAGGTAATTATGTGATCAAGAAAATGAGCAAAAGTATCATTCGTATCATATACTATCTACCGCTTCCTGCGCGATCCGAGTATCATCCGTCTAGCAAACTCCGTGCGTCTTCCCGGTCTTGCCCTGCAAGGAATGCTTCTCGTTCTTGTAGTGCGAATGGTTATGCGTGGACTTGTGCGAGTTAACCGCGTGCTTTTGCACATGTCTAATTACCTCAGGTCAGTATAGCCCGGTTGGTTAAGGGGTGTCAGCGTCAGTACTTACAGAGTATACTTCTCCAGAATGGCCTTATCCATATCGCTCAGCGTCTTCAGCGCCAGCTTGATATCCGTCAGCAGAGCGTCGCACCGGTTCATGCTAAAGTCCTCGCGCACAACCACCCGCATCAGCTTCAGCTCGTTGCTGTGCGGCGCCATGGTGTACGCGGGCACGATCCACCCGCGCTCGCGCAGCTGGTGCGCCAGGGCGAACTCGTCAAACTGCTCGTCGCGGTCTGGAGGCAGGCGGAACGCCACGAGGGGCAGTCCGCGGCCGCGCCGCTGGCTCATGATGATGAAGCCCAGCTGCTCCAGCTGCTGCGCCAGGTAGTCGGCGATGCGCGTGATGTTGACCATGATCGAGCGGTAGCCGCGCTTGCCCAGTCGGATCATCTGGTAGTACTGGCCGATGACCTGCGAGGCGCCCTTGGAGAAGTTGAGGGTGAAACTGGCCTGTTCGGCGCCTAGGTAGTTGATGTTGAAGATCAGCTCCTTGGGCAGGTATTCGGGCGATCGCCAGACGACCCAGCCCACGCCGGGGTAGACAAGGCCGTACTTGTGGCCGGACACGTTGATGGAAACGACCTTCTCAAGGCGAAAGTCCCACAGCAGGTTGGGGTTGATGAACGGGACGACAAAGCCACCGCTGGCGGCGTCCACGTGGATAGGAATGTCCAGGCCGCGCTCGACCAGGAGATCATTGATCGCCTTGACGTCTTCGTACTCGCCGGTGTATGTGGTTCCCAGGATGGCGCAGATGCCGATGGTGTTCTCGTCGACCAGATCAACGGCCTGCTTGGGGTCAATGACGTAGCGGTCCTCGGTACAGTAGACGTAGCGCTCCTCCACGTCAAAGTACCGCGCGGCTTTCTCCCAGCAGACCTGCACGGCGCTGTTCATGATGATGTTGGGGCGGCTGGTGTCTTTGCCCTCGGCCCTGCGCTTGTTCTGCCACCGTCGCTTCATGGCCAGCGTGCCCAGCATGATGGCCTCCGACGAACCAATGGTCGAGGTTCCCACGGGGTGATCATTGTCGCTGTCGATAGGGGCATTGAACAGCCGAGCAATCATGTTGACACACCGGTTCTGGATCTCGGCGGACTGGGGATATTCTTCGTAATCGATAAAGTTCTTGCTGAAAGAGTCGGTCATGAGCTTCTCGGCTTCCTCTTCCTACTCCAATTAGCCTCAGCCTTGCAAATAGGTGTAACCCGCATACCATGTACGTCGTGACAAAACTAGCCAAACTATCACAAAGTCAGCTTATGCGACACAGGACCATTGAAAAGTAAACGTACTTGAGCATAGGATTTCCATCCAAACTAAGCTCATCCTTAATCATGCGGTAAGCGACCTCACGGGGCATCTCCTTCTCGGGCATCTCAGTCTGGGGCAGCTGCTCCGCCGCAAACCGAGTACCGTACACAGTAGAGTAGAAATCGTCATCATCGGTGGTTTCGAGCTTGATAGAATCAACGCGTTTAACGAGGGGTTCGACATTTTCGCTGTCGCGCTTGACCGTAGCAAGGTGGACCATATTGGCGGTGGTATGCGAATGGATGCAGATGCGGATGCAGGTACTTTGAACAGACGAAGAATGCAAGAGGAAGTAGGTCAGATGCAGGAGCTGAGGGGGAAGCAACGTATTAATATTTAGCTGCCTATGTTTGAATCTTAATAATTTGAGAGATCAACATGGATCATCAGCGTAAACAAAACAGGGCGGGGAACCGGAGATGGATCACTCTATGGTTGAGGACCGTCATTATTATCAACAGAGGAGGAAGAGGGGGTGGCTGTTAGTAGTGTCGCAGCTGTGTACGAGTGCTATGGAGAGTGGCACCACAGCATCAGTGGATCAGATAATAGCAGGCTGAGATTGGATACTGGAGAAGCCCTTCAACCTGCTAGTGAGTGAGAAGATATTCTCAGCCAGTCAACACAGGCATCCATCGAGATGGAGAGCTGAGCATGTCTCATCTCATTGGATCCACCCCTCCAAGTTCAATTATAAGTGCATCCTGATCGATGACCAAAATAGCAGGTAAGAGTATCCAAAGCTTAGAAAAGCTTGGCCAGGAGAGAGGGGCAAGGAACAAGTGGATAAACTGGGTCTCATCTCAGCCACAGCCACAGTCGAGGAGACAAAACCGGTTGGAGGAGGAGAACTGAATCTCAAATGCACTGTATTTACTAGTACTACCCTGTTTATGTGCAAATCGCTGAAACTGGACAGAATAAATAAGGATGATCAAGAGAGTCCGAAGAAGATGGCGAGTCGATCCACGAAAGTATGGAGGGGATCGTGTTCGCTGCTCATTTCCAGCCACCAAGTGGGGTACTGTGATTGCAATGATGACAGTGGCATCAATATTATTACACTAAGTACCTCTCTAGGTAGCATAGCTCATAGCAGATGCTCCATAGGATAGTTCCACTGAGAGCATTGTGCAAGTGTCCACTGCTGCCCAGACCCAGACTGTTACAATTAATATAATATCAAGTTATCAACTGTCTCCCCACTGACTTCGTTCCACATCGCAATGAGCGGTGTATCTAATAGGAGACATACAACGAGAACTTATTCCATTAACATTAACTTGTATCAATCTCAAAAACAGCCGAGGGTGTAAAGACCCCCAGCAGTAATCAATCAGTCAAAGCAACTCAGACCAATGCCTCCAGCCCAGACCCGTTGGTATCTTGTCCCATCCATATCATACACAGCCTGATGCACTGGCCCAACTCAATGCATCAATCATCATCCGTTTTCGTACTAAACAAGAATTCGAATCATGTATCCTTTATGTTTCGTTGCGTTTTTGTCTTTTTTTACTTTATTTCTTCGGCAGTCTTCTGTCGCGTCCTGTATACTTGTATATAGGTGTATAAGAATAGTTGACTAGGCAAGGTAAGCGATCAAGTACCCTTGACCTTGCGCTTGATCCATGACCAGAAGCCACTCTTGCGCTTTTCCGCCTTGGCGGCTTCGGCTCTAGCTGCCTCTTGAGCTTTGTCAACGGCCGTTTGTGCCTCCTCGTGCGACTTCTTGCCCTCGGTGGCCTCAGGCTGGGTCTCCTTTGCAGCCGCCTCTTCACCCCGTGGAGTCTCGGTGGGGACCTGATCCTGAGTTTCAGGCTGAGTCTCCTTGGGTTCACCTTCTGTCTTATCGGCGGCTTCGGTGGCAGGTGCCGGCGAAGCAGATGACTTTCCTCTCATGGCCGCGGCCGCGGCAACGGCAGCGACGTTGGGTTTGGCCTTTGTGGGAGTCTCCGGGGTCGTCTTGACGGGTGCGGTCTCCTGGGCCCTTTCCTTGGCCGTCGCCTCAGGCTCTTGCTGGGGCTCCTTGGTCGCGGGGACCTGTCCCTCGCCGGTGAAAGCTTCGATGCTCTCTTTAACCTCCTGCTTCTCCTTGGTCTCCGCCTCGGCTTCGCTTCCTGCGCCTGCGGTAGCAACTGCAGCGGGAACGACAGGGGATGTGGTGGAGGCAGCAGCCTGGGCAGTCGAAGGAGCGGTGGTCGGGGCAACCGCTTCTGCGGGGTCGACCTTCTGAGGAATTTCAGCAGGTTTGTCTGTGGATTCGGCACCAAGTCCTGGGACAATCAGGGGTTGCACTGTAGACTCGCTTGGCACCTCGGTTTGCAAATCCGCAGCTTTGGTTTCTGTGGCGGCGGTGGCGGTTTCGGAGTCTCCGACCTTGGCCATCTTGGGAGGCTTGTGGTCCTCGTCCTTGTGGAAGAGGCTGCTCTCGTATGGGCGCTTTGCATGGCCAGGCAAATCCGCCCTGTCGGACGGAGATGTGGCTGTCGGTTCGGCCGCAGCGGTTTCCTTCTCCTTGAGTCTCTCGGGCAGTGCTGTTTCCGCCGGCGCCTCCGACACTGGAGCGCTGGCGTCAGTGACGACGGGTACGGGAGCGGCGGCCTCGCTAGTAGTCGCTTCGGGAACGGTGGTTTCGGGGGCTGTTGTAGGAGCCGTCAACTCGGATTCTTTGGCGACAGTGTCAGGCAATACGGCTAAAGATTGTGTGAGCCTGGCTGCCTCGCTTTCAAGACCAAGAAACACCTACCTTGTCCCTCCCCATCCCCTGCGTCCAATGATCCAACCAGACCCGCCTTCGAAGCCTGGGTCTTGCCCACAGCGCCCTGCAGGGTGTTCTCATTCGCTTCGGATTCGGCAGCTGCTCCTGTATCCGGCAAGGAAGACGGCATGCGGAGTTCACGTCCTTCTGCGCCAGCCGGATGCTCCGCCAACGAGAACCTCTTGGCGGTGCCGGGGCCCGAAACCTGCTCTACTTCCTCGTTGGACGAGTCGCCATTCTCAGTGGTCTCCGCGGTTGACGTGCCTTCTCCGCCTGTGCTCGCGGCAACTGTCTCGGCGGCCTGAGGCGGGGCAGCGGAGGGGACATTGGTAGCAGTGCCGGGGGCGAGGCTTTCGGTGGTTTCGCCTTCGCCTTCGCCCTTGACAACATCCTCAACTTGGTGTCCGGGGGTTCTATAAGAATTGGCCGTGGTCAGTTCTGTCGCGAGTCCTGAGACGAACCGAGGGATTTTCGTCGTAACGGACGGAGATTTGCTCAACTTACACAGGCTCTTGGACGGTGGGTGCCTTCTTCGCTGTGCCGCCACCGCCCTTACCCTTGCCCTTCTTTCCCTTTCCACCTTTCTTGGGCATGATGATTAGAGTCCTTGACCTGTGGGACCTTGAGGGACAATGTCAGAAAAATATGCCACCAAGGGCGGGGCTAGGAGTGCAGTCGGAGTCGAGAAAAGACAGCGGTACTCACTGTCTTGTGCGGCGCGATGAGAGACGAAAATCGAGGGATAGATGGCGCGTATCTCAGGTGAATATCGAGCTTAGGGTAGGGAGTTGTTGAAAACAGTTAGGAAGGCGACCGCAATTCTGGTATGTTTGGTTTCTCTTCCGGATGCTAATCGACATCGGGGAAGGTTAATCCGGGTGCTGAGGCAGTCGCGCATTGCAATGGTTAGGTACTCACTCAGAATTAATCCACCTCGAGAGCTAGCTGTGTGTCTATATCAGTGTCGGGTTTTCAATTGAACTACTAGTAGCAGAGATGGTCTTGTACTGGATCGGAGTTCAGTGCGCTGGAAGATGAGAGAATGTTGAAAGGCAACAGTCACATGAGCTGCGTCGCAAGCACCCACTAACCCATGGGCCGAGGACTTTTTATTCGTAGGTCGCTATATTATTCGTAGGTCCTTGCAGTAATGATGATAATCTTGCTTATTCTGGCTACCGTATCAGCGAGGGGATGGCCGGTCTCAGCCACGGTTCAATCTGGGTCCGAAACAGCTCTCCCTGCTGGTGACGCATTTGAATCATTTAAGATTATTATAGAAACAGCTTAGTCAATTGCCTGCTCATAGTGGACATGATCAATTGTCATTTTTCCTTCTTGTTTCTGATTCCGTGAATCATGAACTATGAGTATCTATGAGCTATGCGGTCCATGCTTGCTGTGTTCGACAGAAGGATCAAAACGACGACAGCCAAGCCGTTTCCGGCGATCGCGGGTCGTGTGCCTGCAGCTGCTCAAGGGGTTTAGGGCGGGTTTCACTCCCAGCCCTAGCAGCGGATCAACCTTGTTCCGGACGCCTGATCAACTGCCTATTTCGGATGGACATGTTGTGTTATTGAGATGGAGTATCAGTATCAACTATAAACGTGATATGCTTAACTACTATCTAGGTAAAAGAGATAAGATGACCCCAAACATTGTTTTGTAAGTGGATGTCTTAGCTTCTGAAAGAATCTACATCCTGTCTGAGTAGAACGCAATCTGGAGAGTAATGTGCTAGCCACTGGCTGCTTCCGGAGGTCGCTCATACTTAACAGGATGATCTTCTTCTGGACTTTTTTGCAGTGCTGCTGGTTAGTATGCTTTCGGTCTTTCTACAAGCAGTGGCACGGGAAACCTGGATGAATATGACTCGTCCACGTGAGATATATAATTGGGGACATAGACACGAATAGAAGAATATATACAGCCGTCCTAGTGAACACAACAAACATAGAAACCATCCATAGGGATCTAGACCCCATAAACTATGCTGCCATCAAAGTATGGCTTGCCACATGGTCAAATCATTAAAGCCTCTTTAAAAGGATAGGTGCAGGTAGGCTCGAGAAAGACGCCCTTCTATAAATCATCCTACAAGTAAAGGCAATCACCGCATGCCGGCTGAAGACAGAATTGGCCCTGGCATCTGATGTATGAATGCCCGAAATGAGGCATCCATAGCAGAAGAAGCAATTACGAGGAGGTCTCCGACACTTCTAGAAAGGCAATGTCGTGGCCCGTACTGTACACCGTATGTACCTCTCTACAAGGCAGTCCAGCAATGCTGGGCTGACATCATGCATAGCAGTCAACGACGCCAATGCTCTCGTGAAGTCATTTCTGGTCTGGCCTGTGCAAGGCTGCAATGCAAGGCTTTGCGCCAAAGGAATCCAACACCAGTAGTAAAACTCGTACTTCGGAATCCCTCCTGCACGTTGATGAACTTGATCGGAACAATAAGCTTTTTAAGAAAAGCAAAAAAGGGAAAAGCAAAAATTATTGACCTACGCAGGATTCGAACCTGCAATCTCTTGATCCGTAGTCAAGCGCCTTACCATTGGGCCAGCAGGCTTTGCTGATGAAAGAGTGGTCTATGTTTGACTACATAAACCTATAGAATAGCCTCGCCGGAAACGCCGTGCCGAGTGGGGCACTCGGCAGGCATTAAATCGCTCACTCCGGTGGAGGACATTATTGCCCTCCCACCTCGCACCCAACTGATTCGCTGCTTCTGAATCACCTCCCGCCAACTATGACGGAACGGCCGACGGAGTACGTTACGAACTTACGCCCGGTATCTACATAATTTACATGAAGGGATTATCCTGGACGAGACCATTTGCCCCGCCTTTTTCGCTGACGTTGTACGCGCAAGGTCACGATGGCACACGTTTGGGGGTTTGAATCCAGAACAAATGCCCAGAGTACAGAGTACAGCGAGATGATGTATGTCGCAATTTGATCCCGGTGGCAATCAGGATCCTTAAGGTTAAGATGCTGGGTTGGTTGGTGGTGGCTCTCAGACCGGCTGTCTTGGCCGTAATTCTGGAATTGTTCGCTGCAGGACGGGCGACTACAAGGAGTGCGCCAGCCTATTACATACCTCCTCAGGGCCCGCGGAAGTATCCAGTCGCCTAAGAGGTTCTCTTACGTACTCGGCGCTACAGTACCCATCTATTCTCATGTGTGAGGTATTTTCTATGACAATTGATATGTATCATTATCGAGTATAAGGTACTCAGTATAATACGTCTGTGCAAAGAATAGAAGACACTTGTCAATCTATCCGCTTGCCACCACTATGGCACTCGGATGGTTACAGGGTCACATACTAATGTTACCTCCTCTCTGGCACGGAGGAACACTGGAATGCTTGGCGGGAAGTGGCCATGTTTGTACCATGAATTGACTTATCTGAACTGACCCGAGGAGAAGTTAACCCTTGGCCCAGAACTGGTTGAGGAGAAATGCGGTACTTCAAAAAGGTAAACTTCGTGCGAGATTCGTGCGAGATAGGAACACACGGCACGCTTGGTTTTTGGCCACCCATGGAAGGGCTCGGATTGACATCGGCTTCGATGGGCTGACCACCGAATGGAGTAATCGCATCTCTCCCCTCGCAATTTCAACGAAACTCAGAGGACTGAAGGCTTGAGGTTGCATCTCTAAGGTGTCACTGTAGTCACCTACCTAGTCTACCATCGATAGTATCACGGAGGCTGTCAAAGAAGGTTGACGGGCTCTGGTCTCTTTAAACCTTAAGGTACATACTCGTAGGTACTCAACAATTCCATCGCTTGGGGCGTTTATGATCTAACCCGTCAGACGCACAGAGCGATGGCCAAGTGGGTTTCGCTGCTTTCCCCCACCCTCTCAGAACAGCGCAATTTCAACGCCCCGACTCCCGGGAAGTTTCCAGCTGCAGTAAGATTGCGAGAACAAATAAGAAGCACAGACTACTTGCATAGGTATCCTCCTATGTGCTCCTCGTTTTGCCTCCCCACATTTTCTGTGTAATACTGTAATCTACTAGATACTCCGTACGAAAATGCGGACTACTTACGGCCGGTGTGCCTTTCCCACTCTCTCCTACCCTCTCCGGATTAGGTCCCGAGATGTTACGCCTTCAGTCCCACGGCTTATCTGCGCCATAACTGATGGTAGCTATTACCTATTTAATAATGCTCACAGTCAATCTCTCTTTAATTAATCTGCTCAGTTCCCGTATGTTACTCAACTTGCCTTAGTCTAGTATCTATGATTCCATAGTACCCTATCCAGTGCATCGTACCCGCCTCTCCATCTACATCTCCATATCTCCCCTCCTTCCGTCTTTTCCCTCTCTCTCCCTCTTCTTCCCCTCAATTATCATTTCTTCTTTCCTTCCTGGAGTTTGCCTCTCCTGCCCTAGTCCAGCCTCATATAATCAAATGATGAACCAAAGGTCTCTTACTACAGTCGATCGTAGTTTGTGCTTGCACACCCTCCCCCGCATCCGTGCCCTCACCGGGACTGGTCTGCATTGAGGCGCTATAGAGCAACTTCTACTATTTTCAACACCTATTTACAACACCTCACTACACCAATCCCTTACGACATACTCTACTCTTCCTGGCACTTTCTGTCACAATGAACTTCAAAGACAAGTTCAGAAAGGTGTTCCACCGAAATTCCAATGGCCACTCGAATTCGAATTCTAATAGCAACTCCAAATCGAAATCGAACGGAAATGGCAATGGCAATGGGATCAAGATCGAGTACTACAAACGCGGCGAAATCCCGCCGTCCAAATTCCGTGGTCCCTTCGATCCTGAACACCAAAAGAGATTGGCCGCCTGGTCATTCGAGGCTGCGCAGGCTGAGCGCCCCCGCGCGTTAGACCCCCCACTCTCTCCCTGTACAACATTATCGCAGTACTTGAACCCGCGTCATGGCGAGAGCGAGGACGAAGGAGTGCCTCCAGACCAGATCTGCGAGACAGCACCCCCAGAGATGGGATTGATTGACTGTAAGTGGCTATTGCCTCCTTTCCACACGTGCCCTCGGTTCATGCTGGTGCAATCCGCAAGCATACACGTAACGACGTTCTGACCAACGACCAGCTTCCGCCACTGTTTCCCACCACGAATACGCTCCGGGTCGACAGGAAGAGTCTTCGGGATCGTCGTCTTCTACAGCCGTCGAATCGAGCAGCTATAGTGATTCGACGATGACTTTGTACTCTGACGATGCTCGAATGGATTCCATTGCGCAAATCAAGGAGTCGGCACGGTACACCTCACCGATCCTTCGCGCCGTGTCACCACCGCCGCCAACATCCACAAAGGGAACCTTGATGCCCTTTTCACCAGATGATCTGACTCGAGCGTTGAACACCGTTCAGATCTGCTCATAATGTACCTTCCACCAACTGCCATTCTTCTCTGTCTAGAGGACGGATCCTCTTGTCCATTGTCGACTGTCCTTTTATGTTCGACGACCTTTCTCCTCCCGCACTGGTGTGCGAATTCCCTTCGACCTACCTTCCTTTCACTGGAGACCTCGAATACCAGGCCGTTTTCTAGGTCTTGTTTTTCAAAATTCAGAATGATGCAACTATGCACGGTGTGCTTTTAGAGAGGAACGGCGTTTACCTTGCATGCTCCCAACCTTCTCACGTCTTGTAGGCGTACGGTTGGAGCGATTGATTTTTAGTCACTGCGATTGAGCGAATACCCGTAATAAACATTTTCGAGCCCGTCTCATTTGCCGAGCTGGGATTGACTGACTTCGCGGTTTAACGGCCAGATGCGAGATTGTATTGTATGTGAGACGTTAGATGAATCAAATGCATACTTATTCAAAACAAGAAGATCTTCTTTACATCTGCCTAGAGTAGATAATGCTAGTTTTCCAAGTGCGCTGAACAAAAGTACGGTCTAAAAACACATCCTCTTTTGCGTAGCGAGTGGCCTGGGGAAAGTACCTCCCGGACACCATCTGACCGTCTCCATCTCCATCCACCGCTGTTCTGAAGCGACTGCTGGACTCCCTAACTATCTATCTCAAACCTTCAATTGTCGAGTCAGTGAGTATCCACGCCTTATCACCTGCCAAGACAATAGTGCCGTAAATGAAACCCATCTCGTCCAACTAGCGTCACAAGAATATCGAGTGGATTCGAGATCAAGAGTCAAGTCTATCTATCCACAGCAGGAGGAACATGAGGTGAACAAGAGGTTTTCAGCCAAATGTTCCAACGGAGAACATGACTGGGCTGATCGTGGTAGATAAACTTCGGGATTTTGAAATCTAAAGTAACTTCGCTGGATCAGAGATCCGGGTGCTTCTTCCTGCCGCCGGCTGTCTGCGCAGACGGGGATGGCGCATGGTGCGTCCGGATCTTGGGTTCGCAGCTTTGCGACTCACCTCGTGTCGGTGACGGAAGATCGCCCTCGAACTGGTCTCGGTGTTGTTGTTGATGATGGATAGATCGAAATTCCACGCCGATCATCGATTCTGTCGCGAGATTCCCTGCATCTATATTTGGTACGCCAGAGCGGCCAGACTATCGGGCGTCAGTACTGCTGTACTAACCCGGGTCCTATCAACATTGACAGGTGCAGAAGACAATATTGGATTGTTTGAAGGGGTCACTCATTGTTGCGGTTCTAGAATCACTTTGACTTAAGGAGTTGTTGCCCAAGTACGGAAGTAGCTATGAGTTGATCCATCACATCTCTGTCGAAAAAGCAACGAGGTTTTGAAGCAATCACAGGCTTCACAGCTAGTCCTCGACAATCCGGCACCCACACCGCTGGGAATTACATCGATCTAACCACACACACGATATGATTCCTTGACGATCGGGTCGATTTCCCTCGCTCCCCCGGCTCCGACAACCTGGTCAACCCTCAACACAATGACAATGTCGTACCCAACCGCCTGGGTCGCGGCGTACTTTCGTCCTGCGAAGGCTGAAGACGGAGCGCGTCCGCAGCTGCTACATGGCTGCAGCATTGAGCTGTCAAAGACCAGAGGCGAATCACACCGCAAGTTGTCATAGTCTAGTCTGCGTTCATCGGTCCCAGCTTCCAGGTTCCGGATGTCGTACCCTGGTCAGTTTGCGCGTGGTGCGTCGCCCTGCTCAGGCGAATGTGGCCAGTGAGGACGTTCTACTCGGAGCTTCCTCCATGAAGTACATGTGAATTGTGATGGATTGAACAAATGAGAGCACCCTGTGCAGATCCTTGCCAGGAGTGTCCCTGTTTCATGGTTTTCAAGAGGAACTCATGGATATGATTCCTGGGCCTCCTTGAGCTTTTTGGCTCCTGGTTCGTGACGGTGCTGCGACGAGCCTGCGGGCCTGGTGGAGTCGGGTTCGACATGTCTTGGTCTCGCTGGGTCTTTCAAAAAGTACCTGAGCTCGATGGACATCCTCTTGACCAGCTGACGACTTTTGCTCGTTTGTCTGCCTGATGGGGGTACTTAGGCCTGAGGTGCCCTGGGTATAAATGCCTGGACGGCAATGAGTCTCTCTCTCAACACCTGCTTGAGTTCTAACATCCCATTCTCTTCTCTATCGTCTTGTTTATTCCTGCTTGCATCTCTGGTATTGCACATCTGTTGACCATGATTATTCCGGCCACCTTCAAGCCTTCTCTGACAAGAATCAGAAGCAAGAGACGCAACAAAAGGGTCAAAAATGGAGATACTCACTCGATGTGTCCAGCATGTCTCTATCAACTCAGCATTATACAAGGGAGGACGACCGTCCCTTCCACGCTACTTCTCCATCATGTACAGCTCGACACACCCTTAGAGTCAAATCGTCTGATCAACGGAGAGACACTTAACAAAAGTCCAGCATGGAAAACAACTCCTCTCCCCTCCCTGCCAATCCTCTTGTCTCCAACCAGATTTGGCAACTTCGGAGGCCGCTTTGCTCCCGAGTCCCAGATGGACGCCTTGCAGGAGCTCACATTGGCGTTCGACCGTCTCATCTCCGACTACGGCTTCTGGAAAGAGTTCCTAAGCTCCCCCGGTATCCGTTCTAGCCCACTTCAGTTCGCAAAAAACCTCACGCGCATCGCTGGCGGCGCGAATATCTGGCTCAAGCGGGAGGATCTCAATCAGCATGGGAGTCACAATATCCGCAGCATTGTCGGTCAAGCCCTGCTCGCACGGCGGCTAGGAAAGACCGAAGTCGTCATGGAGTGCGGCTCAGCCAGGCACGGTATCGTCTGCGCAGCGACCTGCACACGCTTGAATATGAAGTGCACCATCCTCATGGGGAGCCGGGACGCAGCCGACCAGAAGGACAGCGTGGACATGATCAAAATTCTCGGAGCCACAGTCCTCACCGCAGACATGGGCGCATCTCCGGGCCGTGGGACCCTCCGAGCTGCAGTCAACGAGGCCCTTCGGTACTCTGTTGCCCATCTCAGCACCACATACCACATCATGAGCGGTCCAATCGGCCCCCACCCGCTTCCAACCATCACACGCACCTTTCAGTCTATTCTCGGCGAGGAGATCAAATCGCAGTTCGGCAGCGCCAGCGGTGACCGGCTCCCGGATGCCCTCGTCTCCCCCGTCGGACCAGGCAGTGCAGCCGTCGGCATGTTCTACCCGTTCATCGAGCATCTGTCGGTGAAACTGCTCGGCATCGAGGCGGCAGACGCAGCTCCTCTATCCCACGGTGACGTCGGCGTCCTGCACGGATGCCGTACCTATCTCCTCCAGGACGAGCATGGCCAGATCCTCGATTCGAGCTCGATATCCCCCGATCTCGACTTTCCCAGCGTTGGACCTGAACTGGCGCACTGGAAGGAGAGGGCCAGGGTGGAATATGTTGCTGCGACGGATGCTGAGGCCTTGCGGGGTGCGGACATTCTTCGGAGTCAGGAGGGGATCGTCTCGGGAGCGATGACGGGGTATGCTGTTGAGAAGACAATTCGGCTTGCGAGGGAACTTGGGCCAGGGAATGATGTTGTCTTGCTTGTGGCGGGATGATCTGTTCTTTCTTGTGGTCTGTTGTGGTTTCGTTCCTCTGGCGCTGTGGCGTTACTTTACTATTCCCAGATTGAGTATGCAACTGCGTGGTTCCCAAGTCGATGCGCCGGCAGATATCACTGTCGCTCATATTTCAGCATAAGCCATTTACTTCCAGATACATTCACTGTTCAATCTCTATAATGCTATTCTTGACTAATCAAATACATAGCCCTGTCATCGCTCGTAACAGACATCAAGTGTAACATGCAGGATATATACTTTTAGTGGACTCTAAAGACAATAGTCATTGAAAGGGTTGAGGGATGTCACGGAGAAGGTAAGCCTCAGTCCTCATGGGTAACCGCCATATCCAACACCTCGACTCGACCTCTTCCGCGGGTCTCGGTGCCAATGAAGTCGTTCAACCCCTTGAAGGCGCCTGGCTCAGCAAACCCCACCACTTCCCACTCATCACCGCCAACCACTTCTTGACTCTCCACCGACTCAATGTAGCTCATGATCTTGTCCTTGACATTGGTTGGTGCTTTCGCAGCAGGCGCCGTCTCCGCGTCCGAGCCACCATCTTCCACATCCGAGTCCTGCTGCCGCGCGGCCTTGCCCTTACCACCCTTTCCACCCTTCTTATTATTCTTGCCCCGCCAGACGGCGCCTCCTTCTCCTTGTTCGCCCCAGGCGCCGCGGCAGCCTTGACAGACTGCTTCAGCAGCGCCACAGGACAAGTGACACGGAGTCGCATCCGAGCCCGCATCACAGGGATAGGCTGCCACGCAATCAACGCCTTCATAGCCTCCAGTGCCTGACTCTTTGCCGACTTATTCGGCGTCACGCCCGACCAAAGCGGCTTCCGCGGCTGCGCCGGCCCATTCTCATCCCCTGCCCCGTTCCCATTCCCATTCCCCTCCTGCTGCATCTGCTGCTGCCCGCTCGCCGAGCTCAACTGGTCCAGCGCCTTGGAAATCATCCCCGGCGTGTACACCCGTTTCGTGTTGGGGTCGATTAACCGCCCGGAGACGATGTCGAGGACTTCCTTCTCCACCCGCTCCAGCATCTCCTTGCGCTCGCGCTCGCCGACCTGCACCTCGCCTTTGCGCAGGATCTCCTGGCGGATTTCGTCGGTTGATACGTTCGGGCCGAAGGCTTTTGTTAGTTCGGCGGAGGGGGCGGTTTGGGCTTTTGAGACGGAGAGGAAGATTGTGGGGACTTGGAGGACATTGTCGAGGTCTTTTTCGGCGCCGGAGCGGTATTCTAGGAGTTTGTTTTTGTAGCAGGCGAGTTCGAATCTCTTCTTGCCTGCGATTAAGATTAGTAATGACTCAGTATGCTTTTCTCTGAAGGGGAGATGAAATGAACCTTTTTTTAATCGGACGATTGATACATTGGTGAATTTGATCTGATTTGAGGGTTGGTTGATAGGCATTTTGTCTATGTTCTCTGAGCCTCCTGGGCTCTTTGCAATCAAAATTCAAACAATATTAATATATGAGATCGAAATGAATGTGTTGTTTGTGATGGAAAAAGTCATTGCAGCCCCTCCAAAAATGCGACTATCCCCAATGTACCTACAAAAATGCGATGACGCTGGTCTCGTGCCGCCTTCGTGACTCAGCGGCAGGTGACCTGACATGTGACTGGTTCTCCGCACAAGGCACCGCGCTCTGAGTGGCTGCCTCCTTGCCTCGCTATCAGTGCTGCTGATTAGTCGTCATTGGCCCTGCCCATCAAGCTTCAGCCTTCATCCATCCATCCGCCATCTCCTCTCCTCTTCTCTTCATCTATCATTAAGCCAGTTGAGTCTTCATCAACTATCTTAGCAATTTGTGTTTTGTTTATCTGTTAATCGTACGTTGGCAACCATCACTGTGCTCCATCTCTCTCTCTGAGATACGGTACTGATAAGCTCGCTACCCAGGTCATCCCCCCATCCCCAGGGTACTCCATCCTCCCATCTTCCTATCCATCATCAACACGCATCCCAGGTCGACCTGGAAACCATCTAAGGCATTATGAGAGTTCTGCCAGCTACGTTGCTGGTCGGAGCGGCCACTGCGGCTGCTCCTCCCTTCCAGCAGATCCTCGGATTGCCCAAGAAGGGTGCCGACACACTGGCCAAGCCTCTTCATGACCTCCAAGAGCAGCTCAAGACGTTGTCTGGTGAGGCTCGTCATCTGTGGGATGAAGTTGCTAGCCACTTCCCCAATAGCATGGATCATAACCCTGTCTTCTCGCTGCCTAAGAAGCACACCCGTCGTCCTGACTCACACTGGGACCACATCGTCCGTGGTGCTGATGTCCAGAGTGTCTGGGTTACTGGAGCCAGCGGCGAGAAGGAGCGAGAGATCGATGGCAAGCTGGAGGCCTATGATCTGAGAGTCAAGAAGACCGATCCTAGTGCTCTCGGTATCGATCCTGGCGTGAAGCAGTACACCGGTTATCTCGACGATAACGAGAATGACAAGCACCTGTTTTACTGTGAGTTCCACTTCGATTTCTTGGTCTTGCGTAGCTGAATGCTAACTTTCAAAGGGTTCTTCGAGTCTCGTAATGACCCCAAGAATGACCCCGTTGTCCTGTGGCTCAACGGTGGCCCCGGCTGTTCTTCCCTTACTGGACTGTTCCTGGAGCTTGGTCCCAGCAGCATCAACGAGAAGATCAAGCCGATCTACAACGATTTTGCCTGGAACTCCAATGCCTCCGTCATCTTCCTCGACCAGCCCGTCAATGTCGGCTATTCTTACAGTGGCGCTGCTGTTAGCGACACCGTTGCTGCAGGCAAGGATGTCTACGCCCTCCTTACCCTTTTCTTCAAGCAATTCCCCGAATATGCCCAGCAGGACTTCCACATTGCTGGAGAGTCGTATGCTGGTCACTACATCCCGGTATTTGCCTCTGAGATCCTGTCTCACAAGAAGCGCAACATCAACCTGAAGTCCGTCCTCATCGGCAATGGTCTCACCGACGGTTTGACTCAGTATGACTACTACCGCCCCATGGCTTGCGGTGAGGGTGGTTATCCTGCTGTCCTGGATGAAGCCAGCTGCCAGTCTATGGATAACGCTCTGCCTCGTTGCAAGTCGATGATCGAGTCTTGCTACAACACAGAGAGTTCCTGGGTTTGCGTCCCTGCTTCGATCTACTGCAACAACGCCCTCCTTGGTCCTTACCAGAGAACTGGCCAGAATGTCTACGATATTCGTGGCAAGTGTGAGGATACGAGTAACCTGTGCTACAAGGGTATGGGCTATGTTAGCGAGTACCTGAACAAGCGTGAGGTCCGCGAAGCTGTCGGCGCCGAGGTCGATGGCTACGAATCCTGCAACTTTGACATCAACCGCAACTTCCTCTTCCACGGTGACTGGATGAAGCCCTACCACCGCCTGGTTCCTGGCCTCCTTGAGCAGATTCCCGTGCTGATTTACGCCGGTGACGCGGATTTCATCTGCAACTGGCTCGGTAACAAGGCCTGGACCGAGTCTCTCGAGTGGCCTGGACAGAAGGAGTACGCACCTCTTCCATTGAAGGACCTGGTCATCGAGGAGAATGAACACAAGGGCAAGAAGATTGGCCAGATCAAGTCCCACGGCAACTTCACCTTCATGCGTCTCTACGGTGCTGGACACATGGTTCCCATGGACCAGCCCGAGGCCAGTCTTGAATTCTTCAACCGCTGGCTTGGTGGCGAATGGTTCTAGAGGACTTTTTTGTGTTGTTGTTATGCTGAATACACGCTGGCTTTTTGATTACATCGCAGTCTTTTTTTGGATAGTGTTGTCTGTGCGGATACTGCATGACCCGACTTTATCATAAACGAGTGATGCTCCGGATTGTATGGCTCAGTTGATAGGCGATACATATACTATACTTTATAGAAAGATGGCAGCTTTCCACAGACCGGTAAAGATCATTAAGTTTTGGAGTCACTGTTGTGAGTGACGTACGCCTACTCGAACTACGGAAGTACAATGGAACGGTACGGCGAAATCATTACCACAACGTGGGTAGGTCCATAGAATACCAGCTATGCAGAGTCATAACGCGAAAGGAAAAGGAGTGATTTTGATCTGTTTCATTTCATATTGGTATGATTTCTTTCGCTTTTGTTGGGGCCCGTGTCGTTTTTATATCAACACCAGATCAAGTCCAGAGTCCCGCGAGGATTCGTAAACACACACCAACATAGTCCCACCAAATCCACTCCAGCGGAAAACAAAAAAGACATCCGTAATGGTTTAGCCCTTCTTCTTGCTGACACCGACGGTGCGTCCACGGCGGCCGGTAGTCTTGGTGTGCTGACCACGGACACGGAGACCCCAGTAGTGACGCAGACCACGGTGGGAGCGGATCTTCTTCAGGCGCTCAAGATCCTCACGGAGCTTGCTGTCCAGACCGTTGGACAGAACCTGGGAGTCCTTGCCGTCGACGATGTCGCGCTGTCTGTTGAGGAACCAGGTGGGGATCTTGTACTGGGTGGGGTTCTGGAGGATGGTGACGATACGCTCGAGTTCTTCGGTGGTGAGCTCACCAGCGCTGTGATTCAAGTCAGCTTTGCTGTCATTGCAGTGATAAAATTGATTCCTTCGCTCTCCTCGTCTCCACACCAACACCACCGACTTGTAGATGCCGTAGGAAATAAAAAATATAGATTGAACGTACCGCTTGCTCAGGTCAACATCGGCCTTCTTGCAAACCAAGTTGGAGTAACGACGGCCGACACCCTTAATCTGGGTCAAGGCGTACATGATCTTCTGCTTGCCGTCAACATTGGTGTTGAGCAGACGCAAGATGTACTGGAAGTTCGTCTTCTCGCCGGACACGAGCGCTGTAGAATCGAGCGAAAAAAATCAAGTCAGCCTTTTGTTCTCCGTCATTCCTGAATTTTGATCATCTCCGAAAAGCTTCCTCCGATGGAGCAATTCAACGGTCTTGAAATCCGTCTCTCATTTCCATCATTTGCAACCACTTTTCCGAACCAATAATCGAGGAAATAGCAATGTGCGAACAAAGGGAGTCCGGGAATATGGGATGAACGTACACATGATGGGCGATGGCGCGACGGGACTCGCGATTGATTGTCGACAGCAAGAGGGATGAAGGAGAGGTGAAATCGAGGGCGCCTTCCATGACTTTGCTCGCTCCCGTTGTGGGATCGGGTAAGCAGTGGTCTAGCCCGATCGGGTAAAGCCCGCTTAAGGGCTCGCTTGTCGAAGCCGCTAAACTCAACAGGGATAAATTACCTGTTCTTCACATTGACTCTGGCACGTGACTGGGCATGTATGCGTATTGTATCAGGTGTACTACTCTTTTGTCTTCATTCAGAGATTCTATGGTCTGCTACCATTTAGAGGATAGTCGCTACGTCTTTGAGACCTTCTTGGACACTTCTGAGCGATTGTTCTAGTCCTCTTGAAGTGCTTCTCTTGCTCGTCTCTTTCTCGATGAAAATGTTATCAATCTGATCAAAGAGACGTCTTCAAGAGGGACGTCACGCCAGAAGCGAGAATTGCACGTAGAACAGCAGATGCTCTTGTATCTAATGTCGTGATATTAATCTGGACCGATCTCAATTTTTGCAGGGCTTTCCATCTGCTATATAACTGACATTCACAACCATGTAGCATGTTCGCTGCTCGATCGCCCACCTCGCTGGGTTGAAGTATACCGCGGATTGCCGCAACAGCCATTATGTTCTCCAATCTTTGTTGAGTTTGCTGGAATGTCTGTTATAGACACAATCAAGACCTTCGAAGCCTGGACAAAGGGGCCTGTCACTCATAGTGGTGATTGATTTGAAACAGTCCTTTGACTTGATGCTCCTACCCGGTCGCTTGTTGACTGGTCATGACAGCCTGGCTTCTGCACGTATTCTTTCAGCAGATGTTGATCTGCTCAATTGTTTGAGAAACAAACGTGGCACTGCTACCATGGCCTGCTAGCCGAGTATTTGGTCCTCATTGTCGAGAGAACGGTACTCTTTCGAAGTCTCACTTGTTCTATGCTCCTATCTTTGTCTACCATCAAGTCGCCATGAAGTCCTTTGTCTCCAGTCTCTGAATGGATGGCAATATGTCTCGAAAGACGAGACTCTGGTGCGTACTTAATCGTCTCATTTTCCTCGACTTGCTCCTGTTTGTTCCAACTTGTATCGTTTCATCCCTATCTCGCCGTTCCCTGCCATTCAATTGTTTACTTTGCGCAATTTGTCCCTACACAGAGTTCTAGCGCTCACCTTCAACAGTTCACTCTACTTACAACCAAAATGAGCTCACCGGCGGAGCATTCGTCCGGCGAGCCTTCGCATGGCCACAACTGGCCGAACCCTGCCCTTCGCCACCCCAGGTTCAATCTCGCCGAGATGCCTGATCCACCCCCAAGCTGGAAGTTCCTTGGGGAGTCTGCGGACGTTGTCCTCCGTACGCGCAAGTACGTACGCGAGCAAATGGTAGCTATGCTCGACTTTTACAGCTGGGGAATCGACACGGGGATGCCATCGCGGCTGACCAATTTGAGAATTCTGCAAGCTCTGTGGAAGATCTTTTATTACACGGCAGACTATCACCGACCTCGATCTTTCAGAGACCTTCTAGACTTTGAAGGCAAAGATGGTGGCCCGAGACTGTTGTCTTGTGAGATCGACCATCCCTCTCTCCTGCCCATCAGCAGATACTACCCTGATCCCCCGGCGCTGGACGGCACCACGCAGCCCGACTTTGTCAGACCGGCGAATGCTGCAGCGAATATTCCCGATACCTATCTTGAGCGAATGAACAAGCCCAGTCGTGACTTGGACATTGCCGAAGCAGAAACACTAGGGTCAAGCCCGCCCGCGGTGGGCACGATGAACCTTGGAGGTAATGACAATACTGCTGCATTTCAGAGCAACAACCAGACAACGGCCGTGGTTAGTGCAGCAGCTGGGACGTTCGCAAACCCACCGCTTACAGCCCCTGCCAACCCAACGGGCATCTTTATACCTGCACCCGCTCCTTCTGCGGTCGTCCGTGTGCCTGGTCACATGGCTCGAGATATCATTGAGGACGTTGAAAAAGTCGTCATGAGATATGCCTACTTGGAGCTTGAACGAGACGCCAGCGCTGCCCCACAGACCGTCGCACGGCCATATCTGACCGCTCTGCATGAAGGAGACATATCCAAAGCCATTGTTGGACTGCACCATGCAATTGCCCAAGTACGGCTCTCGTTGGATCCGCACGACCCTACCAGAACGATTATTGATCCCACCGGCAATGACTATCCCTGCCGAGGCAGAGGCCCTATCTGGAAAAACAACTCGAGCACCATCGACAGTCTGATTGTTGTGGGCAAATTGCTGGATGCTGGGTCCACGGTTATCGATCGTAACAAGGCTGGATGGGAGACCCGCTTCAGTGCACTGGAGCGAGCCTTTATCGAGGCCACTGACGTCAATTGGGATGTCCTGTCTTTGGACGAAAATTCAGAAATGAGAGACCACTTTTGGGATGTCGTCCAGGAGCATGTAGCAGGCGTTCAGCCTGGAATGCTCAGCCCTTTGTGGACTGTCTGGACTGATTGCGCAGGGCACTTTGACCAGTTCCATTTCACGTACCGGGAAGCAGTTGCGCCTTGTCAGTGTACCGGGCAGGCTGCCACTGTTCAAGCACATACCAAAACCTTCGTGGCCCCCGACCTGCGTCCGGGGACATGCATGGGGTGTGCATGAGCGAGGTGATGGCCCGTCCGTTCGCGCCGCTTCTTCATGCGGATTGTACGGCATGCAACGCACCACAATCTGTGACCATCGAGCGAAGGTTTGACACTCTTCCCCTGCGCATGGTGGTGGGACTTGACGAGCAGGTCTCAATCAAAAACCATGCCAAGGACATCATCTTCGACTTTTGTGACGGCGATGGTCAGCTGCAAAAGGCCACATACCGTTGGTTGGGAGGTATCTACTATAGGGATTACCGGTATCGCGTGTTCTGGACGGACACCAAGAGAGGCGAGACCGACCATGGCTTCCTCAAGATGTATGACAGTACAATGAACTCGGGCCTGATCATCGGCGATATTCCACCAGCCCATAAGGATGAGAGGGTACCTCCTGAATGGTGGAGAAACACCTCGGTGCCATTCCTCGTTTACGAACGAGTCATGGACCCGGAACCGGAAGTATTCAGTCTTGCGTATCACTCGTTGCTTGACATGATGAAGGTGAAAATGGAGGGCAAACTGGTTGCCCAGGAGCATACGCCCTGGACCAGAGCCGAGCCTACTCTTCCCACGCAGTCACCTCCCTGGGACCGAATTTTGCCCAACGCAGACCGCTTCAAGCTTGCAACAGATGGTGAGACAGAGGAACAGGAACAGAGCGTTAGTGTGCACAGTCAGACTTCCGTCAGCTCGGCTGGCCACTCGTCAGGCCGCTCGTCCGGCCCTGATCTACCCTCCGCTCCAACATCAGTCAGATCTTCTATGCGAGTATCGCCCGTTCCAACAGGGATGAAGCAGGCTGCATACGCGCAGGCTCCCACCACATACACCTCCGCAACACCAGCGACCATCGGGCCGTTTGTCTCGACTTTTGCAACGGCGCAACCTGTAGGCGTGAACCCATTCGAGATCAACCCGCCAATGAACACGACTAGCCTATTCAGCGGCTTCAATCGCAGAAGCAACAGCCCGCAGAACGCCTTCAGCAATTTTGCCAATTTCACAAACACGCTCATGATGCAGCCGACCGGCGACCCCAGCGCAATGTCGATTTCGCCCACGCAACAATTCTTCTGGATCCCATCTGCGTCGAACAGCCCCGAGAAACAGAAAAATCAGTCGTCACCGGACATGATGGCGGGATTCGCGGTGTGTGGTGCCGTGCAGCCAATTTATATGCGTGTGTCGCCGAAGCGAGCCATCGAAGAGGTGCAGGACAATAGCGTCAACAATAATCGCAGCGAAAGCAACAATGTCAACGGTACTACGGGTGATGGCGATGGTGACAATGGTACAGCAGACACTACGATGGGACCGCCTCCTAGAAAAAGAGCACGAACTCGGGCTGAACGGACCGAACGAGTCGGTACCAGGAAAAGCGCAAGGCTCAGTAGATGATTTAGGTGAGGTTCTGCTTGTTCGTTTTGCTTTGGGTTGGAGTTTGCTAGCCTGTTGCAGCTTGCTTATATTGATTGATGGTGTTTGGTCAACAATCTGGTATTTTGCCATATTGAGTTCTTGAATTTCTTAGTCGAGTCTCATCTGCCATGATGGCCAACGGACAATTCATGGCGATAACTGCTGTAGCGGATTTCAACAAGGTAGTATATGCATACTGTGGCTACACTGCACGCAAGCCTCCGGGTCAACGTCAACATGCTAGACCCGTCTCTAGTCCGAGGAACATTCATAAGTAGATCAAGCCATGCTGATAATGCCATGAGTAATAAAAATCTCGACAACCAATAAATTCTAAATTCCAACGAAGCGGAGGTTACCGTTGATGGCGTTCTGTCTGTGCGGCTGCAGGGATACTTTCTTCCCCGCATTTCCCCTCCCCTTTCCCCCGGCTATATTAGTACTTAAGGACTTCTTTCTATCGTGCCCAAACACTGTCCTCCTTCTGTGACAATAAGAAGACTCGATTTGATCTAGAGCAAAGAAATCAAACATGGTATTGTATGCGTCTAATCTATACATGTACATGCACCCGCGATCTAGTTATCTAGTCCGATCCTGTATCAACAAAGAAGATTCTAACATATTGACAGGAAAAGAAAGGATTATAGCTTAGCCCGAGGGCATCCACCCTGCGACGCCGCCACAGGACATCCACCCTGAGCCCCCTTCGCCGGCCCAGTGGGGTGATTGCTCTTCTTCGGCGCAGAGATGTAGCCGCCCTTAACGTTATCAGCGTTGATGACGCGGTCGTTCTCATCACGCTTGATACCCAGCTCCATCAACTTGGCAAACGCCTTGGCGAAATGATCGAAGAAAAGGTCCTTGTCGTCCGCGTACTTCTCCACCCACACGCGGAACGCCGGGTCCGTCTTGAGCGCGATATCCGTCGGCAGCATCATGAGCGGCTCGTCGCCCTCCTCCGCGTCCGGATCCACATACACAAACTGGCTGACCCCGTTCGGCAGGGTCTTCGGCTTCCAGTCCAGCTTCAGCAGCAGTTTGAAGAACTGGTTCGAGAACCGCGTCGGGTTGTTCACCCAGGGACCCTGGAACCCGCTGCGGTCGATGTGGCATCGGCCGAGGTTGTGACCGCCCGCCAGCGCGACGATCTCCTGGTCGTTGAAGCCCATCCGGTAGAACACGGCGCGGAGGTGCTCGGCGCCCTGTGCGGCATCGGGCAGGCGGCCGCGCGGGGAACCTTGGAGTCGTCGACGAGGTCCGTCCGGCCGGCCTTCCAGACAATCTTGGGGCCGCCCAGCGCTTCGATGGCGACCACGCCGGCTAGTGTCCACAGATCGGCGTATGTGATCCAGGGGTGTTTCTCCTTGACGGGCTCGAGGAAGGCCCGGCCGTGCTGGAGGCCGGCGTTGGCGGGTCGCCGCCTTCGGCTTCGTAGCGCATGCCTGCGCCGTTGGAGCCGCCGGTGTCGGTTTCGAGGTCATATGTGCCTGCGGAGTGCCTGATAGCGGAGAAGTGTCAGTGGCGAGTTTGCCGGAAAGGGAGGGAAAGAAAACGAACCATGCGAGTCGTACGAATACGGGACCTGCGCTGCCATCGTCATAGTCGGGTTTCTTCAACTGAGCAATGATGTCCTTGCGGACGGCGTCATAATCCCCGGGTCTGCTCATTTCGGCGGATTGTATTCTTTCCGGGGTATCGATAGGGTGGGTCAACACTCGACAGCCTCGTCAGGTCAAACGCGGAACTCAAAAAAAAAGAGAGACAGAACACGAAGGGTATCGTTAGTCAAAAGGAAAAGAATGTACAATGAAGGAGAGAAAAAAGAAAGGTCAAGGTCACTGAGCCTCGGAGGCGTCGACTCTTTTTCTTGTCAGTTGTCGCACATGAAGGACAAAAGGGAGTGGATCCGCGGGCCGAATCAGTGCAAAGATTCTGGCCGATAAGTGTTCAGATGCCGAGGTCCATTTCATTTGGTCCCAGCAGGAATGATCTGATATATCTGCTTGATTACTGGCTTTTCCTTTCGCGGGATCTGGACCGGATTCTGGAAACATCTGGGGAAGCATCGCGACATTTTCCTCGCGCAGCTGATCATCCGGCTGTACGGAGTATGCTGTACCCTATTGCGTCAGTATCGAAAAGATCAGTGACTACCGCGAGGAACAATCTGATGAGACTACAGTGTAGAAATTCCTTTGATGATTCGTTTGATATCATCATTGTCGGATGATGCCTGTGAGTGCAGGGTGTACTGGGAATCCCGATCCGAAACTTCTGCGCAATTTCAACCTCGGAACTTTGATTCCGCCTTGAGAACGTACAAGTCACTACTGTCTATCTACCTGCAGTGGATATGACGATTGAATTCAATTCGATTCGATTCAATTCAGCAATTGACCATCTATATGAAAACTAACGGTCTAATATCTCATTTAGTGAGATGTGACAATCTCCAAATGGAATGTTCACCCTATTACTGAATTTGCCACAGAGCCATCCGCCATCAAAATTTATCGGCCAATTACGGACAACAGGGGAACATTGCCACGTGAAATTGATGCTATTTTGCAGATGTCCAAATTCTAGCGATGAAAGCATAAAGCATCAAAAAGGTTGCATTGATGTTACCAGGATACTCACACTCATCCTCGGTCACATTTGCTGCCCCTATCCCCCATTCTGAGATCTCTCACTGCCGCCCTTCATCATCAACTCCCTCCTCATCGCCTTATTCACCACCTCCAGATCCCTCACCCTCTTCCTCCACCGTAAATTGACTGCATCCGCTCGCTTCACCACCTCGCCAAACTCCCTCCGCATCCATTCCCTCTCACTCTTCAGCCGTCGCGCCAGCCGCGCATACCGCTTCACCTTCCGCTCCAGCACCCGGCGGTGCGAAACCTCCGTTCCTTTGATGATGTCGATGACGCTCTCGATGGAGGCGGTGTGTTCATCGCTCAGAGTGCCGTTTTCGATGTGTTTGGAGATGCAGATGAAGGTGGCAGTGATGTCGGTGGCGATGGAGCAGAGGAGGGTCCGTCTGGAGGAGCTGTCTAGGTCCGGGAGGGTTTGGAGGCGGGAGATGTAGGATGTGTGTCTGATGTCTTTGGTCATTTCGTAGTGATTGAATGGTTGGAATTGTAGAGGACTGGCAGGTTGTAGAAGGTAGGTGAGGTGGATGTAGGGTATAGTCATGCCTTATAATATTTCTTAGCAGATTGTTTATTTCCAGCATCTTGTTTCTTCCTTGTAATTCAATATGAGAATCTATGCGAAAACAATATAAGCGACGTTTGAACTCTGGAGAAGATCTCTTTGTTCACTCCCGTCACTTGATTGCGCCCCATTGTTCTGGTGAATCAGACCTGAGGCTCAAGCTTCATCTCACTACCGGGAGAAAGGATTCTAGACTCAGGAAGACCCTTTGTTTGAATCTGATCTCAGTCTGGCTGACACGTCCATCAAGGCTTATGAACTAAACTACTGTGCAGCGCAGCAACAATTGCATCGCCAAGTTCATTCGTCCCCGATTTTCCTCCCAGATCAGGGGTGCGGATCCCAGCATCCAGAACACCCTGCACTGCTTTTTCGATCTGCTGCGCCTCGAGCTCCATGTCTAACGAATAGCGGAACATGAGTGCCACGCAAAGTATCATGGCGACGGGGTTGGCGATGTTCTGACCCGCGATTCTGCAGATGATTGTCAGCTTGCTTCATAGTGAAACAGGGAGGGAAACAAGGAAAGGGACGTACGTCGGTGCGGATCCATGTGTCGGCTCGTACAGGCCATTCGTCCTCTTTCTCGTCTCACTGGGTAGCCCATCGAGACTAGCGCTGGGAAGCACGCCCAATGTCCCGACGATGGAACCGGCCTGGTCGGAAATCATGTCGCCGAATGTATTGTCGGCCAGGATGACGCCGTTCAAGGCGCGTGGGTTGGTAGCTAGAATCAGCGACGCCGAGTCCGCCAGCTGATGCACGAGCTTCACCTGGGGATACTCGGTAGTCATCGTCTTTTCCACGACACGCCGCCACAGCCGCGACGAGGCGAGCACATTGGCTTTGTCCAGCGAGATGACGGGCCAAGGGGGTTGTGGCGGAGGGCAATTTCCGCTGAGAGACGGGTGATGCGCTGGATCTCGCGTTCGCTATAGCCCCATTCGTCCATTGCTGAAATAACAGAGTCAGTCAGTCTCAAAAAGCATACTGCTTGTAAATGATGACGTACCGTAATCTTCTTCTTCGATCTTCTTCCCGAAATACGCTCCTCCGCAGTTCTCTCTCACAACGACGAAATCTACACCCTCGATAACTTCCTGGCGGAACGGGCTAAACTCCTTCGCGATCGACGCACTCGGCGAACTGGCCGAGCACGGTCTGAGATTCGCGTAGATGTCCATAGCCTTGCGGAGCTGCAGCAGGCCTCCCTCCGGCCCATCGAGACCACGACGGATATGGTCCCATTTTGGACCCCCGACTGCTGCGAAGAGCACGGCGTCGGACTCCAGAGCGGCCTTTTTGACTTCTTCTGTGACGGATTTCCCGTGCGCGTCGATGCTGCAGCCGCCGATGAGCTCTTGCCGGAGGTTGAACTTTCTGTGCTCGTTCTCAAAGACCTTTAGCACCTTGACCGCTTCGGTCATGACCTCGGGACCGATCCCATCGCCCGGAAGGACGAGGATGTTGTAGCTAGTCGCCATCTCCTCTTTGATTTAGTGCTATAAGAGATAAATGCAGAAATTGATCAATATCCAGCGCGAGGTCACAGACTGGATTCAAACGTTGATGAGATCCATGGAAAAGCTCTATCCTGTTGACAAAGAACTATATAAACATAGTCGCAGCTCCTGTATCGGCTATCGGTCTCCAACCGATGCTGCGGGGTTGACGAGACCGCGGGGTTCGTCCGATGCAGTCCAGTTGAGTAGATACGGCTGAGCTGCACAACATTGTTTTAAGAAGTCATCTAAAGTCTAAAGAGTTCCGAAAAGAAATGGACCCTGACGATGTGGCTTGTCCTGAGTGCACAGTCAACCGTGGCTCCAGCCAGGAACGCAGTGGATCTTATAAACATTGCAGTGAAAGCAGGAGATAGGATCTTGATTTCAAGGGTCCAGCACTCAACCGCCTGGAACAGAACGACGGTATCCCGTACTCACAATGGCATCTCATGAAACAACTGCCTATGGGCATGGATGATGACGCTGTGAACTGGATGGATACAGATGTACATCCCCCGCGGGATGGGCGGACGGTAGATGAAATCCAGAATGCCGGTTATCTTAATATTTCCACCATGTATGAGATTCCGATTGCCTTTCCAGTAAGACACATCATCTACCTAGCTACCTGCCGCTGCCCTTGATGTATGGAGTAGAGAGGTATCTACAAGGGAGTTCCCTTCTGTAGCTGACGCCTCGCTGGCGGAATGGAAGCTCACCGCCTTCCATATCCAAGGCACTAAGGCAAGAGGGCAAACCCTATCCCCTCTTGTTTGCAATGTTTGTTCTGATCGCATTGTTAGGTACTGATCTCTCAAGACTTTTTTGATCATCAACCGTTTGTTTATTCAACCACAGATAGCACGATGGGTCAAATAGAGGAGCTTCCAGACGACTTTGACGAGCGCCTCAATCTTAACGAACATCCTCCAGCTACCGCGGTGCCTGCCAGCAAAATCTACAACGATGGCCCTTCTCCCGCCGTGGAAGAAACTCCCTTTCCGATTAATGAAGAGAGATTGAAGGAGCTCGAAAATGACCCCAATGCACCCAAGCTGCCGCCGACCATGGCGTCGGTTAAGTCGCATACCTCGGAAGAGCTTTTGGGCATGATGAATAAGACCCCACTGTTTATGACGGACATTAGTCAGGCGGGCGACGAAAGTAAGTCTATCACCCCACTCGAATAGATGCAATTTGCATGACGGACACTGACGATACACTCCTTCACAGATGGCGAAAATCCCATGCTCGATGCCATCCAAGCACTCCAGAACGAAGGTACCCGTGGTGAAGTCGCCCAGAGCTACCGCGAGCAAGGCAACGAAGCAGCGAGGGAAAAGAGATGGATCGATGCGAAGGAGTTTTATACCAAGGCTCTTGCGGTGGTGACAACTAAACTCGATAAGTGGGATAAACCGGAGGATCCCAAAGAGGAGGAGAAGCTTCTGCGGCAGGCCGAGGAGGCTTCATACATCAACCGTGCTCTGTGCAATCTGGAATTGAGTATGTCACTGCGTTATGGCCATACCTGGCACAAGTTGCTAATTTGGATCAGAAAATTACCGTTCTACCACCCTTGACTGTGCCTCTGTTCTCAAGCTCAACCCGAACAATATCAAAGCGTATTACCGTTCCGCGACGGCGCTTTATTCCCTTGACAAGCTTCCGGAGGCCGAAGATGCCGCCTCGCGGGGTCTCGCCCTTGACCCCAACAACAAGTCGCTACAACAAGTGGCCGCCAAAATTGCCGATCGCAAGGCTGCTCTGGAACGTATCGCGGCGCGAAAGAAGGCGGAAGAGGAACGGATACAGAAGGAAAAGCAGCTTCTCAGTACTGCACTACGGGCCAGACAAATCAGGACTCGCAAGACAGCCCAACCGCCGGACATGGAGGATGCACACATTCGGCTGACTCCCGATCCTTTGTCTCCCGAAAGTACCCTTGAGTTCCCGGCCGTGCTGCTGTACCACATGGACGCCCAATCAGACTTTATTAAAACGTTCTCTGAAGCGACATCTATTCAAGATCACCTGGAGTACACCTTCCCATTGCCATGGGACACCAAGCAGGAGTATACAATCAACGGTGTTGATTGCTTCATGGAAACCGTGACAGGGGGACTGATCAAGGCCGGCAAGAAGCTACCGCTTCTGCAGATCCTTAGTGGGGCCAAGGTTGAAGTAGTCGACGAGCTTGTCAGGATCTACGTGATACCGACCTCCAAGAGCGCAAAATTCATTGCCGAGATGAAGGCCAGAAAAGAGGGCTGATCCTTAGGAGTGAATACCGGTTAGAACTTTCGTCGACCGGCGCGTTTACTTCAGGGATGCACTGGTCATTACACGTGCAGTAGTCTGTCAGACTGAATGCTTCTGAGCTCACTACACCGCGGCCTGGCAGGCAACGTTGGGCAATATGCCCGCTATCTGTCTACCCCAGAAAAGAGGCATCGCTCTCGCATTTCTGCACTCCACGGAGATTCATGTAGTTCTCGGATCTTCGATCCCTGAATATCCCTTGGGGTACCCTATAGCTTCATCGATGTACATACAGCCATAGGCTGTTCTGCAGGCTGTATTTCTTCAGGCTGTACGGACAAACTGCCGAATGGCGCCGGAATCGTGGGCCGAATATCCTAAGTAACGAATTATCATTACTGCATAGGATGAAATAGATGAATTCCGCTTACGTTAGTTCGCTATTGATGAAAGTCATGTCTCGTTAAGTCTCCGGCTGGAAGCCTGTTCATCTAAGAAGTAAATTGAATGGATGGTCAGCCACTCCTTTGCCCCAATTTATCCGGACAAAATGCGGGGAAATCCCGTTCCTAACTTCCTTCATCCCCTGAAGAACTCCGCTTTTGGAAACATGGAGGTTTACTGGATCTCGCTCCCTCGTTTGACGTACTGAAACTGAAAGAGTAGAAGTCGGCATTTGCCGTTGGTACCTGGTCCTCTTACAATGTTGATCATGGTTCGCTTTGGCGTTTGACAGATTACCTCTTTAACTCAAAAGGACATTTGTAGCAAAGTCTCTCATTAAAGTGGGGAGCCAAAACATCGATTGTCCCACTTGAAGTGATCTCTGAAACACCCTAAATCCGTCGTCAACAACACTAACTCGTCCGGTCACTCTGGTGTTGAAGATAGATTAATCACACTCCCTACACAATTTTTCACTGGCCCACCTTCCTACTCCCTCGGAAACTCACATTCATTCGTCAGCCGTCTCTCCTACGAGCGTTCGTGTCTATTTTCAGGCTAAAATCTATCAGTGCTTGATCTGCTTCAGAGACTATTCGACAAATAGGGGGTTTTTACTGTTTCTTGGCCGAATATGAACCGGTCGTGCTGCCCAAAACGATGAAGTCAGTGTGGTCAATGCCTTCCTGCACTAATCTGCCGCGGTGCCATGCCCCGAACAGGCCACACGGCCCTCGCATTATCCTTGACCTGAAGATTATATCAAGAAAATTACGCCGGCCGTCGAGCGTCGACGACGTAAGCGCCGGTTGAAGTGATCTGGATCAATCTGGGCAAGGAGTACTGAGAACCATGTCTTATTAGCCTGGTCCTTTTACTAGATCATAATAACCTTCGTCCGTATAAGAACGGGCACATCCAGACCTGCACGATGGGATTTTTGCGATTGACCAGACTAGATAACTATCCTTCTTGAATTCGTATCTCAAAGTACTTTCCAAGATGGTTCATCTATCTTCATTCGCAGCAGCCCTGGCTGCTCTGCCTCTGTATGTTACCCACTCACGAGAGGAGAAACATCTCTGACATCGCTCTAGCGTATATGGAGCTGGCCTGAACACAGCAGCCAAAGCCAAAGGACTAAAGTACTTTGGTTCCGCAACCGACAACCCAGAGCTCACGGACACTGCGTATGTCGCTCAACTTAGCAACACCGATGATTTTGGTCAACTCACTCCCGGAAACTCCATGAAGGTCTGTTTATGTCTTTTCCCCTGGAGCATTGCGTCAGGAGCTAATTGCTTGTCTTTGATGGACAGTGGGATGCCACCGAGCCTTCTCAGAATTCTTTCTCCTTCGCAAACGGAGACGCCGTTGTCAATCTGGCGAACAAGAATGGCCAGATGATGCGGTGCCATACCCTGGTCTGGCACAGTCAGCTCCCCAACTGGGGTAAGTGGACGTCTTATTTATTCTCAAACTATCTCTAATGGTTGACAGTCTCCAGCGGATCGTGGACCAATGCAACCCTCTTGGCGGCCATGAAGAACCATATCACCAACGTGGTCACTCACTACAAGGGGAAGTGCTATGCCTGGGATGTGGTCAATGAAGGTCCGTTGCTCCCTCTATCCCTCAATAGTACTTCTGAAACTGATAAGCCTGTCACTCTAGCCCTGAACGAGGACGGTACCTTCCGTAACTCCATCTTCTACCAGACAATCGGCCCAGCATACATTCCTATTGCGTTCGCTACGGCTGCCGCAGCAGATCCCACCGTGAAACTCTACTACAACGACTACAACATTGAATCCTCGGGCGCCAAAGCGACTGCTGCGCAGAATATCGTCAAGATGATCAAGGCCTACGGCGCGAAGATTGACGGCGTCGGTCTCCAGGCACACTTCATTGTCGGCAGCACTCCTAGCCAATCGGCTCTGACGACCGTCTTGAAGGGCTACACTGCTCTCGGCGTAGAGGTGGCCTATACCGAACTTGACATCCGCATGCAGTTGCCCTCGACCGCCGCAAAGCTGGCCCAGCAGTCCACTGACTTCCAGGGCGTGGCCGCGGCATGCGTTAGCACCACAGGCTGTGTGGGTGTCACCATCTGGGACTGGACCGACAAGTACTCCTGGGTCCCCGGCGTGTTCCCAGGCTACGGTGCCCCATTGCCTTGGGATGAGAACTATGTTAAGAAGCCAGCATACAATGGCCTGATGGCGGGTCTTGGAGCAAGCGGCTCCGGCTCCACAACGACCACCACCACCACTACTACTACTTCAGGAGGTTCAGAGCCTACTGGAGTCGCTCAGAAATGGGGACAGTGCGGCGGTATCGGCTGGAATGGGCCAACAACTTGTGTCAGTGGAAGCACTTGCCAGAAGGTGAATGACTGGTACTCGCAGTGCCTGTAAATGGATCACTGCCCTAGCATATTTATTCTTTTGCTTTTCCCCTTCTTTCTTGTAACTAGTTGAAGTAAGTCCAGCACTTACAAGATGAAATTCATCTGGACATCTATCTAATTTGGTTTAGCTTCACTGCTGAAACACAAACTGCGCTTGTTCATGAAACATTCATACCTCTTATATAGAACTTTTGCAAACAAGAGAGGTCATCTACAAAAGAATCTCAATCGGTGAACTTTGCTTCGAGCATCTTTAGGCGGCGCTCAACGGCTGCTTTAGATACGGTGCGCAGCCAATTAGGAAGGTGTCTTCTTCTGTCCTCCCTTCCCAAATCGAAACTCCCTTTCCTCTCCTTCCTACAAAATGTCTTCAGCTTCTCGAACCAGTTCTTAACACCCGACTTAAATGTTTTAACTACTATTAAATTTTTTCCATGAAGTACATTGATGAACAAGAATATGCGCTTTGACTTGTATCAAATCGCCCGCCAAATAATAATCCACAAGAACCGAAATGAAGCAACCAGAATATCCTCCCCAATGACAAATTGAAAATAGCGTCATCAGCCGCCCAAGAATCAGACGTCAAAAGTACAAGTAGTATGGGTTTGGACAACTCTGCATACCATGGCCAGCAACACCCATGCCGGGCCCATGCTGATCTTGCTGCCCTTGACTGACATTCGGTTCATGATAAAATCGCAGAGGAAAGGCGTGAAAGTTTAACGGGACAGGTGGAGGAGCATGGTGGAAGGTATGAGCTGATGGGATGCTTACAGAGAACGGATGTTCCCCTTTGTCTTCGTGGACGTCCTTCGGTATCCTGGGAGTCGGTAGTGCTGCGGAGGGGCAGGTATCAGTATGACTGGTGAAAAATGCCCCTGTTGACGGAAAGACCGATGTGTGGGACTCCATGTCATAACACTCTCGCTTGTAAACTGGGTTCACGTCTGCGTTCATCGCTTCTGCCGTGGGAGAACCAGCATCCTTCGGGTCTATCTCATCCGGCAAGTGGGCTCGAGAGATATACACAACTGCTTGTTCGTCTGTCAAGAGATGAGTGAGCCTCTTTTTATGTTGATAGAAACCTCAAGGGCTACGTACCGAGATGGTCGTCCAGGTAACTCTCCTCTTCTTCTCGGACGCGATAGATCTCGTCCAGGACCCCCAGACGGTCCGGTGGTGAAATCTGACGGCGGATGGATTGATCGGCCTCTCTAAGCTTCGCGACGGTGATGCCACGGCTGTCGCGGAGCTCGCAGAGAATGTGTACAAGCAATCGAACTCTCTCTGATATGGTCAGCTTCTGAAATTTTGAGAAAGACTCCGTTATATCTTACGCGCTTTGGGAAGATGGTCGGGCTCTCTATGTGTGACACCATGTGGCCACCAGGCTGGCTTTGTCATCTCTGGGTCAAGTTGTCGAGAGATACCAGCGATAAGCTTTCGCCCGTTATAAGGATAATTAACTTGCTTTCGGGGCTCGACAAGTTTGACATATGCTTTAGCGATGGTTCGACAGTTGATTTGCTGCACGCTTTCGAACGCTTTTTGATAGTATCTTCGCAGAAGCCTCCTGTCTCGGAGCGGCAACATGGCTTTCTGATGGCAACTGATGTTCAGTGGCACTACGCATTCATGAAACAGTTTCCTCCTTTTTGCCTGACGGCCATGATCAGTAGGCACCTGTTCAGCTGTGCCTCTTTGCTCCGATGCCTTTACATCGTCCTGGTCCGTCACGTCGTTGACCTCTCCTGTCCCAAGCGACTGTGGCGACAGCGGGCTTCTTCCTCTGGCCGAAGGCGATCCGTGGATGGGGTCTACCCCTCAGTCGTCAGTTGATTTCTGTTGTGGATATCTTGAAGGACTTACTTGGACCGGGGATCACGCTGTCTTTGTTCGATAGTGCCACTGCTTCCAGAAAGTTCTCCATAACGATGGGGGATAGGATGGTCTGGCAGCTATTCGCAATTGATGGAGAAGTTTGAAGCCGAACTTTGCCATTGCGATCAGTATAAATGATGGCATAATGGTCATAATCCGTTGACCCTGGCGTCTGCACCCGCTTGAATCAGTCTTTTTAAACAAGCAACTAGCCTCGCGGATGTTCGGTATTTGTACCAGCTGTTGCAAATAATCAAATTTGTCACCAGTCGAGGATGGTAACTTCGAGTCCTCTAACATGAGAAGACTAGTTAACGATCCAGGTTTCCCAATGCCGTAAGGTGCAAGAGAGCCGGTGGTACTTACTTTCCGAAGACATGCGTCTTATGGAGCAACAAGAAAACCGGGCACAGAAGAGATCGTAGCAACGACAGATCCACGAACTGGAGTTCGCAAGGTTTGTCTGGGCTTTGAAACTGTTCTGTGATGCTCCACCGTGCTTTATACGTGCGAAACAACTCTGTTTAAAGAGCGCCTGATAACATCCTTCGAAAAAGCAACCTGCACTCTCAGACCAAAACTGTAATTAATTGCATTCATGAGTCTATCCTGGCCAAGGCTGCCTCATTACCATGCATACATCTATGCGCATAGCGGTGCGCAGGAGCGCCCACCCACCTCAGCTGCATTGGGCTTACGAACTAACGCTCTTCTGCGTCTGACGATCTCCAGAGGCCAACTGTCTAGACGCTAGACAGTGAACTTCACAGAAGTACAATCACCTATAGATCAAGCTGACTTCACCTCCTTAGAGTAAGTACAAATCGTTGAGATCAATAGTTCCATTGATCGACGGCAAAAATTAGTGGCGGAACTACCTCACCTCTGTTGGTTCCGGAGTTATATATCCGGGCCGTCACAGTCCAATCTTCGACCTCCTTCCATATTAATGGCTGTCTAATCCCGAAACCATGGATCAATGCTCCTTGCATGAGCTGGTGGCATCCGCAGTTAACGCGTAATATGGCGCTGAAGGTCTCAAGAAGTTAGAGCGCTACGTGGCCCATGTTCACAGAAAACAGTACTTCAGATGGAAGCATGACTCTTCAGTCAAGATGCCCCGATGCCGTAACTCTATCAGGTGAGTACACCTCTTCCATCACATGGACATCATATGCTCCTTATTTGAGGAGACTGAGTCAAGATCGCTTTAGTTGACGAGCCGCAGCACAATCCGTGAATGAGCTGTCCTGGACTCGACATACGTTGAGAAACGGAGACCATGGATGGCAAGCCCTTCCATCGGCCCAGTCCGCCTGCCGAGACTTCTCGAATGACAGGTCAATAATATCGATCAGACAAGGGTATTGTTACCTGATTTGGACATCTCGGAAGTCGGAAATCATGTCGAGGAACTGGAGACAGGAGAGAGGAGAGACCCTGGTGTGTTTTGTCAAGCTCTTAATGGCTATGTGCCATCGCTTGGGAATGATGATTGATGAAGCATGAAATATGTGATCCATCATATATCAGCTGTCACTGTAAGTGTCGCCGAGGCCCGCCACAGCGGATCGGGCTCAGGCCTGCGAATGATGAAGTTCTGGAAGGATTTCAGCATCGATAGAGCCTTTCATTATTCCAACCGTTCTTCAGAAAGCTAAGGGGAAGAATCTTGCAGTGGGCTTGAAGTGATAGGTACTTGTTAGATACTTTGTGTGTCCACCTATCTACATTATAGTGTAATGTTGCATCTTCGATAGCTGCAGTCTATGATTGACCTCTGAGATGTCACAGTTTGACTCTTTTAGGGAAGCCGTAACGGTATAGCCATGTCCTTTGGTAAATACAGCGCAAATCCCGCTGGCATTCTTTATTTTATCCGTACGAGACTTACATATAGTAACGCTGGGGCAATCTCTCTTTTTCATCCTTCCATCGTGCAGTTCGCTATATCAGACAGAGATTCTTATCATCCGTATCGAGTCAAAGGCATCATGGACGTTGTCCTTAGACTTCAGCTGCAACTACCGGGTTCTCAGAATTTCCACTGTCTACTGCCGTAGCAACCGCTCTGACTTCGGCGGATGGATAAATTCCGTTCCGAGGCGCAGTGGTCGATGAATCGATTCGTCCCAGCAAAAGAAGACTGCCCCGGAGTCGATCTTGTCTCTTAGCCAAATGAACTGACTGTTCCACCCCTTTACCTGGTCTATTCCGACTTCTGAAAGCACCTTTTTCTTTGAGCCAATCATCTTTGTCTTGGCCCTTTTTGTCCTCTGACTCCGTACTCCGTAGACTAAAGACTCATCCCTGGATTCGCCGACGAGTCAGTGTCTTACAACTGTCTCTGGGTCGTACCTTACCTAAGCTGGTCATTCTTCTTCGCAGATTATTCTGGCGCTCTAACTGGGGCCTTGCCTATCGTCCGTGCGGTGCTTTATTTCAAGTCTTTTTTTGCGCATCCCCTTCGTCCAGCAAATTAATATAGGTCGAGCGGGAAGAAAGGCCGCCGACCGTAACACTGGGAGCAAAATTTCTCCTGAAGTCAAATCACTAAGGTACTACGTTCGGACCAGACCACCCTGGATAAGAAAAAATGGATCCCAACGCTACCGGCTATCCTGCTCTGCAGCAACAGCAGCAGCACAACGCGGGATATCCTGTCACCACACAGAGTCCACACGGACAGCAGTTCCCTTTCTATCCGAATGCTATGCCCACCTCCTCCTCATTTCCGCAATCCAAGACGCCGGTCCAACAACCGCATCAGCAGCATTCTTTCGGTCCCGTGCCTCTGCAATCTGGCGGTCCCGGTGGAGCTATGATGCCGTCCGGTTTCCCTCAGCAGCCGTCTGGTACGTTGACTTGTTGATCTCCATGGTTGTTTTCTAGTGTATCTTTCCTTTTTCTGCTTTTCCTTTTCGCGTCGTCCAGCCATTCACCGGCCGTCGTCCTTCTTCTGCGTAGGGTGCATTGTCCCCTTGTCCCCTTGTCCCCTTGGCCTGGTCCGTCGGTCGTCTTGTCGATCGAGTGCTTGCACTTGCTATCTTAAGCTTGTTTTGTTTTGAATGAACTTTGATTCAGCTGTCTTCCTCAGTCCAAATCCCTGATGGATGCCATGAATTTCCTGTCCTACCTGTGCGGGCCATTAGCCTAACACCATTCCTGAACACCTCCACTACCCCGTTTCATATCAAGAGAGTATCTGCGGAGTATCCAGTCGCACTACTTCTTCGGATGGACGCCCTGGATGATTTAGGCTCTTAGGCAAGCCGCTAACGTGATGTGCAATTTCCCGCTTTGCAGGTCCCCACGGGAATTTCTCTGCTGCTTTCACCCAACCTCCTGTACCAGCCACTCTTAGCCAGTTCGTGCCGCATCAGGGCGCTCCGACTTCGAACATGTCCCCGAGTGCGGCGCAAAACTTCACGCAAAACATGGCTTCGGTTTCTGCGAATAACATGCTTCCGGCACAACAGCAACAACAGCAGCAGCCGCAGCAACAGCAACAGCAACCACAACAACAACAACCACAACAACAACAACAACAACAACAACGCCCTGCCCAGCAGCCAAATCAGCAGCAAGGATCCGTTCCAACAGCAGGGCAGAGTCCGGCTGCGGCAGCCCGAGAGAAGGCTCGTGTCTCAACCCTCCTGGATATCAACTCCATCTTGTTGCAAGAGGTCATCAATCTGCAGGCGGCTGGTAAGGCTGGCGGGCCTCCCAATCAACAAGCATCGCAAGACAACAATCCATCACCAACTTCCGACCAGGCAACCGACGGCGCCAAGGGTCCGTCACAAAAGCCCAGTCTCGAGTATGTTGAGTGTATGCGCCGTCTCCAGGCCAATTTGGCGTATCTGGCGACTATTGCCGATCGGGCGAAGAAGTCGGGTGGCGTAGCTCCCACCGCCCCGGCCATCATGACGCCGCCTCCAAACATGCCAGCGGTAAACGAGCTCTACAACAAGTTGAATGAGCTGTTCCGGCCGTTGAAAGGTGCCGTGGGCACACCCCAACCTAGCCCACAAGGTACGCCTGGCAACAGTAAACCGAGCCCGTCACCCGCGGCCGAGTCGGCGGTTTGAGTATGGGCACTTGTAGGGTTCATTCGCGCCTGAAATGAGATTTGGAATAGCAATCGGCCAGCACACGAAAGGCAACATAAAAGTCAACTCCCTCGTTTCGAGGTTAGCTGTGCAGCTCTCGGCGTTCATCCGCTCGACGCTACGCTGATTACAGACCCGGGGTCGGCATGAGCGGCCATTGCTGGACGGGGATTACGCATTTACGCAGAAACGGTGCGCCAGGCGACACTCGACAACACTGCGGACCTGCGATCCCGTTCGGGACTTTTCAGTGATAAAAGGCAGACTACGAATAATCACTTGACCGTTTATTAACTGGAGGACAGAACCCAAGGAATCTCTTCATAACTATCACCAGCTCTTCCCTTCTCTCGGTCTCCAACAAGAAGCAGTACAAGGGATCTCTTTCAGCTAGCCTTCTTTATCTACGACAAAATAGCGCCAGCCGGGATACCCTGAACCTGCAGTGTTCAATACCAAACGTGTCCGGAGAGGCCTCAAAGATCTCTCGGATGCTGGACACTTTCTTCTCCCTGTCGGAGGCGGGAACTTGGACTGATGTACTGTCCCTGGGTATTGTAGGTGGTTTTGCGAGGATAAGTAGTGACATATATCCTCTTGACTTGTATCTACTTGTATACTAGGAAGCGATGTATATACAGTGTTCCGCGGCGTCTTGTGGTCTGTTCCGGATGTGACGTTGCCATGACAGTAATCGTGGGATTTATGCTGTTTCACATGTAGACGACCAGGGTAGAACAACAGTTCAATTCGGACGCCGATCCGCTTTGATTGCAATTTGTCTCGGTCGCTCTCTCTTCAAGATCTACCTCAAGCTATGCAGTAGAAACGGTCAGAAGACAGGACTACAATGACTGCGCATCATCACTTGATCCCCCTTCCAGCCACTGCCGGACCAGGGCCTTACCCAATCAGTGGCCTGCGCTGCGGCTGTCCGCCCTGCAAAAAAGAAAGAACCTTGGAAGCTCTGGGAGTATGAGTGCCTGACACTTCCTCTCCCTACTGACCGTCGTCTCACCCTCCTCTTTCTTTCATTCTTTGCTTCTTTCCCCTCTTCTATTCCTAAGGTAGTAGCTGACTTGGAGGGGTGTCTTGTGAATGTCTTGCGTTTTGCTCCCTTTGTACAGAAGGAGCCCGCCGGTCGCTACTACTATCGCTGATCTTACTGCTACTTCCGCCTCCGCGCCGCCTCCATCACCATACACCTCTACGCCTCGCATTTCCATACAGTCTGTTCGATTCTCCTGGAGTAGTTCACGATCGCCTAGTGCCTGCTGTGTTACGTCTGTATCGCCGCATAAGCAGCTTGATCGTCTACTGCCGCATCGACATCTTCTCTCGCGGTGGACTAGAGTCGCAAAACCTGTCATACGCAGCAATCTTGGGACAAACAACCGTTTGCTTTCCTCCCTCGCGCCCTTCACTCGTTCCTGTCCGTCCCTACCTCGGTCTGCTTCTCGAAAGAGCATGGATCTAAATGGCGAAACCAGCACAAAGCGCAAGCGCAGCTCCGTTGCCGCCCCGCCGAGCGCCCGACCAAACACCTGAAACCCGAGAGCTCGACATTAACGCCCGGGGACGCCACGCCCGCGAACGGGACCGTCTACGATGTCGAGGATGAGGAGGATACAGGCCGGGTGATGCCTATCGGCCCCGCGCAGGCGGATTCGCCCGAGTGGCAGGCTACCATTGAAAAGGTTGTTAAGAGCGTAGTGTCGATCCATTTCTGCCAGACTTGTTCGTTTGATACGGACTTGTCGATGAGTAGTCAGGCGACGGGGTTTGTGGTCGATGCTGAGCGCGGATATATCCTGACGAATCGCCATGTGGTTTGCGCGGGGCCGTTCTGGGGTTATTGTATATTTGATAATCATGAGGAGGTGAGTTGGAGTGATGTCTGGGGCTGAAGATATGGCATCGTTGCACTGCTGACATGGTGTTATTTAGTCCGACGTGCGTCCTGTTTATCGAGATCCCGTGCACGACTTTGGTATTCTGAAATTCGACCCCAAGGCGATCCGATACATGGAATTGACTGAGCTCAAGCTTCGACCGGAGGCGGCCCGCGTGGGTTGTGAGATTCGAGTCGTGGGTAATGATGCTGGGGAGAAGCTGAGCATCTTGTCTGGTGTCATCAGTCGGCTCGACAGAAATGCGCCGGAGTATGGCGACGGTTACTGTGATTTCAATACGAACTACATCCAGGCCGCGGCAGCCGCCAGTGGTGGCAGTTCCGGCAGTCCTGTCGTTAATATTGACGGTCATGCAATTGCTTTACAGGCTGGCGGTCGCGCGGATGGTGCGGCCACTGACTATTTCCTTCCCCTAGACCGCCCCCTTCGTGCGTTGGAGTGCATCCGACGCGGTGAGCCTGTCGCCCGGGGTACGATTCAGACACAGTGGATCCTCAAGCCTTTTGACGAGTGTCGTCGCTTGGGTTTGACTCCAGAGTGGGAGGCTGCTGTTCGCAAAGCCTCACCGCATGAGACCAGTATGTTGGTGGCTGAGATCATATTACCCGAAGGGCCTGCAGATGGAAAGCTCGAAGAAGGAGATGTCCTGCTGCAGGTTAACGGGGAGCTCCTCACGCAGTTCATCCGATTGGACGATATCCTCGATTCAAGCGTCGGGAAAACCGTGCGTTTGCTGGTTCAGAGAGGCGGTCAGAATGTCGAGGTGGAATGCGAGGTGGGCGATCTGCATGCCATCACACCAGACCGTTTTGTCACGGTAGCCGGTAGTACTTTCCACAATTTGTCCTATCAGCAGGCCCGGCTTTATGCCATCGCCACTCGAGGAGTATATGTTTGCGAAGCAGCAGGCTCTTTCAAGTTGGAGAATACCCTGTCGGGGTGGATTATTGATGCTGTGGACAAACGCCCGACCCGAAATCTAGACGAGTTCATTGAAGTAATGAAGACGATCCCGGATCGGGCTCGGGTGGTCATCTCGTATCGTCATATTCGAGATCTCCACACCCGGGGTACCAGCATCGTGTACATAGACCGCCACTGGCATCCCAAGATGCGAATGGCCATTCGTAACGACGAGACGGGTCTGTGGGACTTTTCTGATCTTGCCGACCCTGTGCCAGCTGAAACGCCGGTTCCGACGAAAGCTGATTTCATTCAACTCGACGGAGTCAGTCAGCCTGCGGTTGCGGATATTGTGCGCAGCTTCGTACGTGTCTCCTGCACCATGCCCTTGAAGCTCGACGGGTACCCGCAAGCCAAGAAAACTGGTTTCGGGTTGGTGATCGATGCCGAAAAGGGTCTGGTTGTGGTGTCCAGAGCTATTGTTCCCTATAATCTATGTGACATCAACATCACTGTGGCCGATTCGATCATTGTCGCGGCCAAGGTTATCTTCTTGCATCCTCTACAGAACTATACCATCATCCAATATGACCCCAGTCTGGTACAGGCTCCTGTTCAGAGCGCTAAGTTGAGCACCGAGTACATCAAGCAGGGCCAGGAAACCATCTTCGTGGGCTTCAATCAGAACTTCCGCATCGTGGTCGCCAAGACAGCGGTCACCGACATCACCACCGTCTCAATTCCCGCGAATGCCTCGGCGCCGCGCTACCGTGCGATCAACCTGGATGCCATCACTGTTGACACGGGCCTGAGCGGGCAGTGCACGAACGGTGTGCTGATTGGGGAAGATGGAGTCGTCCAGGCTTTGTGGCTCAACTATCTGGGAGAGCGCACCCCGAGCTCTCACAAGGATGTGGAATACCATCTCGGTTTCGCCACGCCGGCGCTCCTGCCCGTTACATCCAAGATCCAGCAGGGGATCATTCCCAAGCTGCGAATCCTCAACATGGAGAGCTATGTGGTTCAGATGAGTCAGGCCCGCATCATGGGTGTCTCGGAGGAGTGGATCCAGAAGGTAGCACAGGCGAATCCATCGCGGCACCAGCTCTTCATGGTGCGCAAAGTCGACTGTCCTCCGCCGCAGCTCACGTCCGATGCAGACTCATTACAAGAAGGGGATATCATCTTGACCTTGGACGGTCAACTCATCACTCGCGTCTCTGAATTGGACAAGATGTATGAGAAGGAGGTCCTTGACGCCCTTATCGTGCGCAACGGCCAGGAGATGCACCTCAAGTTACCTACAGTACCTACCGAGGACCTGGAGACCGACCGTGCCGTTGTCTTCTGCGGTGCCGTGCTGCAGAAGCCACACCACGCCGTACGCCAGCAAATTTCCAAGCTGCACAGCGAGGTGTATGTCAGTGCAAGGGTATGTCTTGCGTGGTACTTAAGTTTAATGTAGTTGTGGTACTAACTTATGCAGAGTCGCGGCTCCCCAGCCTATCAATATGGCCTTGCGCCGACAAATTTCATCACCGCCGTGAATGGCGTTCCGACGCCGAACCTTGACAGCTTCGTCAGGGAGGTCGGCAAAATTCCAGACAATACATACTTCCGGTTGCGTGCCGTGACCTTTGACAACGTGCCATGGGTTGTAACGATGAAGAAGAACGATCATTACGTAGGTAAATCTCTTTCCCTCTTTTGGATATTAGCTGACCCTGCGACAGTTCCCCATGTCCGAATACATCAAAGACCCATCTCAGCCACTTGGGTGGCGCACGGTATCCCATGACAGAGACAGGCACAAGGATGGCATCACCCCGACGCAGCCAATCTCAATCCAGACGCCATGGACGAGGTGTACGACGAGGTCAGTGATGTTGAACCAGAGGTCGATTGAAATGGTCTGGACAAGCTTGCAACTATCCATCCATAGTAGGATTGAGTCCTACTGAACACAATGTATGTATGTGTAGATAGAGTCTCGGCCCTTGTATACTCCTTGCAGATATCATGATAGAATACCAATACCATCAACTGATACTCAGGTCAACCCTTGGGCTGTGGTTTTTTGACTATCCACTTATTCAGGTCCTAGAGGTATTCACAGAACATAGATCTAAAAACAGGCAATTCACTAGCGGAAGTTAAAGGCAGTGAATGAACAGAATATTCTAACCATTCCTACCAACATCTCAAGCTATTGTCTTATTAGGCTGCTCACTCACTTTTCTGTAAGACACTATCACTTCTCCAGCTACTCGTTAACTACTAATAACTCCAACATTATACCACTTACAACTTTTACTTCCTCAAATGACCTGTTTGACCAACCTCCGGCTCTAGAGTTATGAGTTCTTGTCAGATGGATTCGTCATCGAAAATGTTGGTAAGACTGTACTGTCATTTCCACTACGTACGTATAGTGGTGAGCCAAGGCTGATATATCATATTATCTATCATATTAGCGGGCCGAAGTCGATCGGCTGGAGAAGGGAGGCCGCCGCTGCCGAAGAAGCGGAAGTTGCTCGCAGGCGCACCAGGGCCCAGGAGCTCCTCAAGGCCATCTCCTTGATGGCCTTGGGGGAGAAGGAGAAGAAGAATAAGGAGGGCAAGGAGGGCAGCGCGCAATGTGATCTGGGAATCTGGGATTTACGACATAGTACACGGTGTCCCAGGTATCGTGGATTGGATTCAAGACTGGGATGTTGACCGCGATACAACTCGACCTGGGATATCGGGACTATATCAGGTCGTTGGTACTAGAGATCTCCATACTGATTCATCGGTTGGACAAGAAACCGGTAACCTGTGACATGATCATTGCCGGTGTTGATTTGGACTCTAATGTTGTGTGTGTGCTATTTAGGTACTCGACTGGACATCTCGAATCATTTCCCATGCTGGAAGTCAACCTCGATTCGAGATATGGTGATGTGCTGGGATGCTGGCATTGGCAATGACTGTCCTGTGGCTCTTGATATAATACCTCCTAGTGGGGATGGATCCTGACATCCGAATCTGACACTGGATATTGCACGTCCAACTACTAACCGGCCGGTCGTTGTGAAGATGCAGGTGATGTACGCGCCACACTGAACTCCTTGCCCTAGATGGCAATGACAACACCAAGGAGATCCTTCGCGAAACTTTGAAATACCTTCCAGGTGGTAGACTTCCCTTGCCGAGATCATTCGGCTGGCACACAGCAAGTTATACCAACTTGCGCGGAGCTTATCACAAATCTCCTCACACCAATGAAGGCTGCTGGTTTCAATACAGCAGAGATTCCTCTTTTAACCTGTCAGGAAACCAGCCAAGAAGACAAAATAAAAGTATAGAATGTACCGTTCGTGGGGCGTATACTTTGCTAACATAGTAATAGGCAAATACCACATCGTGCAAACAAGGCCGATGGGAGACAGGATCCCTTTCACGCGAACTTCCTTATAACGTCAAAAGAGGGACGAAAGATTACATCAGCCCATTACTACCCAGTCCCAATTGGGGCCAGAAAAACGTATGGTTCTCGAAAGCAAAGTATAACGCAGGCAAGAAAGTCATGGATTACTTCCCCGACGCCGGGGAATCCGGCAATGGATCAGCGAGAAAACCTCATGCAGCGAAGAGTGGGCCTTGTCTTTGCCAGGCTGAAGGGTTGGAGCACTAAGGTGCAGCGGTCACTTCTTTCTATTTGCCTTGGGCCTTTGCGAAGATGGCTCAGATCATAATCTGTGCACTGTACTTCCTTGATTGCAATGACTAATGCTGACCTGCTCGGGTTCCTGGTCAATGCCGTCGCTCGGTTCCCGACTTATGAAGTGGAAGCCTTGAAAGTGACACTTGAAGGCTGCGCCTGCAGAAATTGAGAGCCAATTTCATCGCTGTTTCCGATGAATCTAGGACATTGTGTGAGGAGACTATCCAAGAAAGGACGAAGAAATGTGGCTGTATAGTCAAAGATGATGGGCGTCCATAGTGACCAAGCTGATGGCTAAACTGATGATCAAGCAGCCATTATGGGAGACGAAAAGGTCGATGGCTCTTATCAAGAAGATGACAGTGAAGACACTGATATCGGCGCATCGGCTCTCGCTGACGTTGAATATACATACAGCTTTGAGCCGGATTTCTACTCAAAGTGGGATCAACTATTTCCTTCGGATATCTGTGAAGAGACGGACGACCCACCAATCACCATATCCATCTAGAGACCAGGACTTGGGTTGATTGACGTTGGCACCGAGCAACCTCTGCTCTACAATAACGATAAATGCATTATATAGACTAGAAAGCCATGTCTTCCACACCTGTGGTCATACGTATGTGCCGGGATGTGAAACTTAGAAAATTATATCCGAAATAACCCATAGCAAAGTCGCTTGATTTGTGCTTTTTAATAAAACATAGCGGCTTGAAATCGTGAATGCCTTTTACCTTGATCCCAGAGGCCTGATGGTACAGAAATCCGACTTTTGAGACATCTGCTGTTCACCAAGTCCAGCTCTTTAGGGCTTCACAACGAGGCTGTGGCGGGTATATATTTCCCAGACTCTCCAGCGGCACCAACTAGAGAGTACACGACGCTTCTGCCGAATCCACAAACGCTCATATAGAATCTCTGTAGACGCTGATGGCTACCTAAATAACCCATTTTGTTCTAGAATCTCGTGGATTGTACGTTGCTCAATTATTTTCCCACCCTCTCTTTTGTAAAATCGAGGAACTATGGTACAAGCTTAGATCATATAGTAAAGTGATGAGGTAATGTCAACAACTAGCATCATTGGTCTAGTGGTAGAATTCGTCGTTGCCATCGACGAGGCCCGTGTTCGATTCACGGATGATGCATTCTTTTTTTCCCCTTGACAGGTCTTCTTCACATTGAAAATTTTCCCTTCCTGTCTCTTCTTTTTGTCTTCATCTCCCTTTCCCCTTCTTTTCTTATTATTATTTCTTTGACTTGTTTACCCGTCTGCCATTCCTAGTAGTTATATGAACGATGTTGTTGTGTGCAGCAGATACAATATAATATATCTCTCAATCGAATGGACTGGACGGATTATGAACTCCAAGTCTATCGTGTTGGACGGGAAACCAATGCCTTCGACTACTTTAAAATACCTAAACTCATCCATGATTGTGTAAATCTAAATGCTTGAATTATGTTCCCAATAATGCAACTACAAAGCTAATAGCATATCAACGACCCGCAAACGCCGCCAGGTATGCAATCACCCAATTTCTTCCAGACTTCAGCTGTCGCTAGCAACGCAAACCCCGAACATAAAGATTGAAGAAATACCCGACCAAAATAAAAATGGAGGCAGAAATTATGAGTTAAAGGTCCAGCCGCCGTTGAGTCTCAGCCGTTGACGCTCGGCGAGGTCACGCCGGATTTCATCTTGGGTCAGTCCATCGGCACCAGACCAGTTGGCGCTGCTGGTACGCTCCCGGAATTTCTTGATCTTCTTGTCCGCCTTGAATGTCTCCTCCAGTGAGAACGGAGCAATGGGACCGAAGATCGAGTCCGCCTCCATGCCTTCCTGCTGGCGAAGGATGTTCTCGAGCTCTTTAGGTTGAGCCCACTTGGGCACGGGGAGCATCTCCGTATCAGAGTCCTCGTCCTCACTATCGGTAGCAATCTCGGGAAGATGAATGTTCTCGCCGTTGGGATAGTTGGGAGATGGTTTCGCCGGTGCCCTCTGAGACGAGCTGGCACCTGGAGTCTTATGCCCAGGCAGCTGAGACGCGGCATTGCTTGGCTCTGCGAAGGGTATTTTGCCGCTTGCGTACTTTGCCATATCCATGGGGTGAGCCGCTCTCTGGGGCTGGGCGGTTTTGAAGATCGAAGAGCCTTGTTGATGCGTAGAATTTTGTCCGTGGCCATACATGGGAGGTTTCATGGATTCCTGGAATACGAGATGAGCATACACGACCAGAGTGATTTGAGAATGGCGGAAGCCTACCTTGCGGATCCCCGACTGTCTGATGGGCGGGGCCATTGTGGGTCGAATGGCGGACATAGGGTTGTGTTCGTCTTCCGTCTTCCTGCGCTTAGATTCCCCGGAAGGTTGGACAGTACTGGATTTCATAGCCGCCGGACGGTAGCTGGCTTCCTCGTCCAGCCCTCTCTTCGGTGGTTTGGCCGGATTGGGCTGAGGTGGGTTGATCGTCCGACTGAAAGGTTGAATCGATCCAAGCCGTGACGCGGGTCTGGCGGCCTGTGAAAGAGGTCTCTCTGGCTGGACAATTGAAGCCTAAAGTAGATGAAGCATCAGCATTGGATTCGAAGCCACTCACGGAACTCACTTACCCGTTCGCTAGTAGGTTGTTGACTGCCCTGTCTTTCTAATCTCCGTGCATTTTCCTGTCTCCGCTTCTCGATCGCCTGTATCTGGGCGGCCTTCTTCGCGTCCTCAGCAGCAAGCCTTTCCCGGCGTTCGGCCTCTGCTCGACTGCGCATTTCCTGACGCCGCACTTCTTCTTGCTGCTGAGCAGCTCGCTTGCGTTCCGCCTCACGTCTCTGCTCCTCCCTGCGGCGCGCCTCTCTTTCTTCCTGCTCTCTCTTCCTCTCATTCGCGAGCTGAACCTTGCGCTGCGATTGGCTGGAGACTGAGCTCTTGAAACTGCTATTTGAAGAGGCGGTATGTAAAGAAGAATTGCTGGCCTTCTTCTTGAGAGTTGGAGGCTTGGAAGCCGAGGGCGGTGCAGCGACAGAAGCACTGGGTTCCGGACCGCTAGACGCCACAGAAGTGGATGCGAGTGGGATCTGGCGCGAAAGCGCGCTGCCAACACGAATTGAGACGGGCTGAGGCTTGGGTTTCTGGAGAACTTCGCGAGTGGGCTTAACAGGGCGCCGATCGTTCTGCTTTGACTGCTGTTGGGACACGGACATTCGGCTGGGTGCTCGAGAAACAGGTTCATGGCTGGGCTCGGGCTCTCTGGATTGATGTCTCTGCAGCGGCTGTGCCTTCTTCGAGCTGGCTGGAGCGGCGGCTGCCGAAGGAGGAGCGTTACGTTCTTCTTCTTCCATCCGTGCCCTTTCTTGAGCGATCTTCAACTGAAGGGCTTTCTGGCGTTCCTCTACCCGTGCTTTCTCCGCCTCCTCCTCTTCTCGACGACGATCTTCAAGCTCTTTTTGCTTGCGTTTTTCTTCCCTCTCAGTCGAGCTTCGCGTTCTGCGCCCTTCTTGCCGAGGGAGAGGACTAGATATCTGGACTGGCCGACGGTCTTGTGTTTCACGAGCAGCATTACCGCTTGCACCATTGTACGAATGCAACCCTAGCTCATCAGGCGAGGACGCTTCCAGTCTCGCTGCAGCTGTCACACTGCCAGTGTTCGTAAACAGACCTTTGGCAGATCTCATGATGGATTGAAGTTTCAACTTGGATGCGCTCAGAGGGCCATCATGACGCTCAGCAGCGGGAGATCCCACTGGTGTTGTGGAAGCGTGGTGGCCCGTATTGGACACTGACGTACTCTTCTGATGGGCGGGCCGTTGGGGTGAAGAATAAGCTGGCGTTGAGGACTCTTCACGGATTGATTCTGCGACGTTTCGGTTGCTGGCTCTCGCCGCGTCCGCGTCACCCCGATTCTGAGCTCGGGGTAGCGAAGTCTTCTCACTGTATGCGCGACTGCTTTCATTCGTGGACTCTTTCACCTTCAGTTCCGTTTTCGAGCTTCTGGGGGCATATGCTTTCTGTGGAGACTCTATTGGCTTGATCCAGTCGCCCCCGTCGATTGCCATAGGCTCCGGTGCGGACGGTTCGCGAGATTCCGGATTGAGCACCTCTGGTTTTGCACTGGCTGCTGGGAGCTCGGGATAAGCAACGTGAGCGGAGGATAGGCCTGAAACAGATGGGATGGACTTCGTGGGCCGCGAGGGTTGAAGTTTGCCAAGCATGCTAATCTTTTCGTGAAGTCTCTGAGTGGAAGACTTGGTATGGGCCTTGCTAGCTGTGGCATCTGCTTCTGCCTCAATATCATCTTGCAGCTGAGCACCTCTTCTACTTTCATCAATGTCCATATCGTCATCCAGCGCTGGCTCCTCATCCACAGCGGTATTTCTGTGTCCACCCGTCTGCCGACCAAATGAACTAGGACCTGCAGCATTGTTCACTCTAGCAATATCAACGTGGCTTGTGCGAGAGAGTCTCGAGCCACCCAAGCTCTTCTTCAACAGTGGCTCCCGTGCAGGGAGCGATGCAAAGCTCAGACTGCTCTTGCGGATGGGAGGTCTTTCCGGAGTGGAATTGTCCGAAGGCGTGCCGATGTCATCCAGGGAGTCAAGAGGCGTGTCATCCTTTTCATGGATCACTTCTTCCACCGGGTCTTCTTCCACCGGGTCTTCTTCCACCGGGTCTTCTTCCACCGGATCTTCTTCCACCGGAGCTGCTGGTCGTTTCATTGGACAAGACTTGGCTGGCGATGTTTGCGGTTCCGCCCGTGGCTTGGACTCGGCCTCTGGCTCCTCCTCTGGCGCCGGATCTGCCACGACGAATGCTTCCGGCTGCTTCTCCTCTGGCTGAGGCGTGGAAGAAGCCGCCTTTTCCTGTCTTGGCGTTGTCTCAATGTTGATAGCTTCCACAGGCTCCTCCATAGGCTCGACCGTCTGTCCGCGTTGGCGTACGTCTTCCTGAGCCGAATGGAATGAAGCAGCTGTTGTACGACGATCAACAGACTGTCGCTGTGGTTGGGTTTGACCTTCGTTGACGGTTACGGGCTCGTCTTCGAGAGGTTGGGTGGATGTCAGCGTCTCCGACTGCACTTGGGTGAGAACCACATCATCGTCCTGATCCTCCCCTTCATCGTCCGGCATCCCATGGTAGCCGGAATCAGTGTTATACTGGGGGAACGAGTTCAAGTTCTGGGTTAAATCAGGGTATTGAGGCTGCGAGGTATTCTCTGCGGCGTCCCTCGTCTTGGCTGGAGAGACTTTGGCCTCCGATGGCGCAGTTGTGATAGGCGCAGCGGTGGGTTTGACGGGTGAACGGGCGGGGCTGACATTACGACTGCGGTCTCCTTGATTATGAGATGTTGTGAAGATCTCACTCAAAGGCTGTCATCGGTCAGTACGGATAATTAACGAACGTCAAAACATAGCAATGGGTGCGGCCAACGTACAATTCTGTTCTCATTTACATTCCGCTTCCGTGCTGTTCGAGGTGTCTTACCTCGGAGCTTTCCGGGAGTTTTGAACACGTCTGTAAGATTGCTATTTTGCAGTCAGCAAGGGTCGATGGTTTGATTGAGATGTAGATCAGAACGCACAATTGATTGCTGGCGAACACCTCTGCCATGTGCTCATTCAACCAATCCATCTCATGGCGCACAGGATACTCAATCTCTTCCATCTCCTGATCAACAAGCTGCGCAAAGTTTTCCTTCTCGGTTGAAATCCATGCTGCAGAGCCCACAGGCTTCTGCACCCTCGGTCCGGCAGGCGCCATGGCGATGTAAACAAATGCGATAGGAAGGATTTACTGGGCGGGTGCGGGTTGAAACGGTGTAATCACGTAAAGGGCCAGAATGCCCGTTCTGAGGTGTCAGGGCCAGGCGAGGTAATCATCGATTTATGGCGTGGTGCGGCTATGTTTGTTGGCGAACAATGTGCTGCGGTCGCTCGTCGTCGGCGGCAGTCGAGCATCAAAACATCGGAGACGCGTTGTGTCCCGCCGGATCACGTGATTCACTACATCATGAAAGTCTGCCTGATTTTTCTGGCATCTACATAGATCCATTCTAATTCTTCGCTGCGATTCCTCGACGCAATGACTTTTATATTCGCTCCTTCTCAAATAGCCAGCAGCTCGCTAGAGTGGTCATACCAGATGGGCAGAGCCTGCACCAGACTCTCTTGTTCTGCAATAGTTTTGACCCTTGCTTCCAGCAGTGGAATCCGCTGGTGTCGGTGAGCCTCTCAGCCTTCACTACTGCCTCCTCCAGCGGGAAACACTGCTAGAACTTCAAATGGGTTGAGAAATTAGATCTAAGCTTTCGGCCAGAACTCTACTGTATTCAAGAGCATAGCTATTATAAGCCGCAATCACCAACAAACTTAAAGAATCGAGAAGAAGATCGAACAGCGGGCTCGTTAATGGGCGTTCTGTTCCTGCAATCAACAGCAGTGCAAACCTGGTCTTTCAAATCAGCCTGCCAGAATCAAGAGATCATTGTGAGATCATAGGTAACTTAACGGCTTCCACCATTCGCCCATCTGCGCGGGGGTGACTGTGTTTTTCCAGCCACAATGTTCGAGAGGTCTCAACCCTGGACATTAGAATAAAGTCTGGATACAAATGAACAGTGAACTTTGTATGGAGTAGTACAGCAGTAGCACTGGAACTTTGGTTTCATGGATATGCTGCTTGCCAAGTTTGTAGAGTGTGGCGATAGAGCCTATGATGTTGATACTGCGTATGTCATCGCTAGGAATGAGTGCCGCTATCACATGTCGAAGGAGCCCAGAAATATTAATAGTAGCTCTGTCAGACAATCCTCCCGCCATGTACGGAGTAGGTAGCAGTCTTTTAATGCTTCGAGACGGGAAATAATTAGTGAACGATAAATGACGTTCATTACTGCAGAATAATACTCGAGTGGATCATCCCCTTAATTCGACAAGAGGGAAAAGGCAGTGAAGCACACGACCAGACAAGCCCGAACCTGTCCGGGCTCGCTTGTATTGCATCACCACCAAAACAGACCGGATCGAACCAGACTAGACTAAAGCACGACCCTCTCCTTATCTTTTTCCTGCTGCTGCCGCTGCCTCCATCCACTTCCCTCCATCCCTCTCTCATCCTTTTCTTTTTCAAACACTTCTCCTAGTCCCATCGACTTCATCTGTTTAAATCCGGAACTTCATTTTCTAACGGAACCCCTGATAACAAAGTCATCTTCATACTCTTGAGAACCAAGTTCTAGAGCTTTCCACACAAACTTCCGCCATGGCCGAAGGTGACGTGAGCTATCCCAACCCTAACGGCAGTAAGGTACGTTTGGAGCAGACATGGGCGACTTCCTTTGAAGACAGGAATGCTAACTACGACTGCTATCTATAGTTTGTCATTTCCCTGCGGCCTAGCGTTACACAGACTGACCTTACAATCCAGGCATCAGAGATGCTGTGACGAACGGTACAGAATGACCTCAATCGATAGCGGAGGAATCAAAGTGCTAACAAGTTTGCTTTGCAGGTCCTGTTATGGACAACATCAAGTCCGAGGCCTCGCGTACCCAAGAGGAATTGCGCGACCTGAGATATTCGAGCTCAACTCCGTCAACGACCACTGCGACCGGGCAGCCCCTGACATGTATGTCAAGCAATTTTTCAAGTCAAGCCAGCAATCTCAGAAGACAGAGCTAATGATTGCATAGACTATCATTCCTTGCTTTACAGACTCCTGAGCGTGAGTTATCTCCTGATCTGGTCTCAAATTTATATAAGTTGCTGACATGCACCAGTGGGAGCAACCCAGAGCTACTGCTGTTTCCTTTGTGAGCGTCATCGCCTTTATCTTTGCCGCCCGTTACCTGCCCCTTCTTCGCTGGTTCTTCAAGTTTACGTATCTGGCTTTGGGATGTGAGTTGATACTGATTGGTGCATATATTGCGATCGCTGGCTGATTGAGAGGGTAGTCACTGCTGCGGCCGAAATTGGTGGTCGTCTCGTGCTGTCACAGGGCCTCGCCAGCTCATTCCGTCCTCGCAAATACTACACCGTCCCCAAGGAAACCGTTGAGGCAGTCTTGGAGGACCTCGAACAGCTCGTCGACTTCCTTCTTCTTGAGTTCCAGCGTATTCTGTTCGCCGAGAATGTTGTCCACACTGTTGCTGTATGTTTAGACTCGAATCTGCTCCTCATATTGTCCTTTGAAGGACGGGCTCAGCGCTGACGAAAATTGCAGGCCTTCTCTGCCGCCTTTACTGCCTACTGGCTGATCAAGTTCCTCCCATTCTGGGGATTGTCTCTGATTGCAGTCACCATCGCCTATCTGGGGCCTCTTGTCTACATCAACAACCGCGAAGTCATTGATGATCAAATTGAGAATGTCCATGCAATGATCAACTCCCAAGCGCACCAGTTGAAGGACCTCGCTGAGGAGCGTACCCATCATGCCACCGGTCTCGTGAAGCAATACGTTGGTGATTACAGCGCCAAGGCTCAGGAGTACATTGGCCACCGCCGCAGTACTTCACCAGAAGCTACCAAGGCCGCCGGTTCTGTTGTCAAGAAGGAGCCCATCTCCGAACCCGTCATCAAGACATCGGACTTCCCGGCGGCCCCAAAGCAGGAGCCGGTAGCAGAACCGATTGAGCACAACCGCCAGCCTCTGGAGACCAGGGAGCCTCTGCTGGCTGCTTAAGTGCGCCATTTTGTCTCATTGCTCGTCTATTGACCTGCTAGTCGGTCAAAGAGATGATGACATCGGACATGGATTATGCTAACGGGCAAGCGATCTAGTATTGCTCCTGCGAATTGAGTTTGGGTAGAATTGGATTGTACATTGTGACTCGGGACGGATGGTTCGGCGTGCATGATGTTAAGATGGTATGATTTCTCAGGGTTTCTATTTCTCTTATTTCCCCTTTACAAGGGTCTTCTTTTCTGTCTGTGTGCAATTGAGTCTGCGTTGACACTCAGGTCTATTGCCTAAAAGCTTCACCATCAGTATCTTGTGACTCTCATGTAATTTTTTTTTCTTCCTCATTTTGTTTTTCCCTTTCCGCCTTTCCATGCTTTTCTGGTATCGTTGCACCCAAGAAGCGCATCAGCGTGCTAAATGATGTACGCTACGATCCGCCTTGAATTTGTTGAGTTGTCTGCGTCATGTCTACTTGTGCCGTTTCTTCCTTGACTGCGAAAGTCTGATCCTTCGGTCAACCTCTCCTGTTCTGGTTCCAACAATGCCAATATGAAGTAACGGTTTCAACCATCGATTTTCAACCCATGGCAGCCTCAAGGCCCAATCAGCGCAATGACTAGGACTCGCCTCTTTCCAGACAATCCTGCATCTCAATCCGGACCAAGTCCACAAAGCGGGGTACTTTGTTCCTAATACATCCGAAAACATCATAACATTCTCTGTGTTCTGTAGTAAGCGGGATGACCTCGCTCCTTACCACCCCTTTACCCCAGATTGGGAGACGTCGCACAAGTGTTGCCTGGGGCTGTTTTATGATGCCGCAGTCGACAGGGATCATCCCGACCTGAGTCTAACGGGGGACACCCGGCAACGTCGCATTTCGCAACGGGCATGCTTGACTGCGTGCTGTATGTCATGCCATGCCATGTATAATGCATTAATTAGGGAGTTAGCTAGGCTCCAGTACAACCCCCAGGTTGTATGTAGCTAAAGTCCAATGTAACATCAGAGTCCCTGACACATGGGTTGGGGGGTTAGGGAAGACACTTCGATGCATCGTACTCTGTACTTCGAGGTCACGGGACGTTGGCTTGTTTGTGCTGTTTGCACGCTGAATAGACCAGGATTTGGGCTGGAGCAGCCTGCTGTGTTGACATCGAGTCTCTCATCAGCTTGAGTTCAAATGGGAGTGATGATCTGCGCGGGCAGGCTAACTGATGTCATTGAATAGTATCTATTTTGATCCTGTCGCGGTCTAACTCGCAGAAGGCGGCATTGCTCGATGACGCATCCAGACCGCCTGTCGCATACGAGTAACAGCCTTGAAGCCATCTGTTTTGACCTTTCTGATCTCACTTGAAGGAAGACTATAGACAGGGTATCCGTTCTATGGTGAAAATGAGAATGGTTCCTGACAGATGTAGTTCATGTTTCGGACGTTGAGCCTCGCTCTTACCTTCTAGATCCTCCTTGTCTCACATTTGAGAGGCTCTGGGAATGGCAAGCGCAGGACTGCTCGATACCTACGGGATACTGCCACTGACTTGGCCGGTGATGGATAAGAATATTTGCTGTTGTCTTTGGTTCTAGCGAGACATCACATTCTGTGGATCAGCATGAGGCTGAAATCCCTCATCGCCAGTAGCCATCCACCCATTGTCCCCGGGCTTAGCTGCGGCTCTGAAGAACCGTTGACAAACCAATGCAGAGCCTTCAAAGAAGACGTTTGAAAGGGTGGTAAAGACAGAGCTGTCGACATCAACGAAACAAGCGGGTCCTCCAATAGACAGGCTCTCAAGCAGAAATGACGACTGGTACGCCACAGAGGTTGTGGACCCTCTGCAGAGAAGCTGCATGGAAGGTTCCTTTGAAGTCTGTGGTCATATAAGCAGAGTCTGCATAACCTGCGTCTCTGATGAGATAACTGCCCAGTGAGAGCTATGTCCTGCCATAGCGGTCTGTCGGAACTAAGCCGTCAAGTCGACCAACGGGTGTCACTTCCGGGGAGCGAGGCTAGTATGGCATGCTCCATGTTATCGCGATGTCGCCTGACGGGGGGAAGCAGGGGAGTGGAAATAGACCTGACTACATAACTTTGGGAGCTCCGTTGGTGTAACAACTGTTATTGTGCTTGTCCTCTTTCTTCGAAGCCTAGCTCGGCTTCACCTGAGAGCTGTCTGGTTGTGAAATGGATTGTCCCTTTCTGACTATCTACCACGGCAGCTCAATTTTTTACTCAATTTTTGGGTTGTCTCTGACCGGATCCGACTCGGCTGGAGCCAAGGTCGCCCTTACGGACAAATTTACGGGCAATACTGGGTCTCACCTGGCTCAAGTGGCTGATTTAGCGGGACTCGTTGGTTGGGAGCAAAAGCAGCTTCCCGTCGTACAGGAAGAAAGCGCCATGCAGCTATCCGCGGTCTCAGACCTCCCTACTGCCCGCCTCGTCGAGCCATCGCTGTTGAGCCCGTTCGTTCATTGGCCATTGTCGTCCGGTCAGGTCTAATCTTCCGGATGATCTAGCGGTTGATACCATCTTCTAAGGTCGAGGTCATCGACATGGATGGTTGATATCAAGTTGCGAGGGCAAAAATAGTGACCAAAACACTATTTCACCAACCGGGAACGGGAACAACCATAGATGGTCAATACAACAAGAATAGTATTGCGGTACGGAAGTCTGTCGATACTTTTTTTTGTTTTTCATGGCTATCTAGTCCCTTTGGGGTCTACGCTCGTCAGACCGCTGTCTCCATCTGTTTGCATGGTGGGGATCTGGAGCAAGAGCAGCAATAGACATGGTCCAGCTATGCAAGACCTCCACATGGTGGCAGCCGTTCCTGAAACGTGATCTACCATGTCTCTTCATTAGGCCTGCGTCATCTTTTGGTCTTGGGTAGCTGCAGATCAGGAGTGGAACAGGTGAAGCCTCGAGAAATTGGAGGGCATGCGTTACTTTTGATCGGGCTAGTAGGGGTCACAGGTCATGGCCGGGCACTGAGAGGGGAACGGGAGGAGGAGGAAGAGGGAGGAAGGGGAGCAAGCTTTCTGTCATTGCCGAGCTGGCGCTAATTGAAGCTCTGTTGCAACTGAACCGTTGTCTGGTTATACCTTGGGAGTACCTGCTATACTCTAACGGTGCTTGAGGTAGGGCAAGTCTGGACTCGCCATCGCAGCCTGGCCAATCTGAACGTGTCCCTCGTGATGAATCCTGGGTCCAAGTACCGGTGAGGTTGTTCTCGTGCCGAAGACTTTCCCACCTCATCTCAATCCAAGACATCCGCTCAACCCAGCCGTCTAGATCCGGAGTTCAGTCGTAGGCCTGGGTTCACCGCTGCCTCCCCGTTCTGGAACATTGCCTCGAAAGAGAGGATTGCACTTGCTGAGGTGACTTCTCAGTCTGGCTGGCCGGACAAACAGAGTATAGCCTTTTGGGCAGCTTTCATAAGGTGCCGTCACTTGTATCCACTCTTAGAAGGGGATCCAATTCAGAACAAGCCTCCTAACAAAGAAGTGAAAAGGGTGTTGCCCACTTGTCTCTTGTGAGGGTCTCTATCATTTTATTTTCTAATTTGACTCTTTGGGCTAGTCCGGTGATCGCCCAAACAATACGGTAACCACACATTTGCGTACCCTTCGTACCCGTCTCTGCATCTCCCATCTTCTTGTTTCCATTGTCTCTTATATTTCCTTTGGCACTGAGCAAGACCTTCTAGAATCCTTTCATCCTCAGTGTCTTAGGGATCAGATCGAAAGGGTTGACTTTAGCCTCATCCTCTGTTGTTCCTCAAGCCAGATAAATCTCTTCTCAACCTTGACCTTTTCGTCTTCTTCAGTGTTTCTCTTAATATCCAGCTTCGAAGAGAAGGTTATTTCCAGAGAACTCACTGGAGATCCGCTGACTGTACTTCGATCTCCACCTTCGTTTCGAGCACTGTTTACATGGCGTCGATAGCATCCTTGTTGAATCCTCTTCCCGGCCCGAGCCAACTATCATTACCAACCCAAACACTGGCAAGCTCTGCAGCCAGTATGGCTTCTAATACGCCCCGTCCTAAACGGTGCAAGGTTGCCAAAGATGCCGCAATCTTCACAAGGGCCAAACCCAGGGGGGAGGTTCGGTATCCCCCTTGCGAAGAGCGAGACGAAAAATTGGCTCGAAAGCACCGCGAATTTCGCATCCACCCCATGGGCGATATTGCAGAGTATGCAAGACACATACCATATAACAGTGACAAGAAATCGTTCCAGAAGCGCACTGGTCGGGAGAGTTTTGAGGGTGAGTCCCACAGCGAACACCATACCACGTACCCGAGGGGTGCATATGCTTACAGACTCTCTAGTCTTTCAGTATACGTTTAAGCTTCCTGGCGACGAGAAAGAGTGGATCGTGATGTGGGATTACAACATTGGTCTTGTGCGGACGACACATCTCTTCAAGTGCAATGACTATTCAAAGGTATACAGCACGACCTCGGCTGCTAGTTCCTGACTGACGGAGATCAGACGACACCAGCCAAGATGCTGAATGCCAACCCTGGTCTTCGTGAGATTTGCCACAGTATCACTGGAGGAGCACTGGCCGCCCAAGGTATTTGACTGTCGTTTTCTGTCTGTATTCTCCTGCTGACTCTTTACCTTTTGAGGCTACTGGATGCCATATGAGGCAGCAAAAGCGGTGGCAGCGACATTCTGCTGGAAGATCCGACACGCCTTGACACCATTATTCGGCCTGGATTTCCCATCGATGTGCATCCACCCTCAGGACCGAGGACGGTTCGGCCGTATGGTCATAGACCCGGCTATTGTAAGAAAGGCTACCGAGACGGCAAACTACTACCGCATGCTTGAACTCCAGTCTCCGTCTTATAGTTCCCTCCGCCTTCTCCGGACAGAAAGCAATTTCCGTCCGAACTCAGCAGGGAGCTCTGGGTTCGTGAAGCGACTCATACCCCGATCTCATGAGCACGGATACCCAGATAGTAGGAGCGGCTACGGGTCGTCCTCGCCCGAGTATCATGGCGACGTATACTGCGTCTCCCCAGTGAGCCCGTTCCGGAACAGCTTCACCCCCGTCAACACACCACGAAGCTCCGAGGTGATTTGCTCCGAATTACCCTCGCCGCGAGCGATGCTCGCTACCATCACCCCGACACCCGACAGAGAAAACACAGCAGGAAGCGAGGAGGATTCCGGGTCGGACGAGACGGGCTCCTCAACCATGTACACGGAGA